GGAATGTGGGCAAGGACTGGCAGGAGTAAAGGATATACAAGTTAAAGGCAACATCCGTTCTGGGCCAAGCTGGCTGTGGCCATAAACAAACTCAACGCTCTGCACTGACCGTTCCCGGCCAGCTATAAAACAATTTCGCATATGGCTCCCCGAGCCCAGCTCCCTTTGTTTTTTTCTCCTCCTTCTGATGATGCGCTGAGAAAAAATTTAACATTTATATTTAATTTAGGTGTACTTTAGGTTCAGAAGGAAAATTCCCTTAAATCTGTAGACCAGAAAACTTTAGGATCAATAAGTAAAAACTTTTTAAGCTCCATACATAAGCTTATTTAACTAAGTTATCAAAATATTTCTAAAATATTAACATTAAATGCTCGAAAAGATTACCTTAATCTTTAAAATACAATTGTTTTCCCTAACATTTATTATTATTCCTTATTAAACCAAAATGTACACAAAAGTGAACAATAATAATTATAATGCATTAAAAGGTATACGTTTTTATCTTTCGAGTGAAATGTCCTTGTCTCAAGTTATCTCTGCAAAATACTCAAACAAATAGAGGCCAATATGTCATTGTACATTCAATATTTTTAAAAAAAAGTTGGAAATTATAAGGATATAAAACGAAATGTAGAGAAAAAAACTTAAATAAAATATTTAATTTTAAAGGCCTAAAATTAATCACAATGTTTTTACTGACTTTAGGCGCTCTTTTTTCTGTGAGTGTGTAAGGACCAAATGGCAGACCTGGTCAGAACTTGTGGTTGTGTCCTGGACCCCCGCTTCCCCCTCGTCCGTTCCTGGCATGCACCAACACCTGGTAAGCGCCTTTGTTGTATTCCGGTTGCTGCGGAGGCCGAGTGTTGCATACTTTTTTCAGTCGGAGTCCATCTACAGCCGGAATTGTTGTGGCTCTTCTAGGCAGCTTGTTTTTCTTCCAATATTTTCTCGCATTTTTTGGCTGCTACTCTGCGCTGGCCCGATATTCAACACTTTTGGCTTTTGGCAAATATTATGCTAAGCTAAGGAATAGTTGGGCCTCCGAAAATTGTTGCATTCTGTCGGTTTTGGGTTTTTGCGGCTTTGTGCCTGCCTCAAATTCGAGCCCACCAATTGTGGCGAGGTGAGGTGGAGATGGAAAAGTTTTTCTAATTAAAAACACAATAAAGCTTTCGGCCCCGCTGTCTTGGCCATTGTAAAAAGTGAAAAGCGGCAGGCACCAGGCGCTAAAACCGCGACTCCTCCTCCTGCTCCTCATTTCGTCCAGGCTGTTTCTATCCCACACAATGGCCATTATGGCATCGTTATGTGGCATCAACTTTTTGCCTCATTAAAAAGGTGAGGTGGCTCAAAGGCTTCCAAATGCCACCCCCTTACTGATCTTGTTGTTAAAGCTATCTGGCCCTAATTAAAGCCTGGATTAGATAGGGCAACGTCATAATTGAAACGGAAAACCCCATTGGGCCTTGACTTTTGCCCCTGCTTTAATTTTAATTTCCGTTTCGCTCTGAAAAGCTTTGCAGCCTTTCAGGCGCAGGACCTCGAATCGAGTGGTTCCTAGGACTTGCCGGTCAATCCACTTAAGCCTTCGAGGACTTTTTGTGGGCCGAAGTTGGCCGATTCAGCTTGAACTTAATTCCTGGTCAATGCCAATATCGATTTTATAATTGACCTCGCTGGTGGGGTAATTGGCTTAAACGTTTTTTCAAGGTCTTGAAATTTATATATATATAAATGAAAAATAAGGAAATTGTTCATTGAAAAAGTCCCCATTAAAACCAGTCTCGATCAGTGCAGACGATGGACGAAATTCCTTGTGCAGAGTCTACACTCATACCAAAATTAACCCTAAAAACAAGAAATTCGCCTTATTTTTGACTTCAAAGGCATCGCACCTTAAATTATAGGGTAAATTTTTCTAAAATTAAGGGCGTTCTTTTCTAAAATCTAAGGCAAAAAGCCCTAAAAACAAGAAAAACTTTTCTAAAAAATAGAAAAATATTTCTTAAATTAAGGTATTTTTTCTAAAAATTAGAAAAAATGTGCCTACATTCATCATGATGTAATTTTTCATTCAGGATTTATGTATGTGTATATTATATGTACATATATGATTTAAGCACTTCGCTGCTTTTCATTCAGAAAAGTCACCAATTTTGTATTAGTATTGCACTAATGAATTGCCAATATCGATTTCAACTGTAATTCTGTGGTGAAGAGAGAGAGAAATTAGTACAATTATGATTTATTTCAGTTCTTACAAGTAAAATCCGATAAGTATCTTATCCGAAAAAACTTTTAATTTTATTCGTCCGTCGGTGGGATTCGAACCCAGGTCTCAGGCGAGTGAGTTCAAAGACATTGAATGGAGCCACGGTCGCGCGCGAAGAGCGCATGGCAAACCAAAGACTACATATATGATGGGGCGTTTGCGAAGAATATTAGTTTAAAAAAGTTTTTAGAACTCGTTAAGTCGCAACTGTGAAAGTCGAAATATTTAAAATAAATTTTCTAAGATAATATTTCATATAACAAAAAATATTTTAATTACTTTTCCATAAAGGGTAAAACATTAAGTCGTTCTAAGCATTACTTCTCATCTGTGTTTATAACACAAGTAAAAAAAAGAAAAAAAGAAAGATGTCGGCAGCTGAAATTGAACTTGCGGTGCTTAGATTTCTGGTCAGACGTTCTAACCCCTAGGCTACTCGGACAGGGTTAGAACAATTTTCTGGTCATTTTAGAAAATGTTTCCTATGTTATAGAAAATATTTCTATATTTTGGGATAAATTTCTATTTTTTAGAAAATATTTCTATATTTAAGAAAATATTTCTATATTTAAGAAAATATTTCTATATTTAAGAAAATATTTCTATATTTAAGAAAGCGTTTCTATTTTTTAGGGTTATCGTATTTTTATGGTTAATTTGAGAAAATTTTTCTATTTTTTAGGGTAAATAATTTTTTAGGGCAGAATTTCTAATTTGAAGAAAAAAATTTATAAAAATAAGTACAATTTTTACTAAAATATAGAAATTCTTTCTTGGATTTAGGGTGAGTTCAGTTTATGGCGACAATTTCTACATTTGAGAAACACTTTCTTGATTTAAGAAAAGTTTTCTTGTTTTGAGAAAAAAATTTCTTGAAAATAGAAATCTTTTCTTGGATTTAGAAAAAATAAAGTTTTAGGGCGAATTTCTAAAATTTAGGGTTAATTTTGCTATGAGTGTATGGACAAGTCCACTTTCGTGGAAAAACTTATTGTTTTTTGTGACCTCAGTAGCTCCGTTGGTTGTGCCTTTTCGCGAAAACAAGTGAATTAGGAGCTGATAGCAGACATTTGCAACTTGTTGTAGTTGCAAATCACCCCTCCAATCTCTGAAAGCAACTGATCAATTGTATTCTTATTTAAAAAAATAAAAACAAATTTAAATATTTTTTCGACTTGGGCTCGAACTGGGTTGGCACAGAGTTACTCAACATATTTTGGATGCCTTCGATAATAGACAGTACAGCTCTGCTATCTTCTTGGACGTGAAGGAAGCTTTCGATAGAGTGTGTCACGATGGCTTGCTATTTAAGCTGAAGACTCTCTTGCCAACTGCGCAGTATCTACTTCTCAAAACATATCTGCTGGAAAGAAGCCTAATGGTTGAAATGAGAGGCGAAAGATTATCTATCAGATGCATACGAGTTGGCACACCACAAGGAAGTGTTAAGGGTCCCTTGCTAAACACTCTTTAAACCTCTGACTTGCCAAACCCCAGAGATCCAAGTTCCCTCCTGGCAACGTATGCTGACGACACAGCCTTTATCGCAAACTCTCCGTGTCAAAAAGAGGCGTCCAGAATTACCCAGAGCTTCTAGGATCTGTACAGAAAGTGGACAAACAGGAATAAGCATAAACGGAAATAAATCGCAACATTGCAACTTCTCATTAAGGCATTAAATCCTCCCTAGGGTTAAATTCCAAGACTACTGTCTTGGATTGATCCTCGACAAGCTCAAATGGAGTCAACACACCGTCAAAATATGCAACATGCCGTAGTAATCTTAGGAAGCTTATTTGGATGCTAAGAGCAGCAAGTCATCCGAGCCTCAAAAATAAAATTCTTATCTGCAATCCAATAGTAGCCCCTTCCATTAAAAATAAGGGGTATGGCTTCCGAATCAAACATCATGCGAGTACAAAGGCCGCAAAACCGAGCGCTGCGAACCATTGGCATCCAACAGACCTATGGATAGGAGGGCGGCGAAAAACGAGAGTCGTGATCGTCACCAAAAACTTGTTATACCCTTGCAGAGGGTATTATAATTTCAGTCAAAAGTTTCCAACGCACAGAAGGAGACATTTCCGACCCTATAAAGTATATATATTATGGATCAGCCTCACCAGGAGAGTCGAACTACCCATGTCCGTCCGTCCGTCCGTTTCTACGCAAACTAGTCCCTCAGTTTTAAAGCTATCTGCTTGAAGCTTTCCCAAAAGGTGTCTTTCTATTGCAGTAGGCACGAGCCGGATAGGTCGATATAACTTATAGCTCTAATAGTTTCCTATTCAAAAAATTAAAACAAAATAAAAATTAAAAAAATTGTATTTTGCTGTTTTTTTGTTTATCAAAATAATCCTTTGAGATACAGTAATTATTTACTATATCAGAATTACGGTTTTAGTTTTATCAAACTCGGACAACATTATTATATACACTCTAACACATTTATTGCACTAAATGACCAAAATTACAATATTAAACGGTAAAAGTTGTTCACTACCCTATAATGATTCGTTTCAAAAGCAAAAACATTGTACAGCGATTTTATATAGGGTCAAAATAGCATTGTTATCTCATGTGCATTATCTCTGTTTATAAGTGAGAGTGCTTATAATATTGTACATCTTCAGGTTTATATACATACGTAAGTACATATGTACATATGTGTTATAAGAATTTCTATCTTCGCATTCTGTTTAATTTTATTCAGATCAGTCTAGAATTGACGTCGCTATCGGTCGCAATGAAATCGGAGTGTTTGGTAATCGTTTTAATGTTTTTTCTTTTTGAAGAACATCCATTTACTGATGCTAACTCAATCAAAGATTTGCCACAGGATCAATCTAATCAGTTTATTAAAAGCGAATGCAATGAGCATTGCTTTTTGATTTTTAAGCCTGTTCTCGATCATTTCGTACAGCTTAAAGTAGCTTCTGATACCAACCAAGAACTAAAAACTCAAGTAAATACTATGAATGAGACTATATTAAACTTGCAGAGTCAATTGGCAATGAAAGAAGAATTTATAAATTTGAAAAATGAGCAAGCCAAGGCCCACGATGAACAAATTTTGGACCTAAGAAATCATATTAAATCGATTGAGACAACTCTAACAGAAAAATCGAAACGGCTTTTGGAATACCAGAAAGCAGATGTCCACGATGAACAAATTTTGGACCTAAGAAATCATATTAAATCGATTGAGACAACTCTAACTGAAAAATCGAAACTGCTCTTGGAATGCCAGAAAGCAGATGACAATTTACCTGACTCATGTCCCAATGGCAGTCCCAATGGCATTTACCAAATAAAACTTCGCGGCCTTGAAGCATTTAAAGTGCCTTGTGTGTCGTCTCCATCTGGTTGGACTGTGATTCAGAGGCGTCTTGACGGATCCGAGGACTTCAATCGAAACTGGGATGATTATAAAAGAGGATTTGGAAACATAAGCGGAGAATTTTTTATTGGACTGGAAAAATTGCATCGGATGACAGAAGCACGACCCCACGAACTCTACATTAAGCTTGGGATGGTAAATGGATCCACCAGCTACGCTCAATATGACGACTTTAAAGTTGGCAATGAGGACGAATTTTACCAGCTTAAGAATCTAGGACAATATTCTGGTAATGCCGGAGACTCCCTTACATCCCATAAAAACCAAAAGTTTTCCACATTTGATCGGGATAATGACGAAAGTGAAAGAAATTGCGCTGGGAATGAAAACGGTGGTTGGTGGTATTACAGCTGTCTTTCGAGGTATACATGTTTAGTTAAAATGTTATTAATTCCTATTAACTTAACCACTTACATTACAGTTCCCTTAATGGAAAATACTATAAAAATGGAAAATTTATAGATGGTCGAACTTTCAACGCAATAAATTGGGGTTCATGGCATGACTACGACTGGTACATATCACTTACCTTTGTGGAAATGATGATTAGACCTAAATCGTTGTGAACCGCTTGTTAACTATTAAAAACCATAATTTCAATGTGAATTTAATAATCTGAATTCTGTCTGTTATAAACTATGTTGTCTTCGATCAAATGTAAATTTCGGAGTAAATATATTAAATAAAATATATTCCTGTATTCCATTACTACGATTACTATGATTACGATTATCTAAGAGGCGCTAATAGTGCTTGTTTCTGGTTGAATATTACAAGGGCATCATATAATGAGTGATCTGCGATAAATGAAGATATATATCGATTTAATAATATTTTCTTGCTAAACGGCAAAGTGCCTTCTTTCATCACCCCTTTATAAATGATCTAAAAACAAGAAAGGAAAGCTAACTTCGTGCGGAGCCGAAGTTGATATACCCTTGCAGAATACTCTGTAAATTATATTCTCCAAAATTATTCATATGATGCATTCTTAATACTCATAAAAAATCCGAACTTCCTAACTTTAACAACAACAAAGTTATGGCATTTCCAATCGTTCAGTTATATGGCAGCTATAGGATATAGTCGGCCGATCCTTATGAAATTTGATAGGTCGGATTGATTGGCCAAAAATAAAATCCATAGAAAATCCCAACTTCCTAACTCAACAAACACCAAAGTTATGGCATTTCCGATCAATCAGTTATATGGCAGCTATAGGATATAGTCGGCCGATCCTTATAAAATTTGGTGGGTCGGATTGATTGGCCAAATATAAAACCCATAGAAAATCCCAACTTTCTAACTTTACAAACACCAAAGTTATGGCATTTCCGATCAATCAGTTATATGGCAGCTATAGGATATAGTCGGCCGATCCTTATGAAATTTGGTAGGTCGGATTGATTGGCCAAATATAAAACCCATAGAAAATCCCAACTTCCTAACTTTACAAACACGAAAGTTATGGCATTTCCGATCAATCAGTTATATGGCAGCTATAGGATATAGTCGGCCGATCCCGGCCGTTCCGACTTATATACTGCGTGCAAAGGAAAGAAGGGTGTGTGCAAAGTTTCAATCCGATAGCTTTAAAACTGAGAGACTAGTTTGCGTAGAAACAGACAGACGGACAGACGGACAGACAGACAGACGGACAGACGGACAGACGGACAGACGGACATGGCTATATCAACTCAGGAGGTGATCCTGATCAAGAATATATATACTTTATAGGGTCGGAGATGTCTCCTTCACTGCGTTGCACACTTTTGACCAAAATTATAATACCCTCTGCAAGGGTATAACAAGAAAGAAGAGCTAACTTCGGGCGTAGCCGAAGTTCATATACCCTTGCAGAATTATATTCTGTCCGTCTGTCTGTTTCTACGCAAACTAGTCTCTCAGTTTTAAAGCTATCGAATTGAAACTTTGCACACACCCTTCTTTCCTTTGCACGCAGTATATATGTCGGGATCGGCCGACTATATCCTACAGCTGCCATATAACTGAACGATTGGAAATGCCATAACTTTGGTGTTTTTAAAGTTAGGAAGTTGGGATTTTTTATGAGTATTAAGAATGCATCATATGAATAATTTTGGAGAATATAATTTACAGAGTATTCTGCAAGGGTATATCAACTTCGGTTCCGCCCGAAGTTAGCTTTCCTTTCTTGTTTAAACTATTTTCGAGAAAAACTTAAAATGCTGAGTCTGTCATTCTTTTGCTGGATTACTTCTAAAGGTCTATTTGTGTAAGTAAATTTCCAGATGATACTGAAAGAAATTACACAATCTAAACTTTCTATTTAGCTTTCTGTTCTAGTTTAGAAATGTAAAATCACTAACATATTTCAAAGGTAATCATTTGTATACCCCTGCAGAGGGTATTATAATTTCAGTCAAAAATTGGCAACGCAGTGAAGGAGACATTTCCGACCTTATAAAGTATATATATTCTTGATAAAGAATATATATTCTTGATCAGCATCACCAGGATAGTCGATCTAGCCATGTCCGTCCGTTTCTACACAAACTAGTCCCTCAGTTTTAAAGCTATCTGCTTGAGACTTTCCCAAAAGTTGACTTTCTATTGCAGGTAGTTTGTATGTGGTAACGAACCGGATCATGCAAAAAAAAAAAAAATTTTAAGTTATAACTTTGTGTTTCATTTTTTTGTTGTTCGTTGGGATTTGGTAATATTATATTTAAATATTATGGAATTGCGGTTTTAATTAAAATAAAACAATATCATATAGCTGCCATAGAAAAATTATTGGCTGATTAACGTAAAATAAAATATATGTTATATAAAAAAAAAATAATAAAATTAAAAAATTAATCGTAATTATATGCCATTATTTTATAAGCTTTTAAGAATTAAACCTCTTATTTGAATAGTGTTTTTTAAAAAAAGTTGTATATAAAATATTACCATTTTAATCATTTGTTCCGTTAAAAATATTAAAGCTCCTAATCTTTAAAAAAAAGAATTTCTTATGTTTATATTTATGAAACGAAGGATAATAACCCCCTCTTCGTTTTCGATAACCTTTATATCTGTGATGTTTTGTTCCTGCTGCTTGAAAAACATTTAAAGCTTGCATCTTATTGATTTCGTGGCACCTTTTCAAGGTCTTTTCTGCATTGCGATCCATATATCACAAGTCAATTTCCTGAAGTCATAAATCACCGGGGATAGTGCAAATTTGCTCCGTGGACCGCACCATATACCATTTGTCTGGACCCCGTATCCCTTGGATCGCTGCATCCGCATATCTCCCATTGGCTTGACAATTATAAATTGTAACCTTGCGTTGCTCTGTGTGACATAATCGCGTTCGAATCCAATTTGGCCACGTGTAAGTGCAAGGGCAGGAGCGATTAATATTTTGTCTGGCGATGATGAATGGTGTCCAGCAACTGCAGTGCACCAGTGATTGAGTTATTGGCAGCGGCGGCGGAGGGGAAGGGGAAGGGTCGGTCGTTTCCTGGATGCAAATACGATAGCAACACCTACTACATGGCCACAGACTTGTATCCAGTGCCTGGCCAACCATAGAGGGACTCTCCTGCATCTCTCAGCCGCAGCAGCAGCATCGACAACAGCCTTTCGGCCAAGTTTATTGTGTTAGCATTAAACAAGACCAAAAGCGGGAGGCGGAAGGGGCGGGATCTGCATCACTTATCCGGGCAACGAGCCGTGCTTGCTGAAGCCATCCCCAGTGCACTGAAATATACATCTGCAAATAAAGCTCTCATTTAATAATAAGTTTTTAATCAATAGATCCTTTGAACTAGTTTACATTTTTAATTACAATTTTTAAAGTTAGTGTTCTATTGCTTTGCTTCGTTGATTAAAAGATTTTTCGATGTTATTTCCTAAATATTTAAAATGATGTACTCTATTTTCTTGAAACTATTTATTCTTTGAATATTTCTTTCCAAACAAATTTACCTTATTATTTCCGCTTACATTTACTTTATCCAGATTCGTTTTAGAAATTATTAAAATAAAAAATCATTTTAAAGTATTTTAAAGTTAAATAGTTGCACCTTAACATTTTGTAATACAAATATACAAATCCAATTTTTTAACAATATTACTCTTGCCGATTTTAAATGCACTGTTTCCCTTTTAATAATACGGTGAATGTTTTAAAAAGCCTTAGGCTTTCACTGTAAATCAGCTATATCTTCCAGAGTTTTGTGAATTTCAATTTATCTTAAAGTTATACAATTAAATTCAATTTGTATTACTCAGTGAAAAAATGAATTAAGGAAGTAAGATAAGATCAAATAGTATTTCTTCAAGTGCATCTCAGAGTTCAGAGACAGCGGCGGAGGCCTATTGTTTGGTCAGTCTTGGCCATGTTCGTTGAGTGGGTGCAGCAGGCGAAGGACTCGCAGGACTCGTAGCACAGTAATTACAAGCAGACGCAGACCCTATCTTCCCGTCTTCTCTTCACTTACAGGATCTGTCTGTGGCAAGGACATGGTTAGTCCTGTCCGTCGGAGGAGTAAATAAAACTGTGCAGACAATTAAGTTTGTTTTGCCTGGGCATATTCTTTTCACTCATCCCATCCTTGCACGTTACTTTTATGACCAAGTCGAGCAGGTAATGGCTCTCGGTTTTTCGTCCTGGTTCCAGCCAAGATATTGCACTAATTGTTGTTGCCGGAGTTGCAGAAATTGGCTTTCTGTCGAGGGGAAGAAGTAAACTTAATTTTGAACCGAATTCGATTTTTGTTTTGTGGCCTGTTGATTAAAATTCAGTTTGGAACTTAATTTAGATGAAAATCATTTGTTGGTTTAGATAATTTTTACCCCGCATTGGTGTATACAAATTCAAAAACTCTCATTGTGGTCTAATTAATTTCGATTGAGCTCTTAAGCTTAACACAAAGTTTAGGAAACTACAATATTTAAATATTTTACGTTAAATTAGTTTTCTTTGTATCATATTATTATTAAACATATCGAACAACAGATAACTAAGGCATAATAAAAGATAGAAGCAATAGGTTTTCTCTAAAAAATACACCCGAAAGCTATTTTCATCGTTATTTTAAAAATGAAATGAACTTATTGTGATTTTAAGTTAAGACCTTAAATAATCGCCTTTTCAAATTTGTTAATAGGCAAATCGTACTAGGTTTTCATTAGAGTTCGTTTTCAATACGGAGGCTATAAAAATATAGCTTAATTCAGTTTTTTTTCAAATAATTGTATTCTTTTTTTTTCTCCACCACGTTCGCAGAATTGATGGCTAATAAATTGCTTGTCACTTGTCCGATGGCTTTATTCGAATTTTTGTCAACTAAGTCGTCAGTTCGGTGATTGTCCTTGATGACCTGCTCAACAAGAATCAACTTCTTCCCGCCGAATTTTCCTCTTCCGAATTTCCCATTCATTCCCAGCCATTTTGGCTGTCAGTCGCTTATTTACATTCAATTGGCAACGTTCAATGAAAGGACGTGAGCGTTGGCGTGCTGCCACTATCTTCCCATTTTCTATTTTATTGTTTTTCCTTTCTTTTATTTCTTTTTTCGATTTAATGAAATGATAACGTGGGAGCAGCTACTGCAGTAAGCAAAAACAACTAAATTATTATCGCTGTGATTTGACAGACTTACAATGAATGAATTTAACTTTAAGTCTCTAACAAGATCAAATTGGTTTTATTTTTTACAAATTAAACAATATTTATATTTATATTTATTTATTATATTATATAGTTCTAATAATATTAAAGACCACTTCAGATGCATGTCAATTTAATAAAATTACAAGAATATGTACTCAATTTTATAAAATTGTATTTAACTTATTTACCTTGTTTGTCGAAAACCAAATTAAATCGGGTAATTTTAAAATACAATTTCTTAATTTGCAATTTCTGTAAAAAATTTACTTAACGTAAAATGAAATTTCCTAAAATAAAAAAAATTATATATTAGAGACTTGCATTTCGTATTGAATTTTGAAATTGTAGTAGTATTGTAGTACACTTTGTATACTTTGGTTTACATTTTTCTAATAGGTATATTTACATTTCCTTTGAGCAGTGCACTAGCTTTGACAACCAATTTAGCACTTTGAACTGATATCCGGCCCCTAGGCTCATTTTACTTCCTGTGCGCACACATTTCTTATCATTCAGATAGTTGATTGTTTCCGCTTTTCTCTCTTTTTACTTCTCAATGTCATCTTGTTTGGTGCCTTTGTATTCGTGCTTATTTCACTTCGCATTTTTCTTGACGCTTTCGCTTTCATTTTGTCTTAATTACCAATTTAAATGCAAACTTTGGACTGATGAAGATGGATGTGACACCGGCGAACAAAAGGATCGGCGCCAAACGTGTCCTGTCTTATTTTCCATTGTCCCATTGTTGGCCCAACCAACTTTTCAAGTGCCTTTTTCAAGGTCCCTGCATAAATTGTTTGAAAAGTGTTGGTCAGTGATACTTGGGCGGTTCATTCTTTGAATTAATTATGTCCCTTTTGGTTATTTAAAACAGTTTGAACATTTTAACAAGAAGTTTCCTAATTTATATTTCCAAGAAATTTATTCAATTAAATAAAAAGCGTGATTTGACTTTTTAATGAGCTACTGTTTGTATTTGAATTATTTGTATCTAATAATGTAAAAATGTAAATAAATGTTTTTGTAAAAAAAAACAATCAAATCCCAAGTGCTTTTAAATGTTGTTCAACCCACTTAGTAGTTCTATCAAAGTAAGAGAACTTCCATCGAGTCCTAGGGCAAATTGATTTAAATTGCTACTACTAAAAGTTGCTTTCAATTTTCAACCAATTACTGCTGGCCATCAATCAATCACGACTTTTGCCCGAAGTCAGCACTTACAATGCACTACATAAACAACGGCTGACACACATAAATAACCCCATTACAAACCTAATTACAATCAATAACAATTTTATTGCTCGACCAACGACAAAAGCGAAAATGTCAGAACTGAAATTGTGGCAGCGATATCGATCTCACTTGTTGACATGGGGCAATTACAAACCAACAAAATGCAGTGCACTGCAGGCTGCAGCCAAGAAAATTTATAGAAAACTAGATAATTGAATGGGAAAGGGGGGAAACACCCACGCAAAACAAAAACCACTGGCAAACTGGTTGACAAACTAACCGCAAAGACTGTAGACGCCCACTGCCAAGTAAGTTGTACCATTAAAAAAAATAGTTTATATATATATATAGAGACGCCTCTACAGGAGCACTTCCTTTTCTTGACCCAACAAAAGTGTAACCTGATCTTAAAGTATCTTGTCATCTGGCTGGGTGTTGCCCACACTTTGCTCTGTAATTAATTATTTGATAAAAGTACAAGCATTAAGTCAATTAAAACTAAATTTATGCCAAACGTTATCTGATGCTGACAAAAGGCGTGATTTACTTTATATGCATGCACCAGTATGTTTGTTTATATTTTAGTGGAGTTGTCTTTTCTTCACTTTTCCCATTTTTGCTTCGATTAGGCTTAGAAACGAGTTTAGCGCTAAATATATAAATAGTGTTATTAATTTCTCATAATTGGTTAGTGAATATTTTAAAAAGTGGCTTGACAATAATTTATACAATTTAAAAAGCAAATAAAATCCAAATGCTTTCATTGTTATTTATATTATTTTAATTTTATATTTTAAGATCATTTTAATTTTATATTTTAATATAATCTGTTGATTTATTTGTTGATATTTAAACTAAATCGAAAACCATTATGGATCGTTTGAGATCAAAAAATAAAACATTTAATTTAAATTTTCTTTTATTTCTATATCATATTAAAATATATATTTTTTGTTTTTTAGTGGCATATACAGTATTGTGGCCAATTCTAAATTATTTAGATTAAGGAGGTATTTTAACAATTGATTTTAAGTGTAGTCTTTGTTTATTATTAGAAAAGGATTTAAAATTTAATTTATACGTTACTTTTCATTATAAAACAAGAGAGAACGCTATAGTCGGGTGCCCCGACTATCAGATACCCGTTACTCAGGTAAAGGGAGTGCGAGGGAGATGGAGATAGAAACTTTGATCACGCATAACTTTTTAACGAATGGTCCGATTTGAAAAATTTCTTCTACATTTCGATAGGTATTGATAAACACAATAAAACTGCATTTATACTTTTCCGAAATATTTAAATTTTTAAAATCGTATATTAGCGATTGTGGGCGTTAAAGGGGGCGTGGCACCTTTTTGAAACAAACTTGCGCTGCGTAGGAACTCCTAGATTCTGCATGCGAAATGCCAATCTTCTAGCTTTTATAGTTTCCGAGATCTCAGCGTTCATACGGACAGACAGACAGACGGACAGACAGACGGACAGACAGACGGACAGACGGACAGACAGACGGACAGACGGACAGACGGACATGGCTATATCGACTCGGCTAGTGACCCTGATCAAGAATATATATACTTTATAGGGTCGGAAACGCTTCCTTCTAGCTGTTACATACTTTTGCACGAATACAATATACCCTTTTACTCTACGAGTAACGGGTATAATAATAATTTTTAAATAATTTTTACTTAAAATTTAAAATCGATCGAACGATAAATGTTAGTTTCCGTAGCTTAAATACCGGGAAAGGAATAGCTAAAACTTTAAATGTCGTTTATTAAAACCACATTTTGAAAGTCCGTGCTTACCGACACGAAAATGTATCAACCTAATTTATTCTTTATTATTGCTTCCAACTACCATGCAAGCATTTAATTTGCATTCTTGTATAAATCATTTATGCATTTCCCACAAACCAAAAAAAAACACCGAGCAATCAATCAAAAAAGCGAGGCAAAAGCCAGGATCCGCCAATTTAAACGCTCATTAAAGGAGAACCAAGGAATACATTTCGTGGGTGGAGTAGGAAAATGTCCAAAATGGGAACTGCGACAAGCGCACAATTTGCTAATGTTGACGCCATTATTGTATAATTTTCGTTAAGTGGGCGGGGCAGTCGGCGGCGGTCGGTCATTTGTATAGCAAACCGCAAATGTCGACGCTGAGGTTTTCCTAGCCGTTTTCCATGATTTTTTCACCGACCATTTGGTTTCTTTTTTGACAGTTTCCGCGTCATTTTTCTATGGCATTTTACACAGAAAATATTTTAAATAGTATAATTTTATAAAGTATAATAAAGCAAAAATTCTTTTGGAATACAATTTTTTTATAATTTATTTCAGTGATTGCATTAAATGAGAAAATAATATTAAACACCTTCAAAGACATAACTAAAATCTAATTTACTTTAAATCTAAATTATATAAAATTCATTAAAATTCAATTCAATGACCTCCTATAACAGATAATTATTTATTTTTTTTAATTATAAACAATTACTTTTAGAACAATGGTAATTACTTTTAAAAGTAATGTACAAATTTGCCTTGCAGGATTTCATTCGTGTAATTGTTTTAAAAAACCATAAATAAAATAATACAAAAGTAGGATTAAGTTGATCGTATTGATACGTAAATCTTTTAAAAAATCAGTGCTGTTTTTCTTTATCCATTATTGTTTTTCTCTGTGCATTGCCGAGAGGGTAGTCCTTTTGGAGGTGCAAGCCCAGACCTCGTCATTATTTTGGCATTATGTGTGTGGGGGGAGGGGGGAAAGGGAACGGATGGGGCTACCAAGTTTTGGTTGCTCACAAACATTCGTAAATGTCATTAACAGTTGTAACGGCTTCGGGGCACGCCCACCACCCAGAACTTTATGCGGTACGTCCGGCCAACCGAAAAGGAGGCAGAGCGGGAATTTTTACACAAAATTACTTCTTTTATTCGCTGACTGACATTCATCATCATCATCAGCCGCAGTTTTCTGCTAGCCCCATGATTTATGCCCCATCATATTTTGTATTTTGATTCAACTTGAAATCGACTTGGGGGTGTGTTGACCTTAAAGTCGTGTTAGTTCTAAGTGAAAATCGATGTATAGAGCTTATCTAGATTCAAATGACTTTGTTAAATGAGTTTGATCAATCATAGATTTTGTCAACTGAGTTTTTGTAGCAATATCTTATCGTTAATTTAGTTTTTGTTTCCCCAGTGATCTGTAATTTATTTTCTTAAATGGCATGTAGTATTTAATTTAACCTTAAATTTCTAAGTTTAAAAAACAATTTAAGTCCATAGTTCTCACAAAACCCAAATAATAACTCCAATTGTTGTGCGTTTCTTTATAGCATAGAAACTAAGTTTTTATTTCATATTTAAGTGTAAAAAGTACTTCCTATATGCATACCATATAGATTTATAAGTAATGAATATTTAAGGTGTCTAGATCTTAAGCGTTTAAATTCGTACAGCTAGATGTGTTGGGAGTCTTTTTAACTAAGCTTATGTGTGTGAAGTTTTGTGTTGTTAAATGTTCGTCGGCGAAAGTAAAATCAAATTTTGTACTAAAATCAATGGGGGCGGGGGGCATATTTGATGGTCTAGAACAATATGGATACGTATTCATATATACAAATTTGAAACATAAAAAATAAACTGAAATAAAAATGGAAACAAAAAAATAAAAAGTCAACTAATGCGACAGTTAAGTCCTTAGTAAATCCGTGGCAGGACGTAGCTGCGCACCTGGGTGCTATAGCGATGCCATGAGGAGTGATAGCGCGCCTGATTCCTTGCGTTCGCTCGGGTGGCGCGATGCAGCAGCAGCAGGATGATCAAACTGAGACCCAAAACTGGGGGCCAGGCAGGACGCAGAGCCATAGGAGCAGCCAAGGCAAGCAAGGCCAAGATGTCACCCAGGTAATTCGGCTGTCTGACCCATCCCCACATCCCGCTGAGCAGCAGACGGCTTCCCTGATACGTGTGAATCGTCTCGATGTTGGCGAAGATCGGACTCTGCGCGTTCACCCGGTATTTGTACTTGTAGGCGCAGCTGAAACGCTTCACCAGCAATCCCAGGGATAGCAGAGCAGCCACTCCCAGCGGGGCATACCAGCAGGAGATGGGAACGCGCTGTTCGTAGAAATACTTGGTAACCGCCGTCAGCAGATAAGGAGTGGCTGCATAGCGCAGGAGCAACAAACATCCATAGCCTTCGTGTTGCAACTCAAACGACGAGCTCAAATGGTGCTCGAAAATGATGGCGTCCAGAACGTAGAATAGCAAACAGCTGGCCGAGAGCAGGGTGCCCGCATCATAGTTCACATTATTCCAGTAGTATTTAGCCAGGTAAAGATATCCCTCCTGTTCCAGCTGTGGCTTCTGGGGCCACACGAGAGTCTGGTAAATGTAGCAGGCGGCATACAGCAAAGTCGTCGCCAGCGAGAGGCGGTACTGGAACTGCTTCCAATCCACGCGCCCCAGCCACTTGGGATTCAGTTGTCTGCCCAACGCGAAATCAACCACGAAGCTGCCAGTCCTGCCATAATCATTGGTCAGTGTCTGGCGGAGCACATTGTACTTGGCGGTGTCCACCAGCCAGTAACTCCAGGCAGCTGCCACAAAGGCTCCGACAAGTCCAAAAATGCAGAAACGTAGATAGTGACGCAGAACGAATGTCACCACCGGATACTTTAGATATTCGGCGATTCCACCAGCAATCAAAAGGGTAAGTGAAACTGTTAGAGCGTTAAAATTGTAGGTCTCGCGGGTGAGATGAACCCTTCGTCCTGGCAGCAGGGCCACCAGCAGAAAGACCACAGACTGATAGGCGGCAAAGGCACCGACCACTCGAGGCTGGAAAACCTGGCGTGTCAAATAGTTCACATCCAACAGAATGCCCAGATTAAGGTGCTTAAACTGACAGGCATTCCGGGCCGTACAGCTCCAGGTGAGATAGTACACGGCGGTGGGCAGTAGGAGCAACAGAAGGAAGGCTCCCAGCCATCCTCCGAATTCTCGGGGAGCCTTCAACTGCCGGCAAGATGTTTCCGCCACCGGTGTGGCCGATTTGTGAGTGACATTGAAGCTACGGAACTCCTCCTCCAGCTCGTCTTCCTCCTCAATATCCTCCTCTCCCGTGGAGTAACTACGCTTTGAAGACTTCTCATCATCGTATACGGATCGAGACACACTCCGGCTGTACCGACTGCCTTCTTCGGTGTTTGTCACTGGTGTTCCAGCTAAATTCGATATGGTTTTCGACACCGATCGCCGGAGTCGCTCGGTAATGCGTTTGCGAATGGAATCTGTGTCCACCTCGCTATCGCCCTCAGCACGGATCTCTATGCGCTCGGTGGTGGTGGTGCTGCTGGTTGTGGTGCTGCTAAAATTGTTGCCGCTGTTCACAGAGCTTGTGTTGAAGAATTTATTTGGAGCACCGCTGGATGTGTTGGTGGTTAACGTCATGGGCAGACTGCTGGTCGACTGACGAACTGGCGATGGTACCTGCAATTTATCAAATTGATTAGTAAGGATTTCTAGTGTTATAAGCATAGATCGGTATTAAAACTAGAATCCGAGTAATTCAGATGCATGATAAAATGGTTGATGCTGAAATTTTATGTATGTTAACCCTCTAAGACTACTTTCCAAAATAAAAGAAAAAAGTATTCAAATAATTTATTTTTAAGTGAATGAATGCTTCTAAGCTCAAATATGTGCTTAGAAATAACGTAGAATCTTTGGTTCACCTGTAAGGTGAGAAGAAAGGTAAGCGGGCCTGAAGGCACGCTTGAAGCTTTGAGTGAAAAAAAACATTTTCAAGTAATGAAGATTTATTTTATTTTTTCTTATGGTATTCTGCAAAACAGTTTTTTTTCGCTGTGCAGCATAAATGCAGATTGCATTTCGTGCATATGCATTGCGTTTGTGAAGTTTTACAGTGCTTGCAACATTTTTTCCACTGTTTCGATCCAACCAATGTGGGAAATGGTTTAGCTGGTCAAACCGCAAGTCCGATATTGGATGTTTTGATTTTTAACCATGTTTGAGCTGATGCTTTGCTTGTTTTGACTGCAAGAATGGGGAATTTATTGTTCGTGCTTTAATTGACAAAACCGAAGGAATGTGTGAACTTACTATCTCATTTTTGAAAAATGCTTGCTTTCAATACTTCTAAAAAATTTTTACTCTTAGTAGACCAAATGTCTTCTAATTATAAAAATATATCAAAAATCAAAAAGCAATAAGAGCCAAACAAAGTTCTAGTACCAAAACATAGAAATTGTCGTTAGTGTATACTATTAATACCCATAAAGGGCGTGAAATTAACATAAATATTTATATATATAATTTGGAAACAAAGGCTGCACTATATAAGTGACTGTCAATACCATTACTTTCTAGGTTTCTTGATTTCAATGGTTAATCACTGTAATTAGAAGCTAAACTCGGCAACTACAAGTCCGTAATCTCCAACCGAAATTCCCTTATGGTAGCTCATGAAGGCCCCTTGAGCCCTTCAGCTGATAAGCAGTACCCCAACCACCTCAATACCACACGGAAAAAAATATTCGATTTTTTCAGCTGATTCTGATATTTTAACAATGTCAAATGAAAAACCAAAGTTGGAACCATGGGAAAATCTGCCTTCTATATATACATATATACATAAACACCGGTCCGTCATTATAATTATAATGAAAATGATAATGATAATGCTGCTATTTGGTCCAACATTGATTATAAGGGTATCAACTATTTTAAAAGTTAAGGTTAACTGCAACAATTGGTAGAATAAACATATATGTAATTATATATGATTCTTTATAACATAATTATTTGATCGGTATCATGGAAAATAAATTAAAAACTAATAAAACTATAATGCCCTACAATTGATTACAGGGGTATGAACTAAATAGATGGTTATGGTTGATTGTAACGATTAAAAAGTAAACATATTAGTTATCATTACCTAGGGGATTTCATTGGTATAAAAAGTAAATTAAAAACTGACAGTACTTAAAGCATTGACAGGATGTGTGCCATAAGATAAAGATAATTTCTTTATGTGCAGGAGAACTGGTTTCGCGGGGAAACTCACCTCTGGGACCTCTCGAATGGGCGTGCGTGGCTTGATGGCAACCTTGATGGGCAGCGAGGAACCTGATCCGGTCAGCGGGCCCACCGATGACCTGGGTCGGCTGGATCGGCGGGTGCGGGGACCGAGTTCGGGCGAGGGCGGTGCCGTGACCTTGTTGCGCGACGGGGAGGCACGTGTCCGGGTGACGGGACCGGTGGCAGCGGCGGCCGAAATGGATCCCGCCCGCCGGGTCACCGGCAAAAGGCTGGGCTGCGCGGATTGTGGCAAAAGTGGACCGCCGGACACTTCGTCCGTGCGACGCGGGCGTCTCAATCGTCGATCCATGGTGTATTCCGGAAAAAAACGTGCTGCAAAATGGAAACTATCGGTTATTACCTCTAGATACTGCTCAGCTGAGTGCTATATTTTATTTATAGTTTACAAAATACACACAATCTATTAATGTACTTAAGTAATTCTGTGTTTTTCTCTTTTTTCTGTATTTTTTTGTGTTTGCGCGCCGAAAGGAAAAGCGACGTCGCTGCCGCAACTGTACATTCCGCAGGCAGCGACGCTGGCAGAGCCCGCTCTCACTCTCTCACTCATTCCTCTGCACTATTTAAACGCTTTTAAAATTAGTTTTATCTACTTTTATCACTTTACAACTTCATTACTCACTGCTTATTTTAGTTGGTTATAGTTTTTCACGTTTTGGGGCCTATGAAATGCCGTAAATTCAGCATAAATTGGCGGATAAAAAAGACGCGCGTCTGTTGTCGGCGGCTGAGGAAATTTTGTTGTAAAATGAGCGCGGCCCTCTTGCGTTGGTATTTTTTAGTGTTGAATAACGACATATGCGCTTAACAGCACGCGACATTTGGCTAACAGTCAGAGCCGAGCGGTAAACTCAAGCAGTAGAAAAAAATAATTTTATATAATTGAAAATCAATTATGACAAGTGTAACAATATAAAATTTTAATGAATTCAGCTCAGAAAATATTAAAAATGTAACAAGCCCATTTCAATTCAAAGGTGCTCTGCCTTAAAATTATTCTTATAGAGATAAAACCTAAGTTATTAAGCTATTACTTAAGTTTAGAAGTGCAGAAAAAACCAAATAATATTAAGCTGGAATAGTTGTAAGTTAGCAAACAAATCGCAAAGGTTGTGGGTATCCTGTAAGCCTAACCTCTGTAAGTCTTAACAGAAATCGTTCAATTTGGCTTGTAAACCACCAAACCGACAGCTCAACTGTAATTAATACCAAATAAAAAAAAGAGAAGAAATATTATTTTAAAATAATTTTAATAGCATTTAAGATCAAAAAAATAGGAAACAAAAAGTGGAATAGCATTCAAATATCTTATTATCTTGACTGTTTACTACAAACTTGGCTTGAAAAGAGCCAGAGTGCCAGCGCTCTAGAGTAACAGAACAGTGCCTGTCATGCTTGGGATTTTTTAGCACCATTCTAGCCCGAAGCTCCTCACACACATAACAAAAGGCAAAAGAAAAATTGTAAATTATTACGGATTTCCCGGACATTTTTCTGTCAGTCGAGAGCAATGTAAGTAGAAAGCATTCGAAAAACACCAACCGCACCACACACACAGCAAAAGCAGACAAAAATGTTGCACCAGCAAAATTCTGGTTATTAATTTGTTATGAAAACGTCTCTCTCACGGCCGCCTCCTTGAAAAAATTGGAAATCAACGAAAGAACCAAAAGCAGCGCTGCGGAATAGCCAGTAAAATACATAGGATCAGATCTAAGGAATCCCCAGGACATCGCCATGGTGACCCCGCAATCGCCGACGCCCATGTTCAATGGATTGGACGATGATCTCTACAATGAGGCCAAATTCGCCCACGAAATCAACGACAAGATGCGGGTACCCAAGAGAATTAAGGCCACTGGCGAATTCTCCGATGAGGATCTGCTGCTCTCCAACCAGAATGGAATGATCAGCTCCTGGAACTACCACGACAAGATTGATATGAATGTGCCGGACCGAATTGTGGTACTGGGCCACAATCAGCACTTGGAGACGCGCTCTGCGCCCCGGGAAATCCAGCTGGAGAACTCCATTCTTCCCAAGAACCCCTCCATCGGACTAGTGCGGGTCCAGACGCCACCGCGCGTCATCACCCTCAGCGATCACCACTTCCCCTCGGCCTCCGAGGAGAGCTCGCCCATCCGGGCCAATGGGCACCACCTATATGGCCATGATCTCGATGATGATGCCGACGACGAGGAGGGTCATCCGGCCACGCAGTACGTGCGCGCCAATGGAGCCGCCCGCATGGGTTTCCACGCCAATGACACCCACTCCGTGGAATCGGACTCTCAGGTGAGAAAATATACGGCGGATTTATCAGCAGGCACTTGAGTTGCATATAGCACTTCCAACGGGGTTTGTCATTTAAAGTGCCTAGAAAGCTAAGAATTCTATATTTTTCATTATGTTACATTTTATTCTGTGGATTTATCACCAAGCAATCGGATTTACTATAGAATAGTGGCATTTCAATCTTCTGATCACTGTTATTCTCATTTAATTAATTAAACATCGATTATTCCTATAATATTTGCCGTTGCGTAGTAATATTTTTTTTGATATCATATTTAAATCGAAAATTAATACTACCCACTCCGTAAAGTGCCAGTAAGAGGAGAAATTCTGCAACATGCAGATGAATTAGAATGCTAGAAAGCGGAGGATTAAATTAAAGTGATTCGAATCGTTGGCCATTCTGGTATACTTTTGATTTGTAATTTTTACCTTTTAATTTCTTAACTTATTAATTTTCAACGGTTTACAATATAATAAATATAAATAATTTTGAATATTCTATATATTAATGATTGTGCCACATTTTGCATTACAAAATTGTATTTATCGTGTCAGATTCTTCGGTGCTGTGTTTTTCACCACAGCTGTCCAAACAAGTTATGACAAAATGCAATAACCAGGAGTGGTAATAGATAGCGATCACTATTCGCTTCCCGCCCATTCAGTCAGCTAAGAGATTATCGAACTGCTGCTTTTATTGATTTGTAGTACTGCTAAGATAAGCCTGACCTAATTCCAACCGACCGTTGCTAATCGCTGGAGTAAGCATGTAGCTCTGGCCGATCCTCTTTTGAAGCCTGGTACTCGCCCTCCTCCGAGTCCTTGAGCCGCTTGGCAAAAGCCTGACACTTCCAGATGTCCACCTCGGTGGCCAGGCACTTGCGAAAATCGAAATCGCAAAGGCCCAGACTGTAAGAGCCCTCCACAGGCTCAAAGTAGTGGAGACCTCTGCCAATCTTGATGACCACTCCCGAGCTGAGCACAATCTTGCGATCGTGCAGGCTGTCGTCCATCTGGAAGTTCATCTGGATGTTGCCAGCGGCCAGGTCGTTCTTCATTTGCTGTAGCATCAGCAACTGATTCTTGGGTGCCACCGCATCGGGTTGCGTGGTCAAGCGAATGTACTTCAGATACCGACAGTTCTTGACCAGCACCTCAAGGAAGTTAATCAGGTTCCTAAAGTGAGGCGACTCAGTGAGATGCGGCTCGTTGAGATGGGCCTCCCGGACGCCATCGTCCAAGTACGGGCCAAACAGCCGTTGGTAGCTCCTGCCCCTCACACCCCGCTCGATGGTGATGTGATCCAACATGCGGCTGGTGTGCAAGTGACCCTTCACTTGATCCCTCAGCTGTTTGGCCCGTGCCTCGTACATCTTCAGGTATTTCCCACAAAGCTGGCGGCGACTCGGCTCCGCCTCAGCCATTTGGGACAACTTGGAGATGCTCTCCTCGTAGAGCAGAATCGCCTCCATGATGTGACCCGTCTGCTCGCACTTCAGGGCATTGATAATCGGCGCCAGCTTTGGCAGCTCGCCATCATTTACGTCGGCAATGTTTGGGGTGGCAGTCATTGTTCGGACCCAAAAAAAATGGTTTACTTTACAGAAATTTTGATTAAGGGGGTAATTTATTGAATCCTTATTGTTGGCCCTGAAAACTTATCTGACATTAGAGATTTTTTGGGTGAAATTTTCTACAATCGATTAGCTATTTAAGCCCAGTGCTTATATTCAAATATTAAATTTGTTTAGAAACACCGACAAATATTAAAAAAAAATGCATCAGAAATGTACTATTTTCCAAGTTTCTATAAACTAGTATTAATTTGAAATTTTATTGAACACAAAGCATACTAATACTATACTTATACAAACCATACAAGATCTGTTTAATTGCTTTACCAGACGTTTAAATGGTAACCATATATTTAGTGGATTTATTCCAACAGGATTTTTAATATAAAAATGTTTAAAACTCGCTATCGTTTTGAAAAAATTCTCTTCAAAAAGAGAAATATATTAAATAATATATTTCTTAAACAACATTTTTAAAGGTTTTTAGTGTCAATCCGAATCTGTCAGAAGTATTAGGGGGAATTTTTGTTTAAAGGGGGAAGGCGATATTGGTCACCAAAATCTCCCATTTGCAGTATATTTTTTAACCCAACACTGAGATGGTACAGTCGAATATAATTAGCCAGATGAGTCACTAATCCCCGAACGCTTCTCTTTTTTTCCCAGTTGACCACGGGCAGTGCCAGCAAACGCTCGCAGTTGAACCAGCAGCAGCACAACAACCTAGATGCCTCGATGCTGGCGCATCGCGAGGGCACGCCCATGGGCGAACTGACGCCCCACGAGGAGATCCTGTATCTGAGACGCCAGCTGGCCAAGCTGAATCGCCGGGTGCTCAACATCGAGATCAACAACGAGCAGCGCACGCAGCGCGAGAAGATCGTCTACTGTCTGGGCCTCGCATACTTCGTCCTCAAGACAATATTCTGGCTGAATCGCAATTAGATGGACATGGGGCACAGTTGATGGTTGGCGATCTTCGGTGGGTGCTAAGACAACCACCTCCCTGTGGACACCCTTTTGGAACAGCTTCTTTCGTTTCTTGACTTCTTTGTTTCTTTTGTGGAAAGGCTCTGAGAGAGACTTTGTTTTTTGTTTGCCATAACTTCGTAGTCTAAGCTCGATAATAAATAAGCGCAACACCGTTCTGTTTTGTACACCGTGGAAAACCAAAAAACAAAGGCCCCATACTTAATTCGTAAGATCTGGCACTATTTAAGGAGCATGTATCTAAATTTAAGCTTTAATCTATACGTGTTTCACCTGAGCAACCCTCCTCAATATGAATCCGAATCATCAAACCATTGCACTGAAAAGATATTGTTTAAAGGTTGTCTCTGTTGTAGATCTGTTAACATTTGATAATCCCAAAGTGAAGACAAGAACTCTAATGGTATTTGTATGCGATATCCCATACGATAAATAGTTAAATATATATAATAGTACATTAAATCCCACAGAAATCATTGCATTGATTTTTGCATAACTACCGGAAACGAAAGAAATCATTTTAGAGTGTAGCACGAATCAGCTATTGAATTCATAATAAAATAAAACGTTTAAAGTACCAAAACAATCCACGTCTAGTTATTATTGTCCCAGCAAATAAAGAGAGCTCGATTTTCAACGCATTTAAAAAATGTATTTATTTTATTTTGTTGGTTTTCTCATTAAATTATACGTATAGTTATCAATTAAAACTACCGATTAAATGCAATTACATCTGCTTTTGTCTCATCTACCTTCCGATTTCCTCTTCTGCTATACATCTTTAGCTAACAAGACGTTAAACATTAAGTTTAATGCAAAATGACGAAAAGACCTGAGCGAAATTTCGTTTGTTTCATTTGCGGTGTTTTGTTTGTGTATGTGAAAAGATTGTTTTTCCCTTTCTCCAGCCCGATCATAAAATGTACAGATCATAATCGAATCGATTTCATCCAACTACCGAGAGAACAACTAGCAATTTTTGTATCTTTTTTATTTTTAATGGAATTATGTTATCGTTTACTTTACAAATTTTATATGCAAGATATATTTTCTCTTCAATTTCCCAAACGCATCGCTTATCTTAGCGAAACGTCGCAGAATCGAAAAAAAATAAACACCTCAACGTACATCCTTCTTCTCTTTCCTTTTTCTCCTTTCCTGTTGGCTGTCCTCTTTGTTTATGGGTATTATAAAAGAAACGACTACTATAAACTTAAATTCATATGTATAAATACAGATTTGCTTATTTTCGCGTATTTTTGTTCTCTCGTATGTATAATTTTAGTTGCAACCTCAACAGATCTTGTTTGTTGATGTTGTTGATGAGATGACAGATTGGGCTTTCTGTAGTATTAAGGGGGATAGTGGATGTTGGATGCTGAATGTGGTGTTGCCACCAGTGTTTTTGTATTGTGGGTTCTGGCTGGTTGTGTGTGACTTGGTGATGGATAATAGAGGTTGGGTGAGCAGTCTACTCGCTCTCATCATCATCGTCCTCGTCGGACTCATCCTTCTTGCTCTTCTTGGATGGTTTTTTCGCTGGTTTCGCGCGCTTTTTGGCTCCACCGTTGGCAGCACCGCCACCGCCGCCGTTGGCCTCGAACTCCTTGACAGCCCGATCGTAATCGTCCTTGGCCTTGGCAGCCTTGGCCTCCCACTCCTAAAGAAACAACAAAAAGAAAACCAGTGAATCAGTGAGATGTTTTTGGGATTATGGACTGCCAAGTTTACTTACCGACTTGTCCTTCATTGCCCTCCATAATTCGCCACCGCGTTTGGCCACCTCGGTGACTTTAATGCCGGGATTCTCCCGTTTGATCGACTCGCGGGCACTGTTGAGCCACAGCATGTAGGCGGAGAGTGGGCGTTTTGGTTTATCGGCCATTTTAGTTTGTGTTTGTTGATACTATTTAACAAGTGTTACAACTAGGTCTTTGTGCTTCGAGCTGTAAGTAAGAAGAGGGTAAATTATTAATATAAAAATTTAGATACGATTTTTTCTTTAGATGCAGATAACGTAAGTTTCAACACCTTTACCAAATAGACTAATTTACAGGAAAAATTGTGGGAATGATTTTGGTTTCCATCAGTTTGAAGTTTGGCAAATGTGACTAGCATGCTTTACAAATTTCTTTTTATCATTTATTTATTATTTCTTCTCCCATTATTTACAGATTCCCGGCTAAACTTCTATTGATTAATACTACTATTTACAAGTTGCAGACTATATAGTAAATAGCACTATAACTAGCTGTCTAATATTTATTAATTGCGATTAATATATTGCAATTAATCTATAACACTGCCCTAGAGTACAGAACTTTGGACTTAATTAAACGCTTTAATACTCTTTACTTTGTTTTATTTTAGGATATTAACAACTTCAAGAATTGTAAAGTAGAAGTATAAGTGTAAAATACAATTTCTTGCATCTACAAACATTATACTTAGAAAGACTAATTTTCTTTGAAACTATTTAATACAGTAGTATTTGCCTAAAGTTTATTTATTTTTTCTTATTGTTGTGTTTGTGTATTTTTACTAAATAACCTATAACTGCTCTGTAGTACTGTACTCCTCAGCGAAATCTTTAATTCAAAATGTTATGGGCAGCACATTTTCTTTTTAGCAGCGCGCCATGTTCCTGTACCAACAAAAGCATGAAGAGCAGCAGTAGACTGAGATGGCAAGCCACCACCGAGGGAAAGCAATGGCGGAACAAGTGAGATGCCACTAATACTGGAGCTGCTCAAGCACTCTGTTAAAGCAAAAAACTGAAAAAATGCGCGCGCGCGCTCTTTCTCTCGCGCCTCTTGCTTCTTCTATCTGCTTGAACGCGCGCCACTTAATAATTAATATGAAATTAATTGGCGTTCCATGGAGAAATATGTGTGAACCTTGAAAAGCAGCTATTTAGCGGTCCTATAGGGCCTGCTATTTGGCTAACAGAGGCTCTAATTTCGAAGGCGAGTGCGAAACACAGCGAAATGGCAACACACTTTTTCTGTATGCGATGACTGCCTTATATTGGTACAGACTGCGGCGCGCTCTCAAAAGGCAGGAAAAACATGTAAAATGCTAGGAAAAAGGCATTTTCAGGTACAGGTTTTTCAGAAAAACACTTATTTGTTTGCTTTAAAGAAATTATTTAAAGAGTTCGGTTAAGTAAAGTCAACATTACTACGTGTTAACTCTGAATTGACCGTGCCTCTCTTTGAACTTGCTCTTGCTTAATGAAATTTAAAAAATAACTATTTATTCAAATAGGCAGCAGGTTTAGCACTTTATATGTCTTGTATTGATTCACAAAATGTATGTTTTTTGAAGTTTTTATTTTTGCCCTGCGTCCACCAACCTTTGTCGTTTAATTTTGAAAGAAAACTGAACGAGTATGCTTCGACTGCCAAAAATGAAGGCGCCGCTCTCACACGTACTTCGCTGCCTCTGCCGCAGTCGACGTCGTCGTTAGCAGAGGTGCGCAAAAATGAAGGCGGCAGATGTTGGCGAGAGCGGGAGAGAGTTGCGTGGCTTTGTGGTTGGCTTTGTTTTTTGGGTTTTTTGTTGGTGTTCCAAGTAAAACTTTTGTTAATTGTAGATATTAACAATACACATATATTCTAATATCTAACAGCAAAACAAACTAATTAATAGGCCAAATAAGAAAAGGCTAAAAGATGTACTCTCCCTGGCAGAGAGCGAAAGAGCACAATTTTTACTCTCCTGCTCTCTCACCGAACCGGCAAATTAAAAGAGAAACGCTAAATGTCGGGTAAAAACAAATGAACAAAAACGCATATCTTATAGGAAATAGTATAGTAAAAAAAAGGCGCGCGGCTTGCTGTCTGCTTGTAAATAATTTTTTCAAATTTGCAAGTTTTGGGCGAAAAATAAGTAAATTGCGACGACGGCGGCCATTTTGAGGCGAGGCCAAGAAACAGCGAGCAAAGAAAAAGTCAAAGCCAAAATGGCAACGCTTTCTCTGCTCTTCGTTTTTGCTTTGGGGTACAGACAAGCGACAGCTTGACTTTTCACTAATAAAAATCACGCAATAAACTGCATTTTGAATAGACTTCACTCTTCACACAACTGGGCACTAATTTGTGTTGCAACTTATTTAGTACTTTTTATATTATTTTGCACAATGTTTCAGAAATAAGAACTGAGGACAGAAACCAACCTTGCTCGTGTGTTGCTCGAAAAAAACTGTACGGAACAACGCGTCTGTCGGCAGAACGAAAGCGAGTAGGTAGAAGAAAACGCCGCATGGCAGCGACGTCGGCAGCGCTGCCTTAGTAGTGGTGAGAGCGTTTCTCTCGCTCTCCCTATCTTTCTCTCTCTGTGCGATGCCGAGCAAAACGGAAAACGATAAATGGCATGTAAAAACAAATAAAACGCTAAGCAGGGAAAATGCGTTTGGTACGATAATAGACCATCTATGTAGATAGAATAGAAAATATAGTCAATTTTACCTTTGATTTCGGTGGGACTGCAACTATTTTGCAGTATCCAATTTTCTTCCAGCTACACATACTAGCAAGGAAACTAGAGCTAAACTCTCTCACTGGAACAGTACGAGTACACACGCCACAAAAAGACCGAGGGTCGCCTTTTAAAAATGGCGCCAAAATTTTGTGTGCATCGAATGCCTTAAAAAATTGCAGGGAAAAACAAAAAATAAATACTAACCTTTAGATATTATTATCACATACAAATTTAAAAATCTTAAAAATCATTTTGAAATTTTGGTGCATTTTTTAAAGTTTTCTTTTCACTTGACTATTTCAACTTACTTGTATCTTATTGTTATCAAATTTCGTACTTTTTTATATGGAAACTATTTCCATCCACTCAGTTATAATATGAGAAGCTCTTTCCTTAGCTTGACGAATGTTTCACTTGTATTACGATTTTTTTCCATACAAATGTTTGAACTGATCAAAAGGCAAAAGCAACGAATGCTATACAATTATTGTTTGCCCTTTCGAATTCGTATTTATTTTAGATTATTGGAGGCGACTTCAATTTAAGACATTAATATGTTCCAATTTATTTTTTATTATGATTTTTAATTACATTTTACATTAATTTTCCTTGCCCTTTCGTACAGAAAGAGATTGAACTAAATATTTTAAATCTAACGCCTAAATAAAATTATAATATATTTTTTGGATTATTGCCAGAAGTCTTATATAGGTAATTTTCTATTATGAGTAAATAATTGATTTCAATAATTAAATTTACTTTTTAATCATTTTAAATATATATTCAAAATTTTTTAAACTACGTAGAATATTTTGTTGAGCTCTTTATTTATGTATCAAATATAAAATTTTATTTCAAATGAACAATTTTATTTGTTTTAGATATTTTTTTAATTTTGAAACAATATTCTAATTGGAAAAACTCCCCGTAACCGTTACAATTCGGCCAGATTTTGGCGGCAGATGCTGCCAAGCATTTTCCCACAATCAATTCGTAAATGCCCAACATGGGAACAAAGGGCATGATCCTAGATTGTCGCTGCAGTTTTTCCTACCGAAGGCATAAAGGATAACGATGTCACGCGCTGTTGCAAGCTCACAATAGCCAAGGATAAGACAGGACAAAGGGAGGGCGAGAGCAAAAGGGACGACAAACAGGCAGATGATGATTGAACCTACCTGAAGGGTAGAAACTGCATTCCGTTGCATCCAGATAGTATGAAGGGCAGGGCAAAAGAAAATGCAATATTATTGCACTGTTGTAAGGCAAAAATTATTTCTGTTAAATAACAGCTGCTGTTAATGTTCGATTTCTGGCGATCCCTCTTTAATTCTTCCGCAAAAAGTCCCCAAAAGAGAGGGGCAAAAAAAGAGAGACAAATCTGCATACATTTTATGTGTATGACAAAACAACACAACTTCAGTTTTATTATGGACGTGTACGTAAAAACTTTAAGGGGCGTCTGCAGGATTTTATCAGTGTGGGGGATAACGATCTTCAGTTATTAGAAAATGGTACTAAAAAATTCAATGAATTACAGGGTTAATTTGAATATTAGACACATTTGTCTAACTAAATTCTTAAAGCAGTGATTTTATTCAAAAAACCACCTTGCCCAAGCTCCTATGCAATTATGACTTCAACGTTTATTGTTTAACACAGTAGTGGGGCCACAAGGTATTTCTAGGGGAAAATATTTCCGAGGGTGCTGTTTCCACTAATAACCTACACAATGCGTTAAAGTTAACACAACCGTCCACTTTTGGGGAGGCTGGACCCGAATCCCCCTTGCATCCGCCCTTGCAATTGTGTTTGACCATCTCCATCTCTTACGAGCGCCTCTTGAATAACGGACCTGCGCGCATTCTCTTTCTCTCTTTCGCTTTCCCCACAGCTAAAAAAGCAGCGCTGAAAAAGCAACAAAGCACATCGTCAGCAAATTTTTCCTTCGTTTTTGCTTTTGGAAATGCTGAAATATCGTTGTTTACATGCTTCATTTTAGTTTTTCGGGTGTTAAAAGCATGTCTAAACAGTAACTGTATGAAGTTGAGGCTTTAATGTCAGAATAATGTTTAGGGACAATAAAGTTACTTACATATCTAACTTTAGAAAAATGAATTTACTTTGTTATTTTATATCTTCTAAAATGCTCTTACACCACACGTTTCAAAGGAGATTTTTTAAGAACGATGTAAAATTTTCGCCATTTGTGCTTTGTCTCCCATTAAAAAGCAATCTTGCGAACACACATACACCATCGCAAAAGCAGCATCAAATGAGCGAGACAGAAAGAGAGAGGGGGCGAGAGTGAGGGCGAGCAAAGCAGAAAAGCAGAAAGCAACATGTATAATGCCAGTTGGGAAGCAGCATTTGTTCGGAAAGGTTATCGTTCGTGCTTTCTATCGTTTCTGCTTTTTCATAAGGGGGATTTTTGGAGCGGGTTCTTTAAAAATAAAAAGCCCTTTTGGAAGAGATCGTTTTCAGGCCATAAACATGACGTCACCGCCCGCCTTGGTGGGACTTCCATACCGATTTTCGGATGAGCGCACAGTGAAGTTTGTGGAGCTTTATGGCCGTGAGCCTTGCCTCTGGAACAAGCGTCCATATTTACGGCGAGCTCGAAACGCCGCCTACCGGCGAATCCAGGCAGGAATCAATGCCGATATTGAACCATACGAAACCTGTCTGACAATCCAGGGAGTGAAGATGAAGATCAAAAATCTGCGTACCGGGTACCACCAGGAGCTAAAGAAGATCCGATGCATTTCAGGATATCAACCGAAGACTCCTTGGTTTGCTCCACTTCATGGATTTCTGGCTGAGTTCTTGGACACGGTAAGCAATCTTAAATCGAATTATGATCCCATTTATGTATAAGCTAGATCTTAAAAAGGACTAATCCTTCTTGTTAGGAAAAACTCTTCAAATTCTTTTATTTTATGTACCCATGCAAAACTTATTATCGTGGTCATATCTTTATTTTTTTTTGTACTTATCGGCAATTTTTAAAATCCATTTGACTGAATCGTTTCAACATAAATATTTCACTTTAGAGGGAATGCCCAAAATGGTTCCTGTCAAATAGTAAAAAAAAAAAATAAAAAAAAATAAAAAAAAGAGTCCCACGTAACTACACTACTTTAAAACAAATGGCTTTAAAATCGTTTGTGTAGAAACGGACAGGCGGACATAACTAAATAGACCCTCCTGGTGAGGATGGGATGAAAAATATGAAAAGTAACTACGCCGTTTTTGGGGCTCTTACAAAGAAAGATGGCTTATGAATATTTAACCTTAAACCGGAAATGAAAAAAACTTTACGACTTATATTAAAATATTGTTTCCATTTAACCTCATTAATCACCAAGGGAGTTAAAAATTCATTTTAAAACTTTAAAAAGTCCTGAAAGATTTCACTACTAATATTTTCATAGTCATCAAGTAATGTATTTTAAACATTTTCAATGGGGATAGATTTAGAGTTATGATTGGATCTTTTCGTAATGATATATTTTGTTTCTTATCTATAATCCCAGAATGACTTTGATACCAGCAGCCCTCCTCAACTAAAGCGTCTACAGATTCGTCTCACTAGACTTAAGCCAATTAAGATCCTGACCGAGATCAAACCGGATCCAGATGAAGTATCTGTTCCAGAGATGCCAATAGTTCCTACACCTGCCTCCTTGTTTACTGTTCTCCCAGCACCCATGCCCACGGATCAGCCACCTACTCCCCCGCCATCACTGCCCAAGATCGTTGAGATCAATTCGGCTGCACCTCCAGCCCCTGTTCAGATGCCACTTCCCATATCGACGGCGTGCTCCCTTTCTGAAAAGAGTGAGGTCTTGGGAATCGGGTTGGGATCGGTACCCGTAAGAGGAACTGGAGTTGGGTTGGGAGTAGGATTGCGGGGCGAAGACGAATTCACCTTCTTCGGGTTGAGCGTAGCTGCCCAAATTCGGAATATGCCGTTGGCTAATGCAATGGTGATGCAATCCAAAATCCAGTACATGATCTCCATGGAGCGCCGTAAAATTAGTGGTTACTCTGGCGATGTGGATATGTTTAACTAAAAACTAGATGGAGATGAAGGATCTTATAAATATTATTTGTAATTGTATGTATTTAATTTTGCGCGAAGTATAAAAGCCATATCTGAGAATACGATTCTAAGTGATCTGTTTTGATAATTTAAAAGAGCTTCCTTAATTTAAGAGCAATCTACATATGCTTATTGGCTGTTTTTTTTTTTTTGAGAGCACATAATTTTAAAAATCCTTACCTAAAATCGGAATGTTTTTTATGTTTCCTTACGTTATTGTTAACGCGAACTACAGTAGATGCTCACAAAAGAGATTTTCTAGAATTACAAATTAACAGCCATTTAAGAGAAAACTAAAGAATTGTATTGTGTTTAAGTTGTGTTTTATTTTTAAAATTAAATATATTCATTATTCAACAAATAAATAAAAATGAAATTAAAGGGGCATGCACCTTCAGCCAGAATTTCAATTAAATCAAAATGAATTTAACATTTATTGGTTAACATCTGGTTTTTAGTAAGCATCCGGTTTGTTCAATGAATTTGCTTGTTTTTAAATCTAACAAAACTTAGCTTTAATTTTTTAACATACAAATAAAATGTTTAAAAATAAAGGTGTTTTAAACAAATGTAAGGTAATAAATGTAAAAATATTATATAAAGGTAATAGTATCAAAAAATTATCATAAAATTAAAAAATCTTTCTGTGTATGAATATTTTCATCTAGAAAATATCATTTGAGTTCCCGTCTCTACTGGTTTTAATTTGCGGGAGTTCACTGTGTCGCCGGAAGAAAAGCAGAGAAGCAGAAACGCAAGGCGGCGAGTGGGAGAAAGCAAAAGCAAACTGTACTGTACCGCAAAAGGCAAAGAAGAGAGCGAAATAACCGAAGGCGAAATGGAACCTCTGCCGCTGCCGACGTCGGCAGCGACGCTCTCTCAACGTTTGAATGTTGGTGGTGTAAAATACACGCGTGTAAACTGTGTGTAAATATGACATGATGTAATGCGGTTTATATGTTTCTATGAAATCTATGCAAAATCGACGATATGTGTAGTTTAATTGAGGATATATCTTTTTATGCCGATTTTGGCTTTTTCATCTGGCTGACGCATACCCACACACACATACATACACTCGCTGTGTGTGCTCAAGAAATTCTCAAGAAGAGAGAAAACCGAGACTCTGAAACCGGACGACAAGCGACAACAAAACGCACGGCTATTGTTGTTTTTGCTTATCAGCTTTTCCAGTTTATTCGCAACATATAAACACCCTACCCGAAATCGCGAGTCGGGCTTAACGGTTCCCGCAGCGACTTCACCTGCGACCTTCGATTTGGCAACCGATAAGATCAATGGCATCGCACCCACAGCAGGTGGTACTAATCTGGAGAATTCATCTGTTTCAATCACAGTGGAAATTGCATAACATCAACAGAACGAAAGTATTCAATAGACAGTGTCCACTCAAAAAAGAGAAACTCATGATGTTTATTATTTTTTTTGTAAAAAAAAGTCAATTTGAAATAATAAATTTGTAAGTTATAGACCACTTTTCGTTACTAACTATTTTTATTCAGTTGCAGAAGTAAAACATCCTAGCACAACCATAGCACCCTAAATCTTTGTTATTTATTTGTTATATAACGTCTTGTATTATTTTTGTTAAATTACAAGATATCGGGTTTTATTTTCACTTCAATACAAACTAAATTTGTGTACATATATTAAAGATGTTTTGTTTAATGTTGTTTTTTTGTTTCCAATGAAGCATTTTCAGAGTTACGATAGTCATTAACTATAAACGATCTAGAACTGTACACACAAACCAAAAAAATTGTATTTAAAGAGAGTAGGATCTTAAAATCTTCATACAAATTTGGACCACCCTAGAGAACTTAATATCGGTCGTTGTTCTTCAAGTTTAATTTAAATACTCTGAAAGTGATTTATGATTAGCTATGACTTTTATGTGTTTTTGAGGATACTAGGTGTCGATCCGTAAAACCACCACTGGTTGTCTACTAGACAAGGGCATTTAACGACCAATTTTGTTTTCATATCTTTAGAATAGTTATTTTTTATGGTTTTCCCATAGAGTTAATTTTTGCTTAACATTATATATAATTATATTTTAATAATAAATTAAGCATAAACACATTGATATTAAAATATTAATTTTTTTAAATCTTCCTACTTTCATAGGCGCCAAAAAACACCCATCGATTAAGAGAATTTGGACTGTGGTACGCCCACACTCATATGGACAGGGAATACACATAGTTGCACTTTCGCGCCTCGCTTTAAATTGGGTCACAAATGAGTTAGTTCTGTCCTGTTGCTCGTGTTGGTTTTGCCACTGCTGGTGGTGCAACAATAGGCGCCGTGGAATGTGCCGAAGATACTGAACTTGGCCGTGGATGCCGATGGGGGTATGGGTATGGGTATGGGTAATAGTATGGGTAATGGCATGGGGCATTCGCATTCGCATCCAGTTGTCGCTTGTTGTTGCTAGCGGCCGGCAATCTCTACCCAAAACACACAGGCAAAACAACAAAAACACATCGTCGGACCATCCGTATTATTTAGCGAACCCCCAGCTGTAGCCCACTTTTCCCCTTTTTCCCCTTTTTGGCGCACATGCATCATCGCACCATCGCACCATCAGCTGTTCGGCAAAAACGAACATCGTGGAAGGTGGAATCAAAACCAGAAACAGAAATCGAAATCGAAAGAGAACCAGAACGCAAGGCATTGTAAGTAAAACGGTTCATACCATAGCTTTCGATTCAGATTCTGAATGTGGCAACTGTTTAGCAGAAACAGGATTAAAACGTCTCCATATTCAAAGGATCAATTAAAAGCGGATTACATTCTTGAGACCAATATGATGTGATTAACCACTGATCCTAAAGTAGCTTACAACTAATCCCCAAATGATGAAAAAAGCAACCAAAAAACAGCTTATTGCTACAAAGCATTGCAAGTATTCTGTCACCATTAAAAAAGAAAGATTTAAAGTCTAAGGATACACATATGTACATATGTAACTGACTTTAAAGCTAAACCATTAGTTCAACCTTTCAAATTTAGAAGATTGTTTATTTGTTTTTATTTAGAAAAAAATGTTTTTTTAAGAAGGAAACTTTGTTAAACGTGTTTTTATCACAACTAAAATACCCTTTCCAATAAGATGACTTGACTGAACTGAACTTGCAATTAAAATTAACTATTTGTTTTATATTAGTTTTACTTTATTATTAAAATCTGTGTAAAGGGGAAGTAATAACTTCATTAAGCCCATCTTAATCACTACTAAACGATCCCCTACAAAAACTGGCGCCAAAAAGTTCTTTTCCCTCGAAGCGCGAAGGACCCTCTATGAAACGTAAAAATCCAAGTACATTTAGTCCATATGCCAAGCATATTGGTTCGAGTAGATGGGAAAAGCGCCGCAACGATGAGGAGCGGCAACAACAAGTGCCCCGTATTCCGTATACTGTACAACGTAATACTGTATCCCCTGCCCGGAATGTTTGCCTGCATCCTGCTGTTAGCACTTCAGTCTCCTGATTGTCTGCACAAGGATATATGTATATGTGTCTGCTTGCCACATTCACTTACTCAAGGCGACTCATGCAGTTTAGTTCTTATGAAAGGCACAAAATACTCGACCCTCCTCCAATCCGCACACATACCGAATAATTCTGAGATGTTTTGCAGGCGAACCGAAGCCATATTCTCATGTCGCCTGTCCAGGTCCAGGCAGCAGGAATCATCCTAAGCAGGGTGAACAGGGTCAGGGGAAAGAGGAAGACCGAGGCATCAAGGATCTCATAGAGGAATGCTTCGTACACACACAAAAAGGACCGCGGCCTTCTATACTCTTAAGCCATTACCAAGATGGAAAGTTGCAGCAGAATGTGGCAGAAGTGGAGAATATGCTTCATGGGGTATATACCTCCTATGCTTGAGAATCAACTTCCTTAAGTTTTAATAACCCTTTTTACAAAACTATGTGTAAACCAACAATATTTATGTTATATGTTATATTAAAAACTTTTACAATTCTTTCTTACTAATTTTTAGTTTTACCTATTAAAGTATTCCCCAGTTTAAATATAAAGTTTAATAGATATATATAACTTTTTTTTTTAAAAGGGTAAAGAAAAACATTATGTGCCATAATCAGATCATATATTTATACTTCATTTTCTGACTCATGAATCTAATAATGATTTGTACTGAATTATAGGCTTCTATACAAACTTATTGGCAACATAATAAAAAAATACTACTGAACAAATCAAGCAAATGTCGAAAGCATTTAATGTAAGAAGCAGTATCTATAGTATCTATCTTGGTATATATATGCTCTATAGACCAAAGAGCATCCATTTTTCGATCGGTTTGCTCTCCAGAGCTCTGGCAAACCCAAGTACATACGCATGCAGGCTCGTTATATCCACATCCTGTCAAATGTGCGCCTCATGCGTCCCCATTTCGATGAAGCGTCGCCTGTTTGCTCGGCTCGTTAGCTGGTTCGTTTTTGCATACTCCTCCCGAAAGCGTACTCCTACCCCCCGCCACATCCAGCAGGCCCCCTTGCCCACATCCACATCCACTCCATTCCTGGCCGACAATTGCCACCACCGAAAGCCGCCGCCAGTAGCGTCGGTCCGCCGACTGCAGCCCGCTTGGGTCTCTCACCTCCCGGAATCGAAGCCAACACCGTGCCATGGCACCAGGGCAGGCCCACCCAGCACCCCATCCCACCATCCCACCAGCCCAACAGCCCAACAGCCCACCAACCCACTATCCCACCATCCCCCGGCGACATCATCCGTCGGGCCGTTGGCTTTATGGCGGTGGAAGGCTCTCGGTGTGCTTCGCAGACACACGGCTGAAATGAGACGACAAACAGCCATAATAATCGACCGACCCACTGGCACTGTGGGACCAACAGGGCACGCAAAAAATGTCCATTTCTGGATCTTGGAATATTATACAATTTTCCGGATTTTGGTTGTACCAGCAATATTATATGTTGCGAAGCAACCCCTTGTTTATAGGCACCCCGAACTGTTTTGCGTTGAGGTCAACGATCTGTAAAATACGTGTCCTATCCCATCAAAGGATACAGTTTGATAAGCCTTTAAAAATATATTTGCATTTTACCAAAGATCTTGATTAATGTTATCCCTAATTTTGTTTACTACAATATTTATTTTTAAGGGTGTCAGAAAAATCTGTTCAAACAATATTGCATACAAAATAGAAACTAGATATATTCCGAAGTATTCTAAAAACTTTATTTTACTAAGCTCTTTTAAGATATAACACATACATAAATTATGCCACAAGATATATTGATACATAATAAGATTGGGGAACATTTTTTTTTTATTTTAGAATCACTTTATAGAGTGGTTTTCGTTTATGATTGTTTTTTGAAATGATAATTCCAATCTAAAATTTGGTCGTTACATTTTATACATTTGTGGTTATTTTCTGTCAAGTTAATTACTTTTTAATTTCTTGACACTCCATTCCTTTAAGTAAGCCAATAAATTTAAATTTAAGTACGGATTAGCTTTTATAGTTCCACTATCCTAAGAGAACTGTAGTTTCATAGCCAGATACTATGTATGTATCTTTCAGCTGCTGTTGAGGCTAACCACACTTCTTATCTTAAAGATAGTGAAATAAATTCCATATAAAGAAGGCCATATCACATTTTCCCAATGCGAAATTATCACTGGGAGCTGGAGTAAGATCAGGAATCTGAAATCTGGTTAATCCGTTGAGCGGTTCATCATTAGACCGGGTCCAGATTGTCCCACTGCCATTCGCATACCCTACACGCAAACGAGGCGGCCTCTTCTGTTTCATGCGTTGTTTGCGTTTGCGTCGCACTCGGGCAGATACAGATTCTGATTCCGATTCAGATACAGTCGCACACACAGTCGCGTATGTGGAACGACCGCCGTTGCCGCCGTCTGTTCGCCTCTCCCTCTCCCTCGCACCCGCTGCCCCGTCTCGCTCGCACCGACTCCCCTTCAGACACTCGTTCGGTTCGTATTTTCGAATTTAGCTGTAGCTACAGCCGTGCTGTACTGCGGTCTATGGCTCTACGGCTGTTCAGAGCGAGATACAGGCAAACGAAAAACAGTCGGCACTGGTCGACTCGATGAATGCGCTTTTTGATGGCCCAAGTTTCCATGGTTGTCCGGCAGTTTTCTCGATTAGATAAGGCACTTTGCAACACCACATCTGATGTCACTTCACTGATTTATGATTATTGTAATATTACACACTCGCATTTTAATATATATTTTAATTTTTAGTGATGTTTTAATTTTGAATATTTTATATTTATATTTTTATTAAGCTAACTAGACTCTTAAAGGGTCTAAGTGAAATTACACGACATTTAAACTACAATCTAGACGAATTGAAACACAGTCCTTTAGCAACAAAAACTTATTTATATATGTGAAATAAATTTTATTTAAGATTTAAGCTTTGTTTCTGCGTACCAAGTAATTACACAAAATGTTAGAAAAAGTAAAAATACTAAAAAGTCTTATAGATGCACTCCAAAATATCGTATTTTCAATTAAAATGTATTATTTTTGTAATTTTAAGAGTTCTAAACTTTATAATTCTTTATTATGTAAAAGAGTTTAACAAATTATTGTTATATGGTTTTTTTCAATATAATTTGGGCTATTCTCGGAGTCCGTTTTCATAGGGGTTTTATTAGACGAAAACCAAGACAAGCATCTGACAAAAAAATGTCCAATCAAAATGTCCTTTAACGAACTAATCGTATTTTTAACTCGTGGTTGTGTCGTGATTGTCTTTTCAACCTTTTTTTTTACTTTGAAGATACTCCAATTCCAGTTATTAAATCTGAAATCCTTTTACTTATCCCTTGTTTGTATTACAGTAATTTAATATAGTTAATAACCTCAAATTTTTTTTCAAACAATACCTTAACATTTTTAACGCAATAAACAGGAGCTTAATTTACGAATGAACAAGCAAGCAATGAAGAAAACAAGTATTAGTTAATTAAATATTTACTGATAAAGCTCAAAAATCAAATTCGTAGTCATTAAATCTTAAAATTGTTACTCCTTTTTGTAAGATATATATTTTTTAAAGATGTTTCCCCAATCTAGTTATGGATCTAAAAACTAAAACTAATGAAATAATGTGTATTATTATTATTATTTTATAAAATAGAGCAAATTGTAAGCTAAAAGCCAAAAATGCAATTATACTATAGTAATTATTTGCAGATAAGGTCTGAAATTATTAGTTTCAGATATCCTATATATGCCATAGGTAGTACCTTGTTATGCATTTTCCCATAGTTGTAAACCAGAAACAAATTAACTCACTTGAGTAAGTATTTAGAGATAATGCTTAAAAATCTTATAAAAAGTTGTAGTAAGAAAAAATTTTAAAAGCCATTATTTACTACAATGTATTTCTAATTTATTCTCATACCTAGTCTAACCCATATTAGTTATAAAAATATAAAAGTTATTACTAAAAACAAAACAAACAGCTATTATTATGGTAATTAAATGAAGTTAAGGTACTAAAATTCACATTTAAAGGTGTAAAAATGGGAAATTTTTAATGCCGTTGGAGAGACCCATATTTTCTCCACCAATTCCCATACCCAGTACACCCCATGTTAGTGATAAAACCATCCAAAATTCAGCTAAAATGTTAAGTAGACGAAAATACATGGTACGGCCAAAGCGAACCAGAGGCCAGGCAGGCCAGACCAAGACCAAGACCAGGCGGCCATGTTCAATGCTCTGACTCTGCGCTCTTGCCGCTGATACCTCGACCCCCCTCCCCCGCTACCCCCTCTCAAACGTTCCGTCCATCTGCTCTGCCGCCTGTGCTGTGCTGTGAGTTCATATAACGAACGAACGAAGAACACACAGCGACAAATGCCAGCCAGGCCAGATACACACGGACGGGAGCATTCTGTATCTGTGAGTGGCGACGAGCACCGATACACAGATACTCGACACGCACACCAGCAAAGGCCCCAGTTTGGTTTGCCTGCGTTTGCGTCGTACTCGAGCTGTATGGCGTATGTATGGCCGTATGGCCGTTTGCCTGTATGGCTGTATGGTATGGCTCTGGGCTCTGGCATTCACTCTGTGTACTGGTACTGCTCTGTGTATTTCATATTCCAAAGGCAAAAGCTGTACTACGTACGCTCAAGCGACTTGGGTTTTCAGTGGCAGAAAATTTATACAGTGAACAGCAGTACTGAAGCAAGCAGCTAGTACCAAACGTACCAAACTGAACCAAAATCGAGGAGATATCTGCGATTTGCTGCAATTAAAACGCAAATTACGCGACTTTTTCATACGGGTGAGTGTTAAGTGCTCCACTACGATTGATTCGCCATTGTCTCGCCTCAATTATCTGGCCAAGAAACAGCGCCACGGTGGCCATTTATTATATAAATTTTGCTAAATAAACCAAACGACCCAATTTGCGGTGCGGCGTGGGTTATAATACACTCTACTACTTGGGCCACATAGTGCTATACGGCTGGCATTGCCTTTGGTTCGCCTTTTGGTTGGGTGGCTTTGGCTTTGGCTTTCGTCCACATCGTGCTCGTATTGAATTGAAATTTTGAATGGAGGGCGCGCGCGAAATATTGACGGTTATATTTTGAAATGAATTGCAACCGCATTGTGTGTGAGCTGATTCGTTGGCTGATTACTCAATCGATTGAAATGTAAATGTCAAATCAATATTCTAGGTTAAATAATTTTTTGGAAAAAACAACAAAATTCGAACTTTCTTTGCTGAGGCCTAGGACTGAAGTTTGAATAAATTTATAATGTCTTTGGATGAAAGAGAAATTTACGGGGAATTGGGGAAATAGGAGTGCGTTATTTTTTTAATTTTTGCGGGACGGGGAAGGGCGGTACAGGTGGGCGGGCAGCAGTGACGACGTTTTTGACGAGCTGTAGGGTATTGAATGAGGGAGAGGGGGTCGGAGAGGGGAGAAGCGGCGCCGCCAAATACTACTGGCAATTCGTTCTCATAGCTCCATGCTTTTTATATGAACAAACAGGGTACAGTCACGGCAAAAATAGTCGGAACATGCGCGTCTTGTTAAAATTTAGGGTGTTTTAATGAAGTTTAATCATAAGTAGGGTCTAATTTAGGCGTATTTCAAAGAAACATATTTTTGTTTTTTTAATTTTAAAACTTAAAAAAGGTTTTCATTTTATTGTATTTTAAATGTATTTTTATGGGTCTCGTATTTATGGCGTATGTCGTTAATAATAACATTTAATTACTCTAAAAAGTACTTTCAATATTCTGTGCCTCTACTGTGCATGCGCTGTACCAGCTAATGCCTCTTGAACAGCTCAATTTCTCGGCCCACCAGTGTGCGGCCACGCAAATGAGTAGCCCCGTCGGAACCGTAAACACCCGAAGGCCCGCCACTGTGAGCATACAGTGGCATACAGATACAGTCGCCTACCCCCGGTTTGCCCTGTGTGTTGGTTGGTTGGCTGGCTGGCTGGCTGGGTTGTTCGACTCTCAGATACAGATACTTTGCTTTGGCTGCCTGTACTCCGTGCTATTTGATGGTCTCGCTGTTCGTCGTTCGTTTTGCCTTTGCTTTTGCTGCTGCTGCTGCTGCTTTGCTGCCCTCCTCTCTCTGCTCTCCGCCACTTCGCCTCTGTGTTTCGGTTTCGGTTCGGTTTGGTTGGGTTTCTGTTTCTGTATAGCTTGTGTGTAGCTGGCTATGGCCATTGCCTGGTACAGCTGCTTCAGTTGAATTTCAGTTCAGTTCGCCTGCCTATAGACGCTCGCAGTACCAGTACATTCAGTCTCAGTCTCACTTCAGTTCGTTTCGTGCGAGGCGATTTTCACAGTCACAGGCACAGGCACCAGAACCGAGCACAGAGCACCGAGAACCCAGTCCCAGTATCCAGTACAAGTAGCTGGACGGGCCAAGAAGAGTGAAGTAAACACCGAAACAAGGCAAAGTACGTACGTAGATATGGCAATACGAGTATTTTTCATACGATTTTTGCACTTTGCTGGCCAAGCGCATTTACACTCGCCGTCAAATTAGTCGGCCAGGCGTATATCTTTGATTAAAGTGAAATCATGTGCGCGGAAATATATTTGTTCGGTTATGTATTTAACTAATTAATCGCAAATTATAGGTGCCTTACAGGGTTCTTTTGAGAAATTATGTTGTTTAGCTGTTCATGTGCTTAAAAATACATAGTGTGTTGTTCGTGGATTTATTTAAATAATTAACCAAAAGTTAAAGGTGTTTTGTGTTAAAATTAAAAGATTTGTTAATCCCTTTTAGACCTGAAGTAGTGCCTTAAAACATGAGTTTAGTTCGGTTAAACAGGTTAAATCCATTCATTATTAGTAACATTTAACTAAATTATAAAGTGTTCTATGGTCTTTTTGTGATAAAATTAAATTACAGTTTTATTTTAATTTCCCTTTTAAATATTTGTTAAAATCAATTTGCTTTTTATTGAATACCAGTTTGAGTGATGAACACGAAATTGATTATAATGAGGTATAATAATATAATTAATGATTAACCAAAAATACATTGCCTTAGTCAGTGATTTGGAGGGTTAATGTGAAAACAAACTGAAAATATTGAGTCGATGTTGTTATCAGCTTACAAACGACTTATTGATGACACCAGGTTAAAGTAAAGTAAATTAATAATAAATTATTTAAAATGAAGGAAGCCTAATTAAATTCATAATTAGACTTAAATACACATTTTTAAAGAACGTTTTAACCAAATTAAATATTGAGTTCCTAGTTAAAATGTTGTTTAAAATATTTAGTTCTTATAATTCTTAACCCTTGATAACTTGTATTATTTCATTGTGCGATCAAAGTTCTGTTTGGCCAGTGTAGTTTGTTGTCTCAGATGACTGCGGAACATTCCCCAATGCAAGTCACTTTCTGCCGCACCTGCTCGTTGGGGCTTTTGATTTCTGATCGGCTTTGGGTCTCGCCTTCGGGAAATGGCCACCCGCTGTCCACCCACCTGTCGCCAACTGCGGCTTCCCTTGGTTTCAGCCGCTTTCCTTGGTACTTGCCACTTGGTTCTGGGTGGACAACCAAGCTAATCCCGTTTCTTGGAGTGGTCAAGAGGGACTTTTGCTTTTCTCGACGGTTGTCACATGATTATTTAGAGTGTTACGGTCAACTTTGTTCCTTTTTTGTACATAAGTCCATTTTGAGGAAATGTGGTTTGGATTGCAAGAGTATCCTATTTATGTAAGGATCTTTACTGATCTTCACGGATCTTCAGCCAGATTTACCTAATATTACAACTTTTTACGTTTCCTAGGCGGCATTCGATTGTTTTCTTCGTTCTATTCTGTTTTCTTTTGTTTTCCATTCCGCGCGCGTGTTTTGTTGTTATTTTTTAGCGCTTTGCGTGCTGCACTCCTGAGTGCAAACTAAAAATGGCGCCAAAAGTTTTGTCATTCAGTCCCCCCACTGACTCACACATCCAGAAAAAGGCACACCGATAAGGAGAGGGAGAGCGCGATAGGCGATAGAGCGGCAAAGCTTCTCGTTCTCGGGGGCATTTACAGTTACAAAGCTCTTTTCGCGCCACTTTTGTGCTGGTTTTCCTAATCGAATACGACTACTGCTATAGGGCTACGCTAATCTATAGGGCGATAGCCGGCCGCATAGCGGTATAATTGCGCTGATTTCCGTCAAAGTCACAGGCGATCGTATCTTTTCCCGCTCTTTTCTCTGGTTTGCAATATCAGGCAACGCTCTCTTGTGTGATATTGTCGATAGGGGGTTATCATTGTGGTCTGTTACAAAAATAGTTTTAAATCTGGAATTTATGGCTTTGTAATCTGAAAATCGAAAGTTGGAGGTTATTTTGAAATGTAATTACATATTGGAATATCTACATATTTTCCCCTTAAAACATATATAAAACATATATTAATAAAAGAGTTTTAGGCTCTAAGCCATTTTAAATGGATTATTTCTCTTAAAGTTATGATAAAAAGAGTGGACTATGTACATTGAGATACCCAGATAAGCATACTGAACTGTTTTTCCCACATATTTGCGATTTAAAAAATTGTTTGCAGAAAGTGTTCATGTTTTATTTCAGAACTATGACCTTTTAAAATGAGTAATAATAAAAATTAAATATGTATTTAGTTTTATTTTTACTCATATCGCTTGTTTTTTTTTGTAACTCGCGGCGGTGACTTATGCTGCCAACAAATATAATAGTTATTTTTGAATTTTAAGGGAATGTGACAATAAAGCTCGTATTGTATGGCCCTGTATCATAAAGTTCCTTGAATTCAATGTTGCTTTCTAGTTTAATTAAAGAGAGTATATTGGCAGAAATCATCTTTGGTAATGCATTACATCAAGTTAATAATTAATGGAAAAGGTAACAACAAGCCATGGCGCCATCTAGTGTGCCATTTTAAGGATTCGATATAATGTTGACCTACCCTTTGATTTTCGTCTCGACTGTACTGTACACTGTGCGAAATCGGTGATACAGAAAAAAGGGTCATTAAACGAGGGCATTATCAGCATTATGTATACCCTCGTTAAAAGTCACCACTGTGCGTTCCACGCTCTCCAGCGAAAACACATAGAGGCCGTTGCTTTCGGGCATCCAGTGCGCAAATCCCTGGGAAAGTATCTACCCTAAAATGCTGGTTCTGCGCACAAGCTTCGTGCTGCAGGCAAGCCAATAATTCGTTGGGTTCTGTGTTCTGGGTATTACTGGGTGGTTGGGTGGTTCGGTGGCTCGGTGGTTGCTATTTGTACTGGTGGTGCTGCCTGGGAAGTCTCTTCTCCGGACGGGGCATTAAAAACACACGCCATAAACACATACAGTTGGCCAGATAAGCGTTGTCAGTTGTCTCTCAGTTGACGTCAACGCCGCTGCCTCTGCCTCTGCCTCCGACGCAGTCGCAGTCGCTGCCTCTGCCTGTGCCTCAGTCGACGTCTGCTTTTCAATTTTAGATCGACAAAATGGCTGTTGTTTTCCACTGAAAGGCTTTGCGTTTTTGCAGCTCCTTATTTTGTATTCCGTTTAATGTCCTTTGTGCGCCTTTTGTGTGGGTTCTGTTTGCCGTTAGTCTGGGGATTTCATTATGCCATATGCACAAGCGGCGGTCGCAGCACGTTGCGTATGCGTAATGTGGCCCGCCGGTGCCGCCCACGCTGCGTATGCGTAATGCTGCTGGATAAATAAACATTACCTATTGTTTACCCGGTAATTGGAGGATTTATGAAGTGAAATGCTGAAAAAAGGCATTTGATAATTGAAAACCTTATTAACCTAATTTATAGCTTTGAAACTCACCAATTAACTGCAGTCCTTTTGAGAATATACACGTGCATTTTGTTAAACAGAAAACCTTTTTTAGATTGTAAAGGGAAGCATTTGGTTTTCGTTAACAAAATTAATTAAATGTAAATAACCTTTCGCATGCAATTGTTTCTGTATTTTAAAATATACTTTAAAAAAAATACGTCATTTATAAACATTATGGTTTTAAAAGGGTAGAATGTATTCTCATCTAGCCTTGTTATGCAGCATGTTTTTACCTTGCTAGCCGCGCTTGCAGAGAAAAAAAGCAAGCTCACAGCGCAGAACAACAGATACAGATGTATGTGGCAACCAACTATGCACATACACAGACGGGAAATGGTTTTCGCTTTCGATTTTCTAGGTGGACCCCCTCTTTGCGCCAAGATATACGTGTGTACATATCTATATAAGGAGTGTGAGGAGGCGGAATCCTGGCTGCATCACGTGTTGCCGCAATGTGCGACGCCTCGCCAGCCATCCGTCTATCTTGCGGATGCGTGTGTCTGTGCCCGCGTTGAACTAGCAACAATTTTGCCGCCGTTTTCCTGTTGCTCCTGGACACAGGATACGCAGATACATATATATATATAAATGTATATGTATAGGATCTGTGGGGTGTCCCCTATCAGCCGCTGGCCAAAACGAGGATGTTGTGCGATGTGCGGTGGCGGCTGCCTGATTGATGCGTCACTCCTGCCTCCCATTTTGCTCCTCAGGCTGCATATTCCTTCGCTTTCGAGTCGTTTGTTAACCCAATTCACGTCGTTATGCTCCTCTGACTGCCACCCTCATCCTCATCCGCCCCGTTTTCCCCATTTCCCCCTTTCTGTGCCTGTCGATGTCTCGTGCATTTTGCGCTGAATTCTGGATTTGGGTCAAGTGCATGGCTCGTGGCTGTTGTTTGGGGGCCAGATTGTCGTCATCGGTGTCGCTTCATTTGCATGCCATCTCCCAGCTGACTTGCGTCTAGGCTTGCGATGGCGAAAAAGGAGTGAAATGTGGGGGTTCACTGGCCCTGCTTCGAAATCCTTTGGGGTCGGTGACCTATGCGGCATGTACAGCCATTAAGTGCGTAGGTACATATGTACAAGGAATCGACACCCACAATTAATTGGAAATATTGCTGCCATAAATAGTCATTATGTAGGGGGTTATATAAAGCCGCAAGGATTATGTATTAAAAGTGTTTCATTCCAATGAGGGGGTGGGGCAAAGGCCGGAGGTCATTTCTGTGCGTTGGTGTACAGGCAGGCATATTTAATTAATGTGCACAGTCCAAAATGCAATTATTGAATATTCAATCGAATGAGGGCAAAGCCAAAGAATAACATAGGGAAATATTCCGAGATTTAAAAAGAGCTTATCTATTAAACGCAATTGTATTTATCGAAATTTGTTCATTTATTATACATTTGGGAATGTGATCAAACCTGAAGTTATTCATTACATTTCTGTTCACATTTTAGTTATTAACTTGAGTTTCAGCTTAAATTTAAACTTAATCTAAGGAATTTTAAGATTCTTGTAAATGATTTCAAATGATTATTTATTTGATTTAAAAAGTTTTAGTTTCTTTAAAATAAAGAGAGATAATATTTTATTTTTAATATTAATTATCTTAAGAAAAATCTAACTTTTTTCCATTGTGCTAGTAAGAGTCTGATAATTTGTTGTTTCCTGGTGTGGCTTACATTAAAGAAACTTACAATTTTAAAAACATTTTTACCAACTTTTATTAATAAGTATTTTGTATTTTTATTCTTCCAGCTGCTTAAGAGCTCAGCCCCCACATTTCCCGTGAAAGAAGTCAAGCCAAGCCAGAAACAAATATGAGTGGAGACCGCCCGAAGCGTCCCCTTTCCGCCTACATGCTGTGGCTGAACGAGACCCGCGAACAGATCAAGAAGGACAACCCCGGCAGCAAGGTGACAGACATCGCCAAGCGGGGTGGAGAACTCTGGCGCGGACTGAAGGACAAGACAGTAAGTGGAGGCAACTGGCGGGGCAACCGGTAGGATGAGTTCTAATGAGTGCACTTATTTTCGCAGGAGTGGGAGCAGAAGGCCATCAAGATGAAGGAGGAGTACAACAAGGCGGTGAAGGAGTACGAGGCCAATGGCGGTACCGATTCGGGGGCGCCCAAGAAGCGAAAGAAGGCGGCCGCCAAGCCCGCCAAGAAGGCCAAGAAGAAAGAGTCCTCCGAGGAGGAGGAGGAGGACGAGAGCGAGTAGGCGGTTGCAGCCTCCGGAATGGGCAACGTTTTTCTGCATAAGTTTTAAAATACATTTTATTAATGTAATTTTTTAAGTGACAAAAAGAAAACCCACAAAAATGGAAACCAACAAAAAAAACAAAACTTAATTAAAAAAATCTCCAAAAAAATATGAAAAAAAAACACAACAAAAAAATGAATTAAGACCTTAAATCTTTAAATATGCACTAAATCCATAGACATGAGAACACACACACAGATACACACATGCCAACACACGGACACAGCATAAACCATAAAGACTAAGTTAAAGAAGTGAAAAATCACACACACATTATTTCCAGTCAACTGTTCATTATATTCTAGGTTTGTACGTATAAATGTATCTATATGTATGACACTCTTCTTAAACACATGCAGCCCACTGCCCCCACGAGGGGATTCCCCGCGCCCCCTTTAGCCACTTTCGATTGCATCAAGTTATTTGAATTTTGAGTCCCTCGATTCGAAAGCAAAAAGTTATATATATATACATACATTTTAAACTATATACATAAATATATATTTAAATATATATTATGTAATTTAAAAAGGAAAAACAAAAAACCAATATTACAATTATGTAATTGTGAATGTAGAGCTGAATGGAATATTTAAAAAAAATATATATAAAAAATTGTGAAAACATTAAGGCACTGATTCGATGTTCTTGGGTGTGTTGTGTTTGGGAATTGGCTCTCGTTGATGAAAAGCTTTTCACTTGAAGGAAACTCGAATATAAGAAGCTTGGAATGGTCAAACTTTGCTGCAAGCTTTTGATATGATAGTTACAGTATGGTAGATTTGATTGCAATGATTTTTTTTTAATTGAAAATTAAAAGCTTAAAAGAGTCTTAACTATATCAAGATAGTTATTAATAATTTCTTAGAATTCTTTTTTGTGCTTATTAATTATTGAAGTTTGGTCAGGTTTTATTAGCTTTTGCCCCACTGTACTCGAATCAAGCAGAGAGCGCCTGCGTTAATTTTGTTTGGACTAACTATACAGATGTCCCGCGTTTCGTTGACCAGTTTATCTTCTTCTGCATGGACGGCTGGAGACTTTCTGTCTAGGATTGAGGTTCCCCTACAAAAACAACATTTTCCCAAGGAGCAGGGAAAGTAAGTTCCTGGTCAATTTCCCTAACGAATTACAATAAAAGGATTAACACCTATCAAAACAAATCAGTGCTCAAAGAACACCTGAAAAGTTCAGGTAAACTTTCCAATCACTTTTCAACCACTTGTTGAGCTGCTAACAGCAAGTAAAAAACCAGCAGTGGAAAAACAAAGAAGAGCACATTTCAAGCGGCAACAGCTGGAAAAATCAATAGTGCGTTGAGCATATGGATAGTAAAGTAATAAACTAAGTAGATAACACTCGATAAGGTCAAGTGCATTGCGTTTTGCGTGTCCACTCAGCACATTAATCATACGCCGTGTGCAACACGCACGAAGCTAAACTCGTTCCTTTTCCCCTGCTTAATTACAGGCTAAGAGGCAAGGCTAACGACCCTGAACCCTCCGTTGACACTGAACTTGCCCGGTGGCAAGTCGGTCAATAAAATGTCCAGCATGGCACGTTTTCGCAAGGTAAGCTATAGTATGGTAAAATGGTTATATTTTTTCGATAATGTTTCAAATTAAAGATATAAGATAATCAATGGATAGGAATGAAAATAGATCTAATTATAGGTAGATTATATGAGAGCAGAGATACATCTGCTATTCATAAAGGAAAAGCTAAAAAGATGTAACAAATAAAAATAATAAATAGAAAAAATTGAAAACCATTTATATTAAAAAATCCAAACAGTCAGTAATCAAAAGAAAGTGATTAAAGAACCGTATTTAACAGAATAAATATCAGAATCAGATTTCATCCTTAAAGGCCTGTTTTTTATTCAAATCAACATTTTTATTCATTTCTTCATTTTAAGAACAATAATGCAAGCACTTCCAAGCCCAATTCTTAAAAATATAATTTGCTTCTATAAAACTGTTTACTAGAACTTGTTATTTGTACCAAGCTTAAATATGCAATCCCTCAGTCAGTAAACTTTAAACCTTTAAACTACATATATACTTTTTAGAATATTTGAGATATCTAAATAACTTGTTATGATGGCAAAAGATTCTTCGTATTTATAGAATTGTATATTACTTTCTGTAAGTAAAGTACTCAAAGTAATTTTAGCTTTGGCCTTAACTTTTAATATAACCCTAACACAAAGTTCAAAGTAGAACTTAGGTTCAAGGAGTTTTTCTTGTAAAGTCAGGAGTCTCAATAGCTGACCCTTTGGGTTAATACCCCATGGGTTGATCTATCAGGTGGATAGTTCGATGGATGAGCTTTTGGCGTTCCAACTGCCGTTGTGCGGGTGTCTCGGGGCAATTACCATGCGAATCACACTTACTGCCCCCCGTTTTTGTTGTTTTTATTGCATTTGCGTGCTGGTTCGCCTTGTTTTTATTTATTTATTTCTGAAAACCGACCCTCAATCGACTGAACGTGCGGCTCATTCATTCATTTGCAGCTGAGTCGCCAAAGCGAGGAGCTCGAACCAGAGGCGAGTGCATCTTTGCTAAAGTCATCCCCCACAATATTAGAGAACTTTGCCTACGAGGACGAGATTCAGTCGCTGCAGCACAATCACCAGCTTCTCAAGCGGATGGCCACCTCACCACCCGCCCACTCCGGCTCCCAGAGCAGCTCCTCCTCCACATCGTCATCGCGGAGGGAGCCCAAGTTCTGCGACACCCTGGAACGGCATGCCTTCATGCGGAATGTGATCAACCGGCAGCCGGAGAGTGTACGCCGCTACTCGAGTCCGGGTGAAAAGGAAGCCCAGGTGCGGCGCAGTCTGGAGGAGATCACCAAGGATCTCAAGGAGATCGAACAGTTCGTCAGCGCCACCGAGGAGCTGATGCAGAAGGAGAAGGAACAGGAGCAGGTCCTGCACTCCAACAAGGAGAATAAGTGCCCCAGTCCGGTGAAAAGGGTCACCTATAAAATAAATGCCTACAAGGCGCCGCCCAGAAGACATCGTCCTGGCAGTCCGCGGTTCTACCACTCCAGATTGTACTTCCGGAATGGTAAAATCGGTTGCGTGGACTCCACGGAGCATCAAAACAATGTGGGCGCCACTCATGCTCTGGTCAAGCACATACTGCACCATGAGAAGCCGCTGGTAAGTCCGGATAGCGTGAGGAGGGTGCTCGAACAGGAGAGCTTTGAAATGGTTCCACTGCCGGGAGCTGTTCCCGAGGTCGTACCCGATCCCATTGCCATCCAGCGGGCGGAGGAGCTGGCAGCAGCCACGGGTCAGGTGGTTCTACCGGCGGATGAGGAGGAGGAGTCACCAATCCATCAAGCGGAATCCCATCCAATTATCGACGAGGACGAACAGGATGTGCAGATATGCTACAACGAATCGCCGGAGCTCCAGAACGAAGATCGCAACGAGCGAGCCCAGGGAACACCCTCCATCAATGACAGCGAGATAGTGGCCGTTGACGAGCCGGAAACGGAATTGAATGTGGATATGGACCTGGAGCACCGCAAGCCAAGCAGTGCTGGTAGCTTGGACTCCCAGGGTCAGCAGTTCCTCCGCGACCAAGTGCGTCATTTGGTTCGTCGCTTTACGGCCAGAGCCAATAAGGTCAAGTCGCGGATCGAACTACCACCAACTCCTTCGTCCAGCAGCACGGCCAGCTCACCATCTCCTCCGCCCACCAAGAGTCTGCATCCTTCTCCGCAGCACAAGGTGCGACTGGTGCCGGCGGGTCAATCTCCACATCGCGGCAGACTCTTCGAGGCGGATACCCCGCGGTCGAATGTGTGGCTCTGCTCCAGTTTGTGCGGGGCCAATAATGATGAGCGCACTTTGGATCCCCAGGGCAAGATCTACATCTCCTGGCTATGCGTCGTGTCACTGTCGTTCCTCTACAACGCCTGGGTGATCCCGCTGCGCTCCTCGTTTCCCTTCCAGACCAAGGAGAACACCAACATCTGGCTGGCCTGTGACTTTTGTGCCGACATTGTCTATTTGCTGGATGTGGTCTTCTTTAAGCATCGCGTTATGTACCTCTTCGAGGGATTTTGGGTGAAGAACAAAAACCTGACAAGGAAGAACTACATGAGGAAACTGCAATTTAAGGTGGGTTCGTTTGACCAAATATTTAGAATTCCTGTTTTATCCTTATTTTCTTTACACTGACTAAAGATTTGAATCCCAAAAATAAACCCATTTTCTAGAAACTTATGAATTTATATTACATTTTCAGTTGGATCTGCTGGCCCTTCTGCCGCTGGAGCTTTTGTATCTAAAACTAGGCACAGGTGCTGTTTGGTTGCGTTTTCCCCGGTTCTTTAAGATTCAGAGCTTCTGGGAAGTGTTTCGTCTTCTGGACCGAGTAATATCATCACCACACTTCGTAAGCTCTCTCTCTCCTTCAAAATTAACTTCTTTAATTAATTATACATTTTCAAATAGGTTCGAGTGGCCAAAACATTGACCTACATGCTGTACATGATCCACATCACAGCAGCTCTGTACTATGCCTACAGTGACTACCAGGGATTGGGTCAGAATCGATGGGTCTTCAGCGGCAAGGGTCATCCGTATGTAAGGTGTTTTGCTTTTGCTACCAAGACGGCCACATCGATAGGAAAAAACCCAAAACCGGAACGCCAGGGGGAGTACGTCTTCATGACGGTGGCCTGGCTGATGGGCGTCTTTGTCTTCGCTTTGCTCATCGGTCAGATCAGGGACATTATCTCCACAGCCACGCGAAATAAGCACGAGTATCGACAGCTGGAGGATGAGACGCTGGAGTACATGCGACGTCTTAATCTCTCCCAGGAGGTGCAGTCAAGGGTCAAAATGTGGTTTCAGTTCACATGGGAACAGCAGCGCACTTTGGGTTTGTAGATATAGTAAAGTTTTCTAACTAATTTTTCAACTAATTACCTTGTCATTTCACAGATGAATCCAACATCCTGGATGCCTTGCCTATCAACCTAAAAACCGACATCGCTATCTCTGTGCACATTCAAACCCTATCCAAGGTTCAACTCTTTGCCGATTGCGAAGAGGCTTTACTCAGAGATCTGGTCCTAAAACTAAGAGCTGTGACCTTTCTGCCTGGAGATTTCGTTTGCCGGAAGGGTGAGGTTGGCAGGGAGATGTATATCGTGAAACTAGGTCAAGTCCAAGTGATGGGTGGTCCTAGTGGTGATATGGTCTTAGCCACCCTCACCGAAGGCTCCGTTTTCGGTGAGATCAGTCTGCTGGGAATCAATGGAGCTGATCGCAGGACAGCAGATGTGCGATCCAAGGGCTACTCCAATCTGTTTGTGCTGTCCAAATCCGATTTAAACGAGGTCATTGCATACTATCCCAATGCCCAGGCGATTCTCAAGAAACGAGCTCGTCAATTGATGAGGAAGAATGCAGCCAGGGAGCGGGAGGAGGAGCGAGAGAGAGCACGCAGTGCACTCCAGGCAGATGTGGTTATCGGAAACCCGAAAACACCGGAGACGCCACCGAAACTCTTGCAGACAGTTATCCAGGCGCTACCTTATGAATCACCCGCCGTCGTGCTCATCACCAGAGGTTCGAAGAGGATGCGTCGCAAACGCCAATCACTGCAAATGGAGACCATCGTGGAGCCCAAAATGGAGATCACAGGTGCCGCCGAAGCGCTGGACCAGAAGGCCATAAAGCCGGGACGATGTTCTCCCGATTTACTCTCCTCCATCCAACAAGAGCTGAAGTCCAAGCACAGGTTCATTAACCTCACGGATTCGGAGAAGGCGCTGATTAGCCAATCGGCCAACAATTCGTTAGAGGACATGAAGGTGGTGGATCTCTAAGATTTCATAGCCAATTCCATAGTATTTGTCTAATTATTGTAACAAAATATTCTGCGATATAAACTCTGTGTGTATAACAATAACTCTATTTAGCTAATTGCCCGTCTTAAAGGCAGCCAGCACTGCTTCCACGATTGTAGGAACCTCCGCCATGGCACCGTTTCCTGTATCCCCACACATGAGCGTCTTGGAGATGCAAGGTATCTCCTTGTAGCCCCAACTATTCAGCTTGTCGATCTGCTCCCGGGTTATGGGGTGGTCGTACATGCGAGTGTTCATCGCAGGGGCAAAGAGTAGGGGTTTCTGAAGGTCCCAGGCCCGCACCACGCACATAACTATATTATCGCAAATCCCCTGCCATAAACAAAGATACAAAGTTAGTTTTATATCCAAAGAATTTCACAAGATTGTGCATTTGACTTACAGTGGCCATTTTGGAGAGGGAATTGGCGCTGAGGGGGGCAATCACCAAGAGATCGGCCCACTTGCCTAGGTCAATATGCAAGACAGGATCTCCTCGTTTGTTCCAGTTGATCCACTCATCGCGATTGTGGTAAATGGGTACTGCAAGATAAGACTCATTATTAGGATTGCTATAATTTTGGGTTTATAAAAGGTTTAATGTAGATAAATTGATAGGATTTATTAAACCTAAGTTAAACAAAAGTGTGTTAAGTTTAATACCAGGTTCATTTTTGACTGCTCCTGCTACCTTTAGTAAAACTCGATAAGATCACTGACCTAACAACAAGTTTTAGGCCCATACATCTTGAATAAACAAAAAGTGAGAGTAAGTTTTAACTATATTATCAATCAAACCCAAATATTTTTATATAATTTGGCCGTGACAATTTTTTTTAAATGCATTGTGAACTAACTGATGTATTTTAATACTATAACTACACTCAAAAATGATATAAGATGTTAAAAGACGCTTCAAAGGTTTAAATAGAATCCATCCATATTGCATAATAGATAAATGACTTAGATTTGGTCTTAGCTGCAAACTCCTAAAAGAGGCAACTTTATGGTTATTTTGGATGGTTAAGTTGATCAAATATGAATGAGTTTTATGATTTATCCGTTCTGGGTTATTAATATAACCTACGATATGAATACAACATTAAGGTAAGCCCCATAGATAACGCACCATTCTCGGGAATTTGCTCCAGTTCAAAGAAGTGCTTGGCTGCCTCGGTGATAAGGATTTTCAGGTGGAATTTGAAGGGCAAACTCTCGTCGGAGAGTTCCTTGATTAACTGGGCTAGTTTTATGGTGGCCACACTTCCGGTGGCCGCTATCATCACATTGCGTTCGGGTTTCATAGTGTCCAATAGCCTCTAGTGCTTCTGGTCCTCCGCCTGTTTCTGGTCGGTTTTTGTGTTCTGATCGTGGAAGCCCAACTTGGACCACTCGGTTCTCTCCATAAGATTGTTGTCCATGCGGCAGGCCAGATAGTTCTGGGCGTCCTGGCGGCACTGTCCCGTATCCTGGGCGTTTTTGCGCAGACAGCTGGCGTAGAGTAGGAATTGCTTCTTGCAGAGTCCTTCGTGGTCCAGGGGAAAGGAGCCCTTCTCAGGCGGCGTGGGCACGAACTTCTTCTGGCTGTAGATCTGAGAAGTCATTTGTGGGTATGTCGGCTCTCGCCTTATCTTAATTCATTGATAAATTATGACTTCAATTACGAAAGAATTGTGTAAATAGAAACGTAGTGTGACCAGAGCTAATGCTGTGCCGGGTTCTAGAGGATACTTGGAAAATACCAAAAGCAATGATACTTATTAGAATAAAAATAGCATGAAAATAATCAAAAATTAAAAAGTAAGAAATTTTGAACTATGATTTAATTGCTAAAAACTGTCAACTGTAAATTAATTAAATTAAACCTGTTAAGAAACATTCGCAGATTAATTTCAATATAAGAATTGAACTGTGAAAATTTGACAGTCAATTTTATGCAATATTAAATTTAGCAACGCAAAGTTATGTTCCTTTAAAATTCTTTGATTTATATTAAAAATAAAAATTCACCTACTTTACTTAAAATATGATGATTTTCAGTGAATACGTAAATGAGTTATAAGTCGACCAATGATTACATAAAAACAAAATTAAGGAACAAAATTAGAAACCAAAGTTAAAAAAAATATTTTGTAAGATGCATCCCCCATAACTCTACATTAACAAATTTACAGTTCCATAAATTCTGTGACTCATGTTAAAAAGAATACCCCCATTGCCGCAACTGTCACACGTGCCAGTGATAAAAAATCCGGCACACCATCCACCTAGAGGCGTTAGTCACTTGTCGTTTTTTCGTAGCAGGCTATGTCGTTGGGCAACGCAGGGCGAATTGCTGTTTGTTGGTTCGTACAAATTCCCTTTAAGTCAAGTTACACAAGTTTATGGGCCTTCCGAATTATTCAGGACTGTTCTGACCGTGGGTGGCGTGTACGCTTTTGTGCTGTCAAAGCAATCCGTTGAGAACCGGCGTTACGAGAGCATGCGAGTACGTGAGCGCATGAGGAAGGCAAACCAAGGCGATTACGACTCAACCGCAGCATCGGACAGGCGATTCGACTACTAGCAGTAGCACCCACATCCGCACCCACTAACTAAATTCCAGGAGAAGCACACCGCACATAAAGATGGCCCTGCCACAGATCAGTTCCGCCGACCAGGCCAAGTTGCAGCTGATGCAGGAGATGGAGATCGAAATGATGTCCGATTTATATAACCGCATGACGAACGCTTGCCACAAGAAGTGCATTCCGCCCCGCTACTCCGAATCGGAGTTAGGTGAGTACTGGCTATAGATGTTCAATGTCCACACAGGTGTACCTAAGTAGGTACATACTCTTAGTTCTTTTTTTTGACTCTGGGTACATACAAGATTTAATTCAAAGTACAATACAAAAAAATGAAATGAAATGCATTCCCTTGCCCTTTCAATTAAGTGCAAGAATATTTGGAAAAAATTCGATGCCAAACAATTTCTTAAATATTTTTATATCAATACATTTAAAAAATATATTTTGAATATTAATTACTTTTTCTATTGTGAAATAGATTAACACACCCACAAAAATTTCTTTCAGCCAAAATCGGTTAAAATGTATGTGTCCATATGTACATCATGTATTTTCCAATCGAATTTGATTGAAAGATATTTCTGTAGCACCCAAATAATAATATAATATGAACGTAGGGATTTGTTAAATGTAATGCAAAAGGAGATGTTTTTGGAATTTGTAATACATAAATTATAATTCTAATTTTCGTTAGTTACTATCATTTTTTCTAAGCTTGAGTAAGCTTTCAATTAACCTTTATTTAAGTAGACTACATAGCCTTTCCTAACTTTTCTATAAATATATTTAAAATCAGTTCTTTAAACTTGATTTTGATTCAAATAAAAAGTACCCTATACTAATAAGTTTACACTGATCATTTCATATCTGTTCAGGCAAGGGCGAGATGGTGTGCATCGATCGCTGCGTGGCCAAATACTTGGACATCCACGAGAAGATTGGCAAGAAGCTCACGGCCATGTCGATGCAGGACGAGGAGCTGATGAAGAAGATGTCTAGTTAACCTGGAAACCCCATTACCCCCACTTCCACTTAACCATTGTGCATTTTGAAGCGCTACGATTGTTAGAGGTACATGTACAAAACACGCAGTTGTAGAGAATAAACCACAGATTTATGAGTGCTACATAATATCCGACCGCTACCTACATTTATGCCTTTAAAAGGTGGTGACAAAGCGCGACATTTCCGGCAGCATGACACTCAGATCCTCGATGTTGTTCTCCAGCGTGCTCTCGTCCGTGGTGTCCAGTTCGCTGGTGCGTACGCTGTTTGCCCAGTCGGAGGAGTCGATGTCCTGCCCGGCGCCCCTAGCCTGATCCTCCTGCTGTTCCTGCGTGTTAAGGCTGGCCCGACTGGAAAGCCCATCGCAGGCTACGGCAGGATCCTCCGGCTGTTCCACATAAAGGTTGGTCTGGCGCTGTAAAAATGGAAGGAACTAAACTACAGACTATCGACAAGATTGCTCGATACTCACCAATGCCATTAGCTGCAGATCGGGATGAAGACTGATGGGATTCTTGGACAAGTTGAGCATGTGAAGGGTGCGCAGCTCCTCCAGCTGAGCCCTCGTGGGCAGCTCATCAATCCGGTTCTCGTTGAGGAACACGAACCTTAGCTTCTGCATGGCCATAAGCATCCTGGGCAGTCGCCTCAATACGTTGCCCTTGAGATTCAGATGAACCAAATCTCCCAGCAGCGCCAATGTCAGGGGAACTTCTGTGAGCTCGCAGCCCTCGGCGGTTAGCCAACGGAGTGAGGACAGTGCGCCGATGGCTTCGGGCAGCTTCTTCAAGGGATTACCCCGGACTCCCAGCGTCTCCAGGCGCTCGCAGTTGCGAATCTCGGCGGGCAGTTCCACTAGACCCGTTTTATTGCACCAGAAGGTCTCCAGCTGGGTCAGATAACCAATTTCCGGGGGCAAAGAACTTATGTTATTGCAGCTGATGTTGAGGAACTTCAGCCAAACCAAATGGCAGATGCAGAGCGGGAATTCATCCAGTTTATTGTAGTCCAGAGTCAAAACTTGTAGACGCTGCAAGCTGCCAATGGAGGATGGAATCTGTCAATGGGTTATAGCTTGTTATTTATTTATTTTAATCACTGAAACGTCGAACCTTTGTCAACTTGTTTTGGTTGAGAAAGAGCTTCATCAGCGTTTCGCACTGCTCGATGATTTCCGGCACTTGGGCCATCTGGTAGTGGGATAGATTCAGGGTGAACGCCTTCTTGTATATCGCATCCTCGCAGTTGGCCAGCACATAGTTGTTGCGGAAAAACTGACAGACCTTCTCCATGTCGCTTTTATTTATTTATTTTTCTGTTGTACTTTAATTTAGCAGCTTGTGATTCCAAATTGTTCAACACTCTTCCGAAAACTTACTAAGTTTTGGCCAATAGCTTTATTTTCAGGATTCGAAATTTGTGGTTTCGAAATATTGTCTCTCTAGCGCATTTTTTTCGTTTGTTTTGAGTGCATATTATATAATGATTCTCAGGGTCTATATACATATTATGCTTAAATGTCGCCGTTTGTCTGCTCCCAAATATTGCACTCTTCGTTTGCTTTCTCTTCCCAAGCTAATGAACTAAATTTAAAAATCCCCTTAGCTGGGTAAAAGCATGCGCAAAATTGTATCTGCAACCAAAGGGTGATTCTATTTTAATATGCTTTTCAAATTATTGGGACATTGTTTATCTTTTATTGAAAGCTCCAGATCTGGAACCCATTTTTGCAGTCTAAGCTGTGATGTCACCCGATCCGTTCTCAACTGCTGAATGGAAAAGCTCGTCTTTCTCCCGGCTTGTATAAATAGAATTCAAATTACCAGACTGCTCTCAGTTGAAATTGAGCTCAGAGTCTGGAAACTGCATCATGAGATCGTTTGTTTTTCTTGTTTTTGCTGTGGGTTGCCTGTTGTTTGCCGGTAAGTTGAGTGTGGGAACCTGAGAACCGTGTGGCATTCATTTAACTCTCTTCTCGATAAGCCTCAAATGCGCAGCAGAATTATGATGGGAGAAATGGCCCGCACGAGTTCGGAACTCCTGGAAATGGTATCTACATAAGGGGTCAGAACGAAGGACCCTACACGGTTCCCGGCGTGGGAGGTACCTTCCAGAATTCGCCCTCAAGTGGCCAACATGTCTACACCGATGACCAGGGCAATACATACACCCATTCCTCAACCGCAAAGGCCAAGAATGTGGCTTCTTCACCTTTGGGCTTCAGCATGGGCGGTGTCCTACTTCTGTTTCTGAGTTTAATTACAGTTTAATTGGCTGTTGGAAAATGTAAATGTCGAGATTAATTAATTAGGCACATCGTTGTTTATTCCCTCCCTCGGAAAATAGCTTTATCATTTGCAACAATGAAAATAAATAATACGTAATTTCACTTTTGGTATCCATTTTAAACGATAGACACTAATTATTAAGTTTGACCCCAATAAAATCATTAAACCGTAAAACATTTAACAATAATACAGAATCAAATTCAAATGTTGTTTAATTTTATGACAAAGGCAAATGAGTTTAAAAAGTCCGCCATTTCAATAATCGATAGGCAATACGTAAGGGGAGGCTAATACGTAACTGAAAAGCTACCATTCAGTTGCTGTTTGCCTGTTTTAATTGCCAAAATAAATCATAAAATCTCAATTTATTCAAAGCAAATATAACACATTTTAAGTGTATTCAATAAATAATCATATTTTGAAAAACCAAAAAACGTAAGCGAAAACGTAATACCTCACTAGTTATCGATAAGTACGCCAAAATGCCTCACTGCATTTGCCATTCGCACGGAAGGAGCCACAGGTACAACGACGAACGCGGCTGCATTATTATTATTTTATTTCCCCGCTCCGTGGGCATGCGAATTGATCCGGAAACTGCAGTCGCTCGCATTCAGTGTGTGCCCGCAACCCAGCTGCAGTGAATTGAGTTACCCAGAATCCCGCGGAGAGATCACTAGACCAGCCGCAAGATGGACCAAATGCTCAGCCCCAACTTCTCGATTCCGAGCATCGGAACGCCGCTGCACCAGATGGAGGCGGACCAGCAGATCGTGGCCAACCCGGTCTACCATCCGCCGGCGGTGCCGCAGCCGGATCCGGTAATGCCGGCCCCTGTGTCCGGCTCCGTGCAGCAGCAGCAGTCGGACACCAGCGGATCCGGTCTTTTTGGCCACGAACCATCGATCCCGCTGGCCCACAAGCAGATGCAGAGCTACCAGCCATCGGCATCCTACCAGCAGCAACAGCTCCAGAGCCAGGCGCCCGGTGGCGGAGGGAGCACCCCGCAGTCCATGATGCAACCGCAGACGCCGCAGAGCATGATGGCCCACATGATGCCCATGAGCGAGCGGAGTGTGGGCGGATCGGGAGCTGGAGGCGGCGGAGACGCCCTCAGCAACATCCACCAGACAATGGGACCCTCCACGCCAATGACACCTGCCACGCCGGGATCCGCAGATCCCGGAATTGTTCCCCAACTGCAGAATATCGTGTCCACAGTGAACCTGTGCTGCAAGCTGGACCTCAAGAAGATAGCGCTGCACGCGAGGAACGCCGAGTACAACCCCAAGCGATTTGCAGCCGTGATTATGCGCATCAGGGAGCCCCGAACCACTGCCCTTATCTTCAGCTCCGGCAAGATGGTGTGCACGGGGGCAAAGAGCGAGGACGACTCCAGATTGGCGGCGAGGAAGTACGCGCGCATCATTCAGAAGCTGGGTTTCCCTGTAAGAGAACTGAACATGATTTCTCTAAGAAGATTAATAACATTTGTTTGCTTTTAGGCCAAATTCCTCGATTTCAAGATTCAAAACATGGTCGGCTCCTGCGATGTCAAGTTCCCCATCCGCTTAGAAGGCCTGGTGCTGACCCATTGCAACTTCAGCAGTTACGAGCCGGAGCTTTTCCCCGGCCTCATCTACCGTATGGTGCGACCCCGCATCGTGCTCCTCATCTTTGTGTCGGGTAAAGTTGTGCTCACGGGCGCCAAGGTGCGGCAGGAGATCTACGATGCCTTCGACAAGATATTCCCCATATTGAAAAAGTTCAAGAAGCAGTCATAAATAGGATAGTGCTTTATTAGTTCTGTACGAGTACGTTTTAAGGTCGGTAGTTCCGGAAGTCTGATCGTGAGTGGGAGCAGCCTGGCGAGCAGCTCCGATCGAGAATAAACAAAAAACTAGTTAGCTGTACGGACAGGCTTTTATTTTATTTTTTCCGTTAATTACTATTCGTAGAAATTTAGACAAGTACTTTGAACGCAGAGTGGGATCCTACAGGCACTGGGCCATCAGGGCGCCGACATTGTCGAACTCGATCTTCTCCGTAATGTTCTTCGTCTTGATCTTGTCGTCCTGTGTGGCAACCACGACGAGGCCCTGGCCCTGGTGCTTCCAGCCGTTGCGCTTGATCCAGCTCTCCAGCGTCGAGTCCTCGATGCCGCCGAGCAGCTCCTTCAGCTGGTCCTTGCGGATGGTCTGGAAGGTGGTGCCCACCACATGCGAGACGAACTTGCGAATGGAGTCGTGGAAGCCGGCGATGTGCCGGAACATGGTGCGGTTCACCTCGGCCCGCTGCCAGAACAGGGTGAAGTCGGCCCGCTCCAGTATGTCGGCCAGGTCGATGATGGTCTGCACATTCTCGTCCTTCATCTGCTGGGGCAGCAGCAGGCACTTGGCCATCACGAAGTCCGTGTGCGGCAGGCTGGTCAGCGACTTCAGCAGGATTGTGTACGTGATGTCGAAGTTGAGCATGTGCGGGTTGAACTGGTACAGCTTCAGCACGGCCAGATTGGCCTCCAAGTCGTAGGTGTTGTTCTTGGCTTGATCCTGCACATAGGCCTCCAGTGTTTTCAGATGATCCGGATTGTAGCTGCGGGAAAAGCGAGGTTATGTTTCTGTGCTTGTACTTGTAGTTCGGGAATTAGTCATTCACTCACCGTTCAATGCAACCCAACATCTCCTGGATGGTCTGGCTCTGTCCGTTTTCCATTTTCACGAGGTGCGACATTTTCTACGGCCAAATTGTGTGAAATTCGCAAGTTGACGTCGTGTTTTTTTAATGAACGCCGTACTATAAAGAACGAATCGGTGTGACCGCACTTCGAAAAATACTTTAGCCGATGAAAACAATAGAAATATGGTCACACCGCGTAAAAATCAGTAGGGGGATTCATAATACAATTGAATTATTTTTAAGGCCTATTCGAAAAGTCCGTTACATGACATTTTCGACTTTTTCGTTTTTTAATCGAATATTGTTGATTTGATAATGTAAGCTAGTGTAATTTATAAACGTTTTAAATAATAAAAAAGTCCATTGGCGACGCCAACAGATGAAAAATTTGTGGTTGGGGAATATGAGTATCGTATATGGCGAAACTTGATAAAGCTTTTAAATTAATGAAGATAGCCGATGTTTTATTTATTCTGAATAAATCAATAACAAACGATTGGAATGATATGACTACATATTGTTCAAAGGTTTCCCTTCAGTTTCATATACATGTTAATGTCTTTTTCGAGCATTTATGTAAATTATAAGTCCACTCCAGAAATTCTACCTAACAAGGAAGACTATTGTCTGTATCTACCTTAGAATTTTTCAGCGCTCTTGAAATTTATTCGGATAGTTTTGCACAAATGTTCAACGGAATTGCGGCCTGCAGCCCGAGAGAATAACACCATGCATTAAAAATAACTCTGCCCATTACCTTTTATTCTTTGTTTCTATTCTTTTAATTACGTTGTCTTTTATCCTTACGATCGGAGTGTACCTTTACGCAGATAAACTTCGAAATATGATCAATATTTGTCACTGATAATTTTGTTCGCAGCCGGATCTGCTATCAAGGACCCTTACTGATTCTAATCACCTTTAATGTTGTTATGTTTATACTGACAGTCGTTTAAACGATGAGAGGAGTGGAAAACAACCTGCTTCAACCTGCTTTGGAGTCCTAGCATAAACTTTTTTTAACTACCATTTCTGAGGATCTCCATCGTTATGGTCGTTTCTTGGATTTTTTTAAATATCTGGTTATTTTCATGCAGCTTACTGCTTATTCTTAAAAGCAGAAAGCTGAATAAATTTTTCATGGTCCATCAGAGGAATAGGATAATGGGAAGCATCCTATTTCCTAAAAGTGCCAACGGCTGAATAAAACAAACCAAAAAAAAACGTAAATCATTTAGTGGAAGTTTAATGATTTTAATACATATACATTCATGTATTTGATGTTTAAAGGAAGTTCTGTTCCATTTCGCTTAACCTGGAAGTTCATGTGGAAGTGCATGTCTGTGTGGAATCTACATGTTTTGTACAAAAGTATGTACACAATGGTATAAAAAGCCACTTAGTTAAAGCCGGGATCGGAGGACTATGTCTTGGCCACCTCGGCGTCGCCGTTCCTCGCTGCCTCCGCCAGCTGCGCCTGGCGCTGCTCCTCCTCCAGCTCCAGGCGCTCCACCTTTTTGATCTTGCTCAGTTTCTCTGGAAGGGGGAATCACATCTTGTTTGGAAGTTCAAGAACCTATAAAGTGAACTGGCCACTCACTTGCACATCTCAGCATTATGGTGCCCCACCAGATGGACCAGCCCCATCCCACGAAGCAGAAGAGCACGCAGAAGAACTGGGATACGGCCACAATGATGTTGATGATGAAGGATCCAATCCTGGCACGGGCACTGTCGAATTGCGAGAAGCGCGGAATGCCCACGCACAGGCAAAAGAGTCCCGAGAGCAGGGTTCCTAAATTGGGAGATCATTAGCTTAGCATCTGCTTGAAATCCACTCTGGGCAACCCACCTAGACCTGGAAAGACCACGTTGCAGAAGGCGCAGAACCAGGCCAAGTACAGCGGCAGCACTGGAATAGCTCCCTTCATCTTGGAGGCATACTCCACCAGGTCCACGTGGAGCTTTTTACGCGTGTCCTGCTTTCAGATAAGGATGTCTTAGATCTACTTTCTCTCGTTTTAAGGATATACTTGCTTCGCTGGGTGGCGGCGCCTTGATGCTCTGCCTCCGCGCATTGGACTCGCGACGCTTCTTTTTGCGACAGCAAAGCAACATCAGCCAGAAACGCTTGCAGCATCCCCTGGAATCAATAGAAATAATAATGTATTTGGTGCAACGTTTTAGAGGGCCATAAAACTGATTTATTTCTGGATATCGTTGCTATAACTTAAATTCATATCTTATTGGTTTTTTTTCAGTTCTCCAAGTAGTTAAACAAATTTGGATTTGATTTACTAAATTTATATACATTGTATAGAACTACCAAATTTGAATACCTTTCTGGAGGCAAAATTTCAGGAAACTTTTCCGATCAAGAAAATGCATACTCTTGATAAGCATTTCCAAAAGAGTATCTATCCTAGTTCTAATAGGCGATAGTGTATCTGCCCTTTATTTATATCAGATATCAATATATGTATATATATTTACAAAATTAGACAATTTTCAAGAAAGTTAATATAAGTTTGCTGTTATGAAAATCTTTTCTCTTAGTTTAAAGTAGGAATTTTCTTCTTTTGGAATGCTTCTTTTTGTTATTCTACGATTTTTGAGTTCCGATTAGTAGTTGTCCTCCCAAATACTTACTGTTTAACTTGGTTTTCCCCAGCATCCGCTGTCGCTGACATGGCCTCCTCGGAGGTGCCTTCCACGACCGAGGACTCGGTGGGCTTGATGCCCAGCTCAGGATCCTGATCGCGCCAGGACACGGTGCTGCCCTTTTTGTTGGGGCGGTTTCCCCGACGACAGGGTATGCAGAAGCAGCACTTCTTCAGCTCCGTCTCGTCACCCGTGGTGGGGTCCACCTTGTTGACCGAGCGGCAGCAGAACACCTTGCTCAGGCAGAGGCCGCACTTGCCCCGTGGCCTTGGTCCCGTGCTCATGGTGGCCTCCTGCTTGGCCCGGTGCGGCACCTCCTCCTGGACAGGATCCTCCACGGAGGCGGGTTTCTTGCGACAGCTGCGGCAGCAGCTGGACTTCAGCCAGTCGGTGGCCTTCTTGCGCTTCGGCTTGGTCTCATCAATCACTTGGACATTGGTGGTCGTGGTGGCACTGCTGTTGCCGCTCCACAGGACGGGCTGATCCTCGGCGGACTGGTTCCTCTCACGGCGCCGGCAGCAACGGGAGCAGCGGGAGCGGCGGCAGGGCATGAACAGCTTGGAGCAGCATCCGCACAGACCCCCCTTTTTGGCATTATCCTTGTCCTCGAGGAACTCCTGACTGCTGCTTCTAATTAAAAGGGGTGGGAAGTAAGATTAATAAATATAGTTATAATTAATATTATAATTATTAGTATTTTAAATTGATCTGCTTTAGCTCTTAAGGTTAGAGCAAGAATTGAAAGGTAACCGATAATATACTATAAACTACAACACTCAGTCTTGTCTCATCGGGATACAAATAATATAAAAATAAATATGCACGATATTAATGCCAATAATAAGATAAAGATATTGTACAGATTCAACCATGTTGAAGCTTACCGTTTATAAAAAAAACGTTATTTTTACCGAAAAAAATATATAATCGAAACTAATGTTACACAAATTATAATCTATTGGCATAAAAAACATGTTTCTCAGATGTCATCACTTTTATCGAAATACAACTATTGGATTGAATATAAAACTAGTCTTGTTTTTAAATTCATCTGTTTAGAAATTAATACTGATATTTATATTTTGAAAATATTTATAGATTTATGTGACATTCTATTGGTTAAAAAAGGGAATTCTTTTAAAATTCTAATTTGTTAATTTCTATACTAAAGACATAATTTCACATAAAACACATCCAAAATGTAATTCTTTATTTAACCAATTTGTGGGAAATGGAATTGAGTACTAGGAATACTAACTTATGTTTACCCTATTACTAAACTGAATTTATTTTCCCTCTCAAACAGATTACAAGTTTTGAAGCTCATTCGAATTTTCCTACATGGAAAGCGTAGTATAAGACCAATTATGACATGGTGAAAAGTGACTTCCAGGCATAGCCATGGATTGCCCACCCCAATGTCCTTGACTATCAGCCCACCGGATATAAGCTTTTATGGCTGCAGGGATTGGCCAAGTGCCAAGCAGCGGATGTGCTGTATGATTGGAAAGTTCAAGTTTGTGGGATAGTCCTGAATCGCTTCCGCACTTTGCTGGCGTGGAATATAATCACCTTCGGAAGTGAATTACCATTAGCGTGGGCCTATGGATGTATCTAGTATCTTTATGTTATGAATAATGCAATATTTAGTGGCGTGGAATGCTACATCTTTGGCTTTTGAACTTTAATCTTGGCATAATGAAGTTTCGCTTGCGGGTCGATTTTGAATATGCCAGCCACTAAAATATGTCACGAGAGTTTTGCTATTCGGACGCTTACACAATTTCTTTATGGGTCCATGCCCGTGACTGGTAAACGAAAGTGTTCACGTGTATATAATATATATATAAAGTCCTGGGCCAGAATGCCTGTAATTCCGTTGTGCACGAGCCAACGACCAAACGCAATTTGGAGGTCGGCAATTTATTTGACCCGCTCACTTCGAAATTCAAACAGAACTGCGAGACAGTCGAAATGAATGGAGTGACTTGACTTTCCCGCACATTCTTGGCAGGAGTTTTGGCATTCGGCGTCTAGAAGGCCTCTAGAAGGTCAGTGCGTTTATTTAACCGCTTGCAGATCTCCTCGGCCGATAAGTTATAATGGCATCTCGTGCCTAATTACCTAAAGAAGTACTTGTCGCCATCGATGAACGAATCCTGGGCCAGATCCACCGTGTAAATGACCGCGTTACTGGGCGTACCGTTCAGCATTTCCAATTTGCGAATTATCTGGATGGTTGGTTTGTATTAATTGCTAGGAAATCATCGACTGGCGAGGAATTTCCCAACTTTCCAAATGAATTTCCCAGCGAGTGAGTGCTGCGGTTGGCGCGATTGTCCGGCCCGAACTGATTTGTTATTGCGGCAAGAAACTTAAGCCGTGTTGCGAAAATACTTTTCCCCTGTTTTCCGCGCACGCTATACCGTACAGTGCGGACTGGCCGAGGGTGGACCATCGTCCCCTGGGGGAAATTGATTTTCTAAATGCCTTCACACCGGGGGAATCCCCACTGTAACTGGTCGGTCACACGGTTTCTTGCGGGTCTCGCATGGCTGGAAAACAATGCAGTGAAGGACATCGTTACCTTCGCCGACTGCGACGGCGGTTGGGACTTCGCGACCTGCCGACGAACGGATTTCCTCAAAAGGCGGTCTTTTGGGTGGCGAAGGGTCTTGGCCAACAGCCAGTCGGCCCATCCCCCCTTGGTTCCTTTCCAAATTTATTGACGCACTTATGAGTGGCTTGACGGACCTGTGCCAGCAGCGTCTAGAGCACGGAACTCCTGCCCACACGGCACTGTAAAGTTTTATGTATCACAGTGGTTGCCTGAACCTTCCCCTTTCCTTTGGGGATTTCCTGTATGTAAATTGGCTGGCCAGGCGCTGTAAGCCTTGGCTGGTGTTTTATGTGGAGACCCTAGGCTCGAGGCAAAATGTTAGTAGTATAGTCGCAATCCGAGACATTCGAATTCTGGCTGACTTGAAGCGGACAGATTCGATGGGGTCTTGACTGATGAATATTCATAATGGTCATAGCGAACATAAGGAATTTAGTAATGGTTTGTTGGCAGGCCACTTGGTGACAACAGCAGAACAGTAACTATTCTCAAGGAGTTTGGCAAAGTATATACTTTGTGGAACATATAATGTGTTGTGAGAGGTCGTTGTGAGACATTGGATCTTAACCTTACAGAGTTTGGAGGTTCCATCAATAACATCCCTTGTGCTTGTGTTTTAATAGACCTCAAGTTAGTAATACCAAGATCGGAATGAGGACATATCTTTCAATGATTGTGCTTTGCATAAGAATTACTTAAATATATAATGCTTTAGCCTAAAAAAAACTGTTCTATAACTGGTGTATTTCTTTTTATCTTATGGTTTGAATACTATATTAGTATTACACCTTTGCAGAGGGTATTTAATTTTAAGTCTGATGCTTTTAAACATATCCGACCAGAAAAATCGAAATCTGAAACTTGAAATTTTAGCATGAAAAACAATATACTTCGCTGGTTTTGAATACAATTTATGGTTTCTATGTATGTAATGCTTTAAAGCCTTTTCTGTCTAATTTCTTGAGTTTGATCAAAATTGGATAGCTGTATCTATATGATTATATCCTACTAAGACTTTACTCAATACTGACCATAAATTTCTAGGAAGTGCACGCTAATGAAGTTAAAAAATCTGGACGATCGAGAATGATCAAGTTAAACTTACATTTTTAATTCTGAATAACAGGAAAAGCATTTTAATGTTTTCTTGCTGAAGTAAGCTTCCTTGATATATTTACTCAAAGTTAAGATTTGGTTTGTTTGCAATCAAATCAAATCAAAATCATAAAGTTTACAAATCAAAATCAAAGTATTCGATCAGGAAAGGAATAAGACTCCCTAATAGGCATTACAAAAGTAATTTAAGAAGTTACAGAAACTTCTAAAACTTCGTTATATAATCCGTTTACTAATCTACAAATTCCTTAGATTCCCACCTCTTAGTTACTTACTTTGCCAGACCCCCGCTCCCCGCTGCAGATCCTCCCTGTCCATCTGGCGATCTTCGTTTCGCGTCCACCTTGAAGTCCGCTCCACTCTCGGGCGTGGGCATTACATTGGCACCCAGATCCGACCCGGAAGCGTCCAGCACCGTTGGAAGGTCGGAGCTCTCACACTCCACCTCTGGTACACTGGCGATTCGTTCGGCGGAGCTTTCATTGGGATGTAAAACGGAGACGGAGGCTTCGATGGGTTGCGTGGGGGGAAACGGAGACTTGGACAGTTCCCCTGAACTCTGGGGAGCAATGCTGCCATCGGCGGTTCCCGTTCGAGAGGCGGATTCACCCGGTCTGGCCATTGTGGTGCCGGAACTGGGCGTGGGCGAGGGATCTGCGGCGAGGTCGTTCTCCAGGGTCTTCAGATCGGTGAGATTTTCGCTGATGGTCTTGTGGATTTCGTCGGTGGCCTCGGTGACGGTCTTCTGAATATTCTCCAGCGTTTTCTGCGACTTTTCCAGAATGGCAGCCGCATCATTGGACATGGGTTGTGAGGTGGTTGTGGGTCCCACTGTTTCTGGAAAGAAAAGAGTATTACATTAGAGGTATTTTGTGGATAATATTAAAAACCCACCTTCGATTTCATTGGCGTGTTCCTTCACTGTGGCCACCTTTCGGTTTTGAGGGGAATCCGATCGGTTCTTGTTGCTCTTGTTGCTCAGCAGGCTCATCCTGGAGCTCATTCGCACCAATTTGGACATGTTGCCTCCTCCGGAACCCTTTCCCCCCGGCGTTGAGGGTACGGTGACCTCACTGGTCACCGCAGGAACAGCTTCCACCGCCTGGAGCACTGCATTGCCCACTTGGGCAGCCAGTGGGGGAATACCACCTGCGGATTCAGAGCCATTGCCTCCCTTTTCCAGTGTGATTCCATGGGCATTTGTGGTCGCAGGTTTTTTGGTCTCCGTTGTGGTTCCTCCTGAGGGTTTGCCCTTGGTCACCTGAGATTTGGTCCGCACTGGAGGCACTGGCTCTTTGCCATTGCTCTTGGCTCCAACAGTTTTTCCCGTCTCCTTTCCCTTCTCCATTTTTGTATCCTTCTTTGGAATTCCCTTGCCAGTTATCTTCTTTTCTTCTGTGGATGGTTTCCCTCCAGTCGGAGTTTTCTTTGGAGGCTTCGCTGGTGGTTTTATCGAGGTTTCCGTCTTGGTCTTTGGTTTGGCACTTGCAGGGATCTTGGGCTTCGCCTTGGGGCTTCCTTTAGTGGCCGCCACTTTTCCAGCCTTGCTACTCTTGGGCGTCGATCCCATGGCTTTGGATTTATCCGGCGATTTCGATCTCTTCTTGGACGAAGGCGGCGGGGATTTGGTCGCAGCTTTGGTCGATCTGGTGGGAATACGCGAGCGGGAGTTCCGGCGGGATAGAATCTCTGGAGGCTCCGGCTTTCCCCGGCTGGAAACTCTTCTGCTTTGGCTTAAGGCACCGGGACTGATCGATTTCCGGCGACCCATCATCGCACTGGCTGGACTCAAGGAGATGGACTTCCGGCGACTGGGCGTAGTGGCTCGCATGCTCCTATTCCTGGCCATGGTGGCGGGTGAAATACTGGACGACCGCATTGAGGAGGAGTTGATGCTGAGTCGGGAGTTGGCCCGTGAGTTTCCCCGCGAATTGGACATGTCCAAACGGGAATTGGACCTCTCCAAACGGGAGTTAGACCTCTCCGAACGCGAGTTGGACCTCTCCAAACGGGAGTTGAACACCTCCAAGCGCGAGGAGACCTGATCCAAACGAGAACCTGGCCTAGAGGCTGGACCCCTGGATGCGGATCGCGAATCCCCGGGTCTTCCACTCTCCCTCGATGGCGTTCTGCTGGGATGCATCGATCTCGAAGGAGAACGACTGCTGGTATTCATGGCTCTCGATGGAGACCGACTTACGCTAGCCCGGGAGCTTCGTCCGGAGGCAGTGATTCCCAAATCCTTGAGTGGCGAACTGGAGCGGGATTCGGGACTCTTGCGCACTGGGATGCGGGACAGAGAGTCCCGTCGCGTGGACACCTCCGACTGGGTATCGGCGCCATCGCCCATCAGCGAGGATCTGTGGGTGGGACTATGCGCTGAGCTGCTGTCTTTGTTCGGAGTTCCAATGATGGGCGATAACGTGCTGGGTTTGGCCACCTTCGCGTGTCTGCTCAGTGGCTTGAGATCCCGATCCCGATCCCTCTGATAGATGGATTGCCTGCGCTGGCTGAAGCTGGGAATCCTGTTGGGAATCCTGTTCGGACTCAGAGCCTGCACCGATTTGCGGCGCATCCTGGACAGAGTTTGGGCTGCTGGCAGTGTGGAGAGCGTGGGTCGGCGGAAACTGAAGTCCGAGGTGGTGGCGGTGACACTACTGAGATTGGAGCTGCGTCGATCCGAGGCCGTTTGCGTGGAACTGCGACGTTCCGGCGACGTGGAGCTGGAGCGTCGTCTCGCCTGGTTGGCGGTCCCATCGAAGGAGGGCCGGCTCAGGTCATCCAAGCTGCACCAATTGGAGCGTGGTGGGATGTGGGCGAGCGCCTCCTCCTTGTTGATGATCTTCAGGAGACCGCGCTGGCTTCGCGTGGGATTCAGATTTGGCTTCAGTGGTCGCGGCAGTGCACCAGGCGGAAAGACAGCCGGCTCCCGTCCTCCCAGTTCCATGGTGGATCCGTAGTGCAGGCGGGGAATGGCACTGCGATGGGGATCCGTTATCAGCGGGAGCGCTTCCATGCTCTTGATCTTCTGGCCATAGGGCAGGCTGTGAGTGGGACTCCTGCCCATGGATCCCCTTCTTATTTGCGCCCTGGGAGTGAAGGTGTCGATGGAGGAGGTCAGCGAGTCCCGCTGCTGGAGGATGCCCTTCTGCGGCGTGGCCAGCTTGCTGCGACTGTGCCGTCCACTCATGTTGAACTGCACCGAGGGACGTGGCGAGTCATCCGTGGTCTGCTGGACATGGTGGCCGGCGTAGCCCAGCGATGAGGGCAACTCGGGCAGCCGGGGATCTGAGCCGAAGATCGATCTCCGGCGGGGACTGATCTGCGGCCTGGCGGCCGGTGATGAGGTAGTCGTCGATGTCGACTGGATGGAGGCGTGTCTCCGGCTGGTGGGCGCTGGCTGCGGCGTCCGTGGAGCAGATGGAGCCGCCTGGCCCGTGGAGAGGATGGTGAAAGCAGTCTTCTTGTGTGGTCGTGGCTGGTCCACTCTAAAATGGGTAAAATATATGAAACCATTTCCTAATCTCGATGGTTGTCCTCAATACTCACCTATAATCTCCCCCCATGGGTATGCAATCCCTGATGATGATGGGTGACATTTCCCGCTTCAAACTGGAAGATGGTTCCACACTCTGGTTGTCCACCTGCTCCATGGAGAGGGTCCTTTGGAAAGGGGGCGGGGCAGCCGGGGGCGGTGGCCTTCCATAGTCCTCCAGCAGATGCCTCTGACTGCCCGTTTCCAGGCGCAACTGCTCCTCCAGATATTGTTTCGGTGAGAGAACAACGTCGCCGGGAAACGACACCTTCTCGTTGGACGCCACACGCTCCTCGCCGCCGCTGCTGGAGCTGTTCATGTCCTGGATCATGGTGGCCAGCGGCGAGAGCGGTCCCTCGTCCTGTTTCATCGACATGACCATCTTGGAGCTGGGCCGCAGTCGAGGGATGCGCGTGAACTCCGGAAAGTGCTGCGGCGCCGGTCGAAACCAATCCCTGCCCGAATAGGAGTCACCCAGCAAACTGAAAGGATGTTACGGGGAGATTAAATGGTTGAAATGCGACCGTCGATCGTGTGGGGTCGAAGATCAAAACATGGAACAATAATAATAAGGAGTAAACATTTTTAATGGAGTTTTGGGAATTATTCTTAACTCTTTTTTTTTAAGAAAACACAATATGGAAAAAAGAACGAGAATAAAAATAATAAATAATAATAATAAATTTACTCATATTTAGCAACTTCAATTTCTAACTTGTGGAGTAAAAGTATTAATTCGCTCTTTGATGTTGATTATTAAAATATTATAATGGTAAAAAGTTTTAAATTAATGAATTATTCAAAAAAAATCCCAAATATTTCGAAAAATCATGGCCAAAGTACAAAAAATAATTATTGTGGTATACAAATTATACTAAGCACACCTTAAGATTTAGTTTTCATGTTTTTAAAATTTTGTAATTCAAGCCATTAAGCTACGCTGATTAAAATATGTAATTACAAGAAAGGAAAGCTAACTTCGGGCGGAGCCGAAGTTGATATACCCTTGCAGAATACTCTGTAAATTATATTCTCCAAAATTATTCATATGATGCATTCTTAATACTCATAAAAAATCCCAACTTCCTAACTTAACAAACACCAAAGTTATTCCGATCAATCAGTTATATGGCGGCTATAGGATATAGTCGGCTGATCCTTATGAAATTTGGTAGGACGGATTTATTGGCCAAATATAAAACCCATAGAAAATCCCAACTTCCTAACTTAACAAACACCAAAGTTATGGCATTTCCGATCAATCAGTTATATGGCAGCTATAGGATATAGTCGGCCGATCCTTATGAAATTTGGTAGCTCGGATTTATTGGCCAAATGTAAAACCCATAGAAAATGCCAACTTCCTAGCTTTACAAACACCAAAGTTATGGCATTTCCAATCAATCAGTTATATGGCAGCTATAGGATATATTCGGCCGATCCCAGCCGTTCCGACATATATACTGCGTGCAAAGGAAAGAAGGGTGTGTGCAAAGTTTGAACTCGATAGCTTTAAAACTGAGAGACTAGTTTGCGTAGAAACAGACAGACGGACAGACAGACGGACAGACAGACGGACAGACGGACAGACGGACATGGCTATATCAACTCAGGAGGTGATCCTGATCAAGAATATATATACTTTATAGGGTCGGAGATGTCTCCTTCACTGCGTTGCACACTTTTGACCAAAATTATAATACCCTCTGCAAGGGTATAAAAATATGTAATGTAAAATATGTAATATATTATACCCTTGCAGAGGGTATTATAATTTCAGTCAAAAGTTTGCAACGCAGTGAAGGAGACATTTCCGACCCTATAAAGTATATATATTCTTGATCAGCATCACCAGGAGAGTCGATCTAGCCATGTCCATCTGTCCGTCTGTCCGTCCGTCTGTCCGTCCGTCCGTTTCTACGCAAACTAGTCCCTCAGTTTTAAAGCTATCTGCTTGAAACTTTCCCAAAAGTTGTCTTTCTATTGCAGGTAGTATATAAGTCGGAACGAGCCGGATCGGGCCACTATATCATATAGCTGCCATATAACTGAACGATCGTAAATGCCATAACTTTGGTGTTTTTAAAGTTAGGAAGTTGGGATTTTCTATGAGTCTTATTTTTGGCCAATCAATGCGACCTACCAAATTTCATAAGGATCGGCCGACTATATCCTATAGCTGCCATATAACTGAACGATTGGAAATGCCATAACTTTGGTGTTTTTAAAGTTAGGAAGTTGGGACTTTTTATGAGTATTAAAAATACTTCATATGAATAATTTTGAAGAATATAATTTACAGAATATTCTGCAAGGGTATATCAACTTCGGCTCCGTCCGAAGTTAGCTTTCCTTTCTTGTTTATGTTAGCATTACTTTATTTTAAAAGTAATGAATTATTCATAAACATTTTTAAAATAAATAAATTGCTTTTTAGCATAAGTTGCTTTTTAAACTAGTGCATTTTTTAGTATTTCTTTAAAGACATTTAATAGGCATTACTTTTTTTAAAGGGTAACAATTAAATTAAAATGTCTAATTTTACGTAAGGTCAAAAAAATTTTTATATGTAAAAAAGGTCTAAAAACTTTTTATAATATAGTTTGGAATTGAAATGAACCCACCCTCTGTGATCCTCGGTTGTGATGCTCGACACACTCAACTTGGCTGGCGCTTGGCTGGGAGTCCTTGCAGGCTCATCCTCCTCATCGTCGAAGGACATCCTCTGACCCACCACGCTGTACTCCTCGACTTCGTTCTCCAAATCGTACATGTCCGGCTTGTTGAGTATGTCATCGGGCGCCAGGAGTCGATAATTGGGAGAGCCCAGCTGCTCCGAGCTCGAACCACCACTCGAGTTGGGCAGGATCTGGATGTCGGGCGGCTGGAGGTACGGCAGGAGGGATCCTCGCGGAGTCCTCGAGTAGGGCACACTCGGGAAGATCCGCTCCCTGGCCCCAGGTATCAGGGCATTAAGGGCCACAGCGGCCACCAGGGCATCCTCCTCGGAGCTGGGCAGTTCCACCGATGCCGTTCGCAGCGTCTCAAAGGCCGCCGTTCCAAAGTAATCATCCGGCTGGAGGGGCGGCGGCACAGGATCCCCAAACAGGCTGCTATACGGCTGGGCATCCGACTCCGAGGGCTGGCGCACGAAGCTCTGGTTAAAGGCGAACGTGGACGGAGCCATCGATTGGGCGGAGAGGAGGGAGCGGGCGGTGTGGGTGCGATAGCTGTAGTCCACCGGGATGATGGACGGCTGGAAACTGGAATCGCCGCCTGTGGATCTGGGACGAGGACTCGGCTTCGGATTCGGATTTTGGTTTAGGTTCGGTGTCGGATTCGGATTCTGGATCGGTGGTGCTGCTGCGGATGCTGATGGCATGGGCATGGGCATGGGCATCGGGGAGGGGGATGGCGATGATGATGAGTACGAGAGGGTCTGCTGCATGGCTTGACATGGGTGCTAACCGATCTCCGGCCCTCATGCATTCACTATGATGTCCTATCCATTGTTTGTTTTTCGCGGAATTCAATCGGAGGTGCAGTTGGTGGCAATTGTATCCCCACGCCGGATACTACGTGTTCGTCCTTCGGCTCAGTTTAAGTGCCACAAAACCAATGACGCCAGGAGCTGTTTATTCGAAGCAACAGAATGTATTTAAAAATCACTCACAACACCCGTTCGCACACATCTCTTGATTTTACAGACAGACCAGCGAGACCTTCCGGCCCTTGCAATGTCAGAGAGACGTACACGCGACGCCTTAGCCGGAGAACGGAAAATGGAAATGGAGTACGGAGCCCGGAACCCAAAGCCGGAGACCGAAGACCAAAAACCGGAGAGCGAGACTGAAGGACTGTCGGTTTCATTGCCAATTTGCAGTGATGGGAAAGGTACTGGCTTTGTTTACCTAGGCGGAATACAAGGAAAAGCCAAATAATATGTGCTCAGAAATCATGTCCTACATGTTATACCATGTTTAAAATTTTTTTCCTTTTCTGAACTTGTTGGATTATTATAGATGTTATCATCTCCACGTAAGAAGCGAATATGCCAATGTTTCGAGTAAACTGTGATTTATAAACTTTAAAAGCACTTTTCGAAAAACCTTTCCTTTCTTTGCGGAAAATAATAAACAGAAGTAATAACCTTCTCTTACAATACATTTATATATCTAAAGATAGTTTGTGATTAAAATAAAAAACCTATTTAAAAATTTGAATTGTTAACTATCATAAATATTATACCCATTAAATTAACTTTTCTTTTTTTTCGACACGATTTTGTAATAAAAAAATATAAATCTCCTTTTGTTAAAATCCAAGCCAGTACTTTAGTACTTTTACTAACAATAACTAATTAGGTACAACCGCCTAGATACCTCCCATCACTGGTTATGGCGAAGAACTGAGGAGTAATTATTATTGCACGGCTATATTTTCTAATGCCATTTCACTCCTATAAATAGCTGCGTGTGCGGCGCTGATAAACCCGCCCGAAACCAATGAAATCGGCAACGGCTTGGAATGGAATGCACCTGATATATGGCTCCGAATCCGAATCGGAGTCCAACTGCAGCTCCCAAACGCTTGTCTTGGCGCTAACGAGAGCATAACTTGATGAGGGCTCAACAGCTGGTGGAGGGGATTGGGGTGGTGGGGGTACGGATTGCTTTGGCTTTGGCTTGGCTGCACCGGGATTGCATGTTGCAAATTGCCGCATTAGTGACTGCACTTGAAGTCGAACGACCCGAGATGTGGAAGCCAGCGGGCTGAGACTATCACCCGAAATAAGCGATGGTTTAATTGGCGGAGCTCTGGCTAGAGTACGCAGATATTTTTGCGGAATGACGTAGCCCCAAGGAGGGCGGAAGGTGTGAATGAATGGCCTTTGTTCGCATTGATTTTCCTCTGCCTAATATTTAACCTACATTTTATGGCCCGCCGCCGCCCGAATTTCGGTGACACACTTTGGGCCACAGGAAGTGACTTGGCCGGCTTTTCTTTTTTCTTTTCTTATTGTGGCCATGACGCGTGTGCGGAGTTGGCCGGCTCACAGTTTAGCTCCCCAACAGTTTGCGAATTGGTTTTTTTTAAACCATTTTCCACATTACACGCAGTTTTCATGCATCTCATTAGGACTCGGTCACACTTTAATAACGTCTCTTAATTACTGCCACGTCCACACTGAACTCTTTTTTTTTGGGTGTAGAAGCGCATTATATAATTTACTTTTCCGTTTGAGGCCATTTGGGTTTAAAGTTTACACTAATTCCGAAATAGAATGTATTTGCTGAAAAGCCGCAACAAATAATGGAAACGCGGAGCGGCGAAGGCGACGGAACGTGGCCGCTGCCTAACTTAAACTGATGGCCGCCCAGCGGTAAGTGAGCAAAGGAGGCCTTCACGAGAAATATTGCCTACACTTCAAATCCAAAACAGCACAAAGTGCCCCACACACGACAACAACAGCAACATCAACAAGACCAACAACAACAAGAGCAGTTTGCACACGCAGAGCCGCTGAGATATTGAGACTGGCGAACTGAAAAGCCGAAAAGAAAAGCGACCGGGGTGCCGAATTCGCCGCGAGTTTTCCGCTATTCGCCGTTCTGCGAGGCGGCTGCATTAGTTGTTTGCATGTTTTGTTCATCTGCTCGGCGTGTGCTTCTTTTTCTGCCTCTTAGACAACTTTTGATTATTTCCCCTGGCAGCCTGTGACACCTGTTGGTATTTCGGTGGCACGCGATGTTCGAACACTCGCACACCGAACAACAATCAGCCCCCCTCCCCCTCCCCCTGCTAGAGCTCACTAATTTCTCATATTTCAGGATGCCCGATTTTTGCATGGCAGTGATCTACTGAATTCACGCATGTGAATCAATCACGCACTTTGGCTCGTTTCACTTTAATGCACTTATAGCCACTCACTTTTTATGGGGTTTGGTACAGTATGACTCTCATTTTTATCGTGTTCGAAAAGGAAAGCAAAACCATTGGGGAAATATACAATTTGTTTTAACTAATACCAAAAATATATATTGTGGATCAAATAGAATTTGCTTTTAGTTTACAAGAATCTAAAATAGTATTGATTACGATTTTGACAAAGGAATATAATATTCTGAATGTGTTCACCAACTCCTTTAAAATCTAATTAATATTAGGAACTGTTCTTTAGGTTTACGTTTGTGAAACGAATATTGAAAATATATGAATAATTTATATTTTGCTAAGCCATTAAACGGTTTAAAAGAAAATTAAATATAAATTCTTTTAAAGGAAGGTAATATAACCTAATTGGAACTTTTTATATACGCCTAAATTGTAATTTTACTTAACAGATATGAATAGATATCCCAATTTTTTTTTATAAAAATATAGTTTTTTTGAAAAAAAAAACATATGCTTGTGGAGTTCTGAAAAAATGAAACTACCATTTCCCTAACAGAAAATTAATATTAATCGAAAAAACTTCACAATATGTATTATATTTTACAACAAAGATAAGCATTAAAATCATTTAATGAAAATATAGCACTCCGTTAAAAGGATTTACCCTTATAAAAATGGAAATTAAGTCCGACTAAGAACGTTTTATAGTACTCAGTTAAGTCTAACCCCAAGCCGAGTACACTGCACTTTTCCTTGGCTTTGGAATAGGGTCAAAACCGCAACAAATTCCGCGTTGCTTTGTGCAGCGGCTAGGAGTCAACAACACTTGGCCCGGAGCTGCCTTCTGGCCACCCGGGCACTGTTGCAACATCAAGACAACAACGGCAATGGCAGCAATAACGCTTAAAGACAGGTATGTGTGCAAACACAGCCCGACAAACCCACATGAACCCTCGAGTCGGGGGCTTTTTAAGTGGCAGTGCCGGAGAAATCCTTGGCTAATGTCGTGCTAGCCCCCAAAGCGGCCCCTTCGCTACCAACTCAAACCCAAAAGTCCAGCAAAAAGTGGAGTCACGGAGTCACAACTCGGGGAATTCCTAGAGACATCTATGAGTTAATTGTTTTAGGTTTTTTTTCCATTTCACGAAGGAGTTTTAAAGTTTAAAGGAGTTCGATTAAACCGACGAATTTCTTTTGTTCTCAAGCACACGATTGAATAATTTGATTTGATTTTAAACCGCTTGTTACTTGTGGAGTTATTGTTAGAAAACTTTCAAATAAAAACTGAATACCCAAAAAATGTAACGCGCATTTGCATCGATCCGATGCACTGCACTCGCCGTCCGTAGAAAAACTAATCCGCCGTGTTCAAATACCGTCTTATACATCGTCCTGCGCTGTGGAACTCCACTGCCACTGCCACCGAACTGACCACTCGGGCGCGGAGAAGCCTCCGAAGAAACCGCCGAAGGAGTCGGCCAGCCGAAGTCCCTGTTTGGACAGCCTACCCGTACGGGTATACGTGGGTCAGTAAACCTACTTCCGGTTGACATAAATACGCCTTGGACATGAAAACTTGGCACTGGCGGCGCGCCGCAAGTTGTTTTTATTGTTTCAAACTTTTTAGCCATGACTCAAGACAGGTGGACAGGGAGTCCACGAATGCAGGTGTGCAGATCTGATTTTTCTTTTACTCGTCGTACTCGATTCCCACACCCGATGGTCCCGAGATGCATCAACCAATTTGATCCAGCTACTCCCTGTGCAATCTAATCTGGGCTTGGCTAATCATATTTCGGCCCCAAACTGACCCTAATCAATTATGCCAAACCCAGTTGGGAAAATTCATATAATTTCAAACTGCACCTTTGCCAACTGGGAGCGGTGAGTAATTTCGGCTGCAATAAGATTTTCCCACGCGATATTTGACTTTTCCAGGCTCCTCTTCTTTTTGTTAGTATGTCCTTTACCATATATTTTCGTGTCCTTATGAGGGGAAGTACATCAAAGTTTGACCCACATCGGGCACAAATTAATATCAATTGTGGCTGGCAGATTGCGTGTGCGAATATACGAATGCTAGAGGAACAGCTGGCCACGGGGATTGAAAGGCATTCAATTGTAATTGGCTGTGACCGAGGATTACACAATGACTAAGCGGTACTCCCTGGCGAAATTAAGTAATAATTATTATGATGTGTATACGCTTATAAATACCCAAACACGGCAAATAAAGGTCACATTTAGTAGGGCACCGGCTAGAATACTTCGGTCCCGATTTTCTGACCTCTTTGAGGGGCTAGTAATAGAGTAATAATAATGTATGTATTAAGGGGGAACTCCAAAGACGAAGGATAATCTAGCAAAATAAGAAATTATAAGCCTTTTTACTTACCATGATTAATTTACCAGTTCTGTGAGATTATCTCTTTCATAAAACACTATGAATTATTACAGGTGTAACCATAGTATTTTATCGAAGGGTTTTAAACTTTTTAAAGTTTTTTAGCCTCAGACTCTTCCAATATGAAACTAAATATAATATCAAAAGAAAACATTTAAACAGTTTGCGGTTCAGCTTTACAAAATACACAAAAGTAAATTTTGCAATTTATAAGTCTAAAATTAATATTTGCATTTTTGCTGAATTAGAAATAAGCATAATTAAAGTGGAATTATAACTTTACCTTTTAGAATAATAAATTTAATTTATTTCCTTCAATAAATTTTACTTGATCAATAGAAAAGCTCAGAGTTAATCTCAACGTAAATACCTAAAACCACGGATAATTTTGAAACTTAACATTATTGGGGATTCTCCTTATTGGCTCCTTTTTTATATAAAACGGCCAAGTTCATCTCGATTGTGTTCACCTGATCCTGCAGAAAGTCAATATCGTGCTCGTGTTGCAGACGCTGCTTTACCAGGCTTGTGATGTCCTTCTTGATAAATTCCTGTGCCTCCGGCAGATCAAACTCCATTTGCAAAGCATTGCCCACTTTAAGAGTCACCCTTTCCACTGGCATTACAGTCACCCACCTAAATACTCCCTGTGATATTTGCATAAGGCTCTGGAATTCCTTGCCCGGATTATCCATAAATTTCTTCACTAGTCCCAAGTTGTTCTTGGCAGCTTCTAACCGCGTTACCACCGCCCCAAGATCAGCTTCCAACTTGGCAGCGATTTCATTGTATTGCAAATAGAAGAAGTGTTGCAGCTTTAGAGCCACTTGGACATCCGATGAAAACTCCTGCTGGGTGATATATCTCTCAACATCGCCTATTAACTTGGCTTCTGTGATGTTCATGTACGACTTTCGGTCGCCAAGAGGAGGCTTCTCTACGTTTTCCATAAATGCAAACATTTCCGGTAATTTTTGAGTACAATTTTAGTACAAAAAACTCTTGGGGCACTAATATTATCACCGAACCTTAGAATGTAGGTATTATTATGGTACTTCCTACTATGATGGTAGGAAATCAAATTATTTTCATATACTTTAGTTGCTTTAGTTAATTATTAAACATTATGTCAGCTTAAAATCCAGCATGGTCTTTATTTTGCAAAAAATGTTATTGTGATTACTTAGGCCTAGAGTACATATTAATGTATCAATAATTTAAAAGCGCATTTACATAGATCCTATTCAAATATTGTCATAGTCTTCGTCTAACTCGAAAACGGTTTCAGTGGGGGTCGCTGATGCCGCGGTGGCCTTTGGAATGATGGGAGCGCTGCTCTTTCCAGCCATTTGGTTAACGTTGTTGTTATCCGCCGGCGTGGCCGGTGCGAATCCAATCGAGGTGGGCATTCTGCTGCCCGCCGCTCCGGCGGCCACGATATTTGTCAGATCGATGTTGATCACCGGATCAGCGATATCGAAGTTGAAAGCCCCTGAACCGGCACCCGATCCTGAGCCGGAATCGGAGGCATCCGGGGTACACAGGTTCCCCGTGGGCATCTGGACGTGGCTGTAGTCGATCTTGACGATGGGCTTGTTGAGTTCGTAGTTGCAGATCGGGGCAGGTATGGCAGTGTCGAGCTGCACCAACTGTTTCTTGAGGTGATTGGGTGGCCTGCCGCGGGGCGTGTAGGCCGGCGTGGACTCGGAGCGGGCCAACTTGGCGGGCAGGATGGTGGTGGGATTTGGATAGGTAGAGCTGTGCTGTGGCTGGAGCTGCCGCTTGGTGGCACCGCCGGCTCCTGCTCCATTATTCAGACTCATGGAGCGCATGTAGGCGGCGGTTCCGTTCGCCTGCGAGCGCATGGACGTCGATGGCAGGCTAAGATCGTATGGCGTGTCCGAGTCCGGGTACTGATCCTCCGGCGAGCTGCGCAGGACATCGTCCTCGTTGTAGGCGGCCTCCTCGGCGACGCTGATGTCCGGTATGTTGCGCACCAGCTCCTTGAGGAAGTCGAACCGTTTCTCCGACACTATGCACTGCCTCATGTGCGAGGGCGATAGCGTCTTGGCGTTGCGCGCATTGGTGATGCGCAGGGTCTTGGTCAGCAGCGACTCCACGAAGAGCTCCAGAGTGCGCGAGATGATAACGGGCACCGCCTGAGCCACCTTTCCGATCTCCTCGTCGCTCTGCATTATCTTCTTGATGCGGCCCTGTATGGAGTATATGTATATATGTAGTATAAACACATTATAGTCCAATCGCACCCGGTTCGATCTGTTTTTCGAGCCTCTGATTATGCGAGGCGTGTATGTATGTACACATGCACGAAAACTGATAACCCATCTTCGGCGTTCAGGGCCGCCAAATAGCGGCAGGGATTTCCAAGCCGCCCAAAAAACCGGGATTTCCACTTACCGCCGGAAAGCGTGCGTTGTATTTTTTCTTTTTCGATGGCATTTTGCGATTTGTGAAGTAATCGTTCGAGTCCTAGCGAAATAAAACAAATGTGTGAGTGTTTTTCACACAAGAACAGTTCCTTGGTGCCCAACTGTCGGCGTTGATGGTTGAATGGCAGTCGCTCTCGCAGCAGGCTGGCATTCACACGGAACACACAGGTATGAATAAAAATATATTTTTAAAAACATCTTAAATTATTCTGAATTATAAATTATGTTAATACTCTTTGTTATTATTTACTTAATGGTGTTTTATTTTGCTTTTATTTATTAAGTGCACTGCTTGCACTGCTTGTCCTGGCGCGATCTGGCAGCATCGTTCCAATGCGCTGTGAATGCCTTGAGCTGAGCCGCAAATAAGAAGCAGAACACTGACAGCCTGTAATTTTCAGATATGCAATAAGAATTTAAAATCACTGGAAATAAGCGCAGGATTACATGTCTAACACTCGCAAGGATCCTTGCAAAGCCAACGCCTGCCGCATACAAGCCTGCCTGAACGGTAAGCACATGCATTGACTCCTTTTTCCATTGTTATGTAAGCTGGTGGCACTCTTCACAGAGAATAACTACCAGGAGGACAAATGCCTAAAAGTCCTGGAGGATATGCGCCAGTGCTGTCTGAAGTGGCATAAAGAATCGCTTTGCTGCAGTGGAATCGATTTGGAAAAGGTCTATCTGCCAGAAGCATCAAAGGGGCAGATCCCAACCGGCAAGTCGTGAGTCCTGCCATGTTTTCTGTGCCGCTTTACACTCTTAAATCTCGATTCTTTGCAGGAACAAATAATGACCATACCGCAGTACAAACCACCAAAGGAAATCCAAGACTTGCTAGACAAAAAGGACCAGCAACAGGTTAACCAACGCAGGCGAACCGCTGTGCTGCCCAAGCGCTCGTGGATCCAGCGGAATCCACGCCTTTTTCAGATCTCCTGCATTACCACCTCGCTCCTGATCTTCTTCTCGAAGCCCCTCTACGACTGCTTCATTGCCGATCCCCTGCCGCCGCCGGAGATCAAGGTGCCGCCGCACAAGCGCTGAGGCATGGAATCGGTGCGCAGGGCCAACCAACGACTCCGCAATTATCCCCTTCTGGTAAGCAAGTGCGCGGATAAGGCCACGGCGTACGCGGTGTGCGTGTCGCGGGATCTGAACGTGCAGCATAAGATCTGCGACGCCGAGTTCAAGGAGTTCCTCAACTGCATTCGCAAGAGCGCCTTGGAAATGAAGACCAAGCTGTAGACATACGAGAACAATAAACAAAATGACGCAAACAAAGGTTACGACTGCGGGATGGCAGCGACTGGGTGGTCGCATCATTCAGACCAGCTTTCGGACCCATATCCTAATCTCCGCCTTGCTGCGGCTCGCTTTAATATGCTACGGACAAATACACGACAGTCAGTCCGCCGTACCCTACACAGATATAGACTACAAAGTGGTCACAGATGGAGCGCGCTTGGTGCTGGCGGGAGACACACCATTCGCCAGGCACACCTACCGATATAGCCCTATTATGGCGTACCTGCAGACCTTCAATATTCTGCTGCATCCGGCGTGGGGAAAGCTGTTATATGCCACCTTTGATCTGCTTATTGCCACGCTCATTTATCGCCTGGTGCACATGGAGATCAAGAGTCAGTACCAGAAGACCGTGCAGCACCTACTTAGCAAGTTTAACAGACCACGGGAATCCAACCAATCGCTAGATGCTCTTGACGCAAAAAGTCATCCGGAGAATTTGGCCCGCGCATCCGCTTGCTTTTGGCTCTACAATCCGCTGACGGCTGTAATATCCACTCGTGGCAGTGGCGACTGCTTCTCCAGCTTCTTCGTGATTCTCACAATATATCTGCTGTTAAAATCGGAGCACAACGAAGCCCGGAGCCACTGGCTTATATTTGGCGCAGGCTTAGCTCACGGACTGGTTATTCACCTTCGTCTGTACCCGTTGCTGTTTAGTTTGGCTTACTATTTGTCGCTGTCAACGCGTCTCACACAAACTCCTCTCGATTTCTTGTGCCAAATCCTGCGTCCCAACAAGCAACAGTTGTGCCTGGTGATCGGAACACTTGTCAGCCTGGTGGCCTTCACCTGGACCTTCTACTCAATGTACGGTTGGGAATACATATACGAGGCCTACTTGTACCACTTTGTACGCAAGGACCCGCGACACAACTTTTCACTGCAGTTCCTTCTGCAATATCTGGGCAGTGCGACGAGTGTTGCGGAACCCTCGGTGGTTATAAAGATCCTAGTGCTCGCTCCGCAGTTCCTGCTCATCCTCTACTTGAGCCTCAGCTTCGGCCAGTTTCGTCAAACACTACCGTTCTGCATCTTCGCGGTGGCCTTCGTCATTGTCACCTATAACTCGGTGGTAACCTCGCAGTACTTTATCTGGTACTTGGCCATCCTTCCGCTCTGTCTGAACAACTTCAAGCTGCTGTCATGGAGAAGGTGCTTCAGTCTTCTGTTCCTTTGGCTGCTCGCCCAGGCGCTGTGGCTGCTGCCCGCCTATTTGCTGGAGTTCCGGACGTGGAATACCTTTTACTGGATAGGACTGCAGGGAGCCGTGTTTTTCGCCACCAATGGCTACATATTGGAACAATTGTTGAGTCACTATGGGTTCACCCAATTTAAGATAAGCTACAGAAAGTTACTGTAATCAAACAATCTACCATGCTACAAGTATGTGCAAGATAGCGATTTAATATAAAAAAAGTTATCACAATTTACACTAGTGGAAAATTAAATTCTAAAGTTTTTTAGCTCATGAGGAGTTCATGAACTTGATGTAATTGAATAGCCTTTCGTGTTCCTCGGTTCGCATGGCGTAAACTCGGTCAGAAATGCCCCAGACATCACTAAGTCCGACCATATCAGTCTCAAAAACATTTCCCAGCTTGTTCCACTGCACATCGGTGAACTTTTTCTGGACTCGGCGGTACAATGCCCGCGCACAGACAGTTTGCACGCTTATATTGTTCACATTCTTGTACTCCTTTCGATTCTCGTAGAGGCGTCTTGTATGCTCGTAGTCTCTTCCCAAATCCTTTTCCGTGGTTATGAACATGTGATACACGCGCTTCCGACTGGCCGGTTTCTCCAGGCAAAGGAAACAAAGGTACTGTATGTCGTCGGCGGGATTCACCTTCGGAGCATTTACGGGCGGAACATTGCTCTTCAGTAGGATCCTGCTTAGAATCACTGGAAATGTGGTCGGGTTGACTTTGGGAGCCTCTGGAATCGTCGGAGCTGGCTTTTTTTTTCCCCTTATGCGGGGAGTATTTAGGTTTGGCTTCACCCTTCCGGATATATTAAGCACAGGTACTTCTGCTGATGACTCAGTTTTGGGACTGCTCGCAGACAAAGGTGTATTATTATTTTCTTGAGCTTCAGCTTCCATAATTTTAACTTTGTTGTATTTTTTAACGACTGTCTTGTCAATGTCTTCGCAAATACTGAATTATGTTGACCGAAAACCACCGCTTAAATGGATGGATTGTTTTGTAGCCAATCGAAATAGCTAAATATGTATTATTTCACAACCAAAAAGTTCACAGGAAAAGCACAGAATTAGTGGTGGTGTTTGTTTATATCTCCCAGAGAATGGCAACCATATGGTTGCTGATTAGAGTGAACTTTAACTTTTAAATTTCATTTATTTATAACAAAATATCATTTTATTTAATTTAAAGAATTTGAGTTTATTTTAACAATATATATCATTGGTACAAGTTTAATTTCATTTATTTGTAAGCTTTTAAATCAATTTAAACAACTTTTATCATTGGTAATCACTGTAATTTAAAATAAAGTTGTTTACAATCTGCCTATCAATTGTGTTTCATAAGAGATCCGTTCTATGTATATTATTAGGGAACTCTTCTTCAGCTTGCTCAGAAAGAATTAATGATAAAAAATCGAAGACTATCTGGTCAGCTATTCGTGGCGACCAGGAACTTTGCAAAATTAATAAGCTTTTCCCTTTCCTCGTTTTCAAACTGATACAATTTCTGCGACATGTTCCAGACATCTCTTTCCCCGATCTTTTCAGTCTCAAAAATATTTCGCTGTTTGTTCCACTGCACATCGGTTAGTTTATTTTGGACTCTGTGATACAGTGATCGCGCACAAAGGGCGTCCAAATGAATCTGCTCTCCAATCTTGATGTCTTTTCTGTTCTCGTAAATTTTTCGCACATTTTGCGAGTCGTTTTCCAACTCATTTTGATTGGATATAAACAAGTGATATGCTCGTTTTCTGCAAGCTGGCTTTTCAAGAGGCAATACGCAAAGAAACTGCCTAAAGTCCGATGGATTTACTTTCGGCACAGCTGCAGGTGGATCATTGGTTTTTAACAGGACCCTGCCCATGATGTATGGAAATGTCGTCGGATTAATTTTTGGCTGTTCAGGAACTACGGAAATTGTAGAAGGGACAGCAGCCGGTTGCTTTTTACCCCTACTACGAGGAGGATTGCGCTTTGGTTCCACCTTTCCCGAAATATTAAGCACTGGTGCTTCGGATGGTTTTGATATATTATATTGTTGATCTTCCTTTTCCATTGCTTGAAATCTTTGCTATATTAAGTTTGTACCTTCTTTTTAAAGTTCTACGAGAATACTGAATTATGAGTGAACCTAACATTTATTTTATTGATCGATAGAAATAATTTCACATTCAACTAAAATCAAAAGCTCAATATTAGTCATCGCTTATTGTTGACATCATGTGTGTGAATGGTTACTTACAATAACATCTGTTTACAGATTAGGGTGAACTTTATATGTAGACCATTCGACGATTAAAAATCTGTTACTTTTTTTTGAAATGTTTATTTAATATATAATTTCACAATTAATACAAATAGTTTAACTCTTTCTAACACTCAGAAACTTGATGTAATTGAAGAGTCTTTCATCATCCTCGGAGCGAATCTCATTCAACCTTCTTGAAAGTGCCCAGATATCTGTATCCGAAGTCATCTCGGTTTCGAAAACATTGCCCTGCTTGTTCCAAGTAGCATCTGAGAACATTTTCTGAACCCTACGATATAAGGTTCTCGCACAGAGCGAGTTTTCGGTTAACTGATTTACGATTTTTATGTCCTTTCTATTTTCGTATATTTTTCGTACCCTATCGTAGTTATTTTGTCAATCCTTTTCAGTCGACAGGAACATATGATAAACTCTTTTCCGAGCGGAGGGTTTTTCAAGATACAGAAAACTTAGAAGTTGTGTGTAAATCCAAATATTTTCCTTTGGGGGAGCAGGAGGTACATTGCTTTTCAACATTGTTCTACTTAGAATAAAGGAAAAGTAGTCGGGCTAATTTTATCCTAATTCGTGGAGGTCCTCGACTTGGTTTGGCTCTTTCAATGTTTAAAGTGAGCAATTCAGATGAGTCCGTTTTAGTAATTCTAGACGAATCTCTTTTATTTGCCATTATTAGACACTGTATCTTTAAACACCTGCTAAGCAACTAAACTATGAAACCTTTTACATATCACATAAATAGAATTAATCGATTTCACAATTGAAAGTTTACAATAAAAAGCTCAAGAGTAGCAATGAACCTTTTAGTTTACAAATATATTAAATTGGTAAATAAATAAATTAAGAGGCACTAATATCATAACACAATATTTTTAAAAATTAATATTAAAAGTTTAAGTCTAAATTGTTGAATACAATAAAAATAATTTGTATAACAACTATATACTTTTATTTTATAAAATCTAGGAAAATATCACTTTGTACAGGCACTTTTATTTAGATATCGCAAGTATTGATAGATTTCCATTTCTTCCTCTCGTAAGGCATCCGAAACAATTTGCTGAATGTATATCATTGAGTTCTTTCGATACTGAATTACGTTTTCGTTAACCCAGTGTTCTTTACCGATTCGATTTTTTACACGTAAAAGCATGCCTTTGGGATCAAATAAAACCGCACTTATTATTGTTCCATTTTTGAAATTATCAGGGCCGAACTCGTAATATTGTTTACCATTTTTCATTATCTCAGTGGCTGCAAATCTGTCGATTGATGTTTCATCAAGTTTTGGTGGCTTATCGCCTTCAAGAAGTAACTTCTGCATACGTTTCTCAAAGGCAATATCAAAATTCGCTTTAGAGTTCTTTGTTGAGTGTAATTTGTCTAGTGATTCGCTACTTTCATTTCCAATTGTTAAAACATTCGAATTTGACATCTTGTTTGGTTCTGAAAAAATAGCTTAATAAAGAAGGAAGTTTTAGAATAGCACTCGTTCAGCTTACCAGATTGAGTCTCTACGTAAGATGTCTAATTTTTAAATGACCACAGTTCTTTTATTTGTTTACTAAAGAAAGAAAGTTTACATTAAAAGCTTAAAGTTAGTGATGGCATTTAAGTTGTTTATAAACCATGGTGATTGGCCAATAACATATGATTTTAAGCTTATTTGCGTTTAGTATTTTCATTCAGATAACACAAATAATGATAAATAGCTGAACTTTCTTCATCTAAGGCATTGGAAACCGTTTGGATTATAAAATTTCTTGAGTCTTTTGGATACTTGACAACGTTTTCAGTTATCCAAAAACCTTTACTTATTCGATTCTTTACACGTTTAAGAACACCCTTGGGTTCAAATGTGGGACCATTGATCATCCAACCATTTATCTTATCACCCGGACCAAATTCGTAATATTGTTGTCCGTTTTTCTTAGTTTCTTTCGCAGAAAACGTTTCGACTGATTTGTCTTCATAAACGGTTGAAAATGGTTTCCTATCATCTAGTAAAATTTTTTGCAAATGCTTCTCTAATTCTGAATCAAGAAACTCTTTTCGGATCCTTGGGGTCCCTGTTTTAGTTCTATCTGAATGTTCAATGTCGTCGGTTCCAATAGTCAAAACATTTGATTTTTCCGCCATATTTGGTTCTGAAAGAAATTTTGGTTGGTGAAGAGTATTCCGATTTTGTGATCCAACTTACCTGGTTGAATTTCAGCACTAACCATACAACATGGTTACCATACAGTATGGTTAGTGATTTCAGTAACGTATGATTTCGTTATGGGTTTTTATTTAATTTTATGTCAACGGAAAGCTCACAATAAAAGCACATCATTAGTGATGGTTATTTTTTGTTTAAAAATACTTGTAAAAGTTTAATAACATGTGTTTGAAACAGAGTGGACTTAAACATTTTATTTTTTTTATTAATTAACAAATTACTTATTACTAAAATTGTCATTAAGATAGCACAGATATTGATAGATTTCAATTTGTTCCTCGTGTAATGCATTTCCTACTGTTGCTTGTATAAAGTCTCTGGAGTCCTTGGTATACTTAGCCACGTTATCTTTAATCCAATGTTCCTTGCTTATTCGATCCTTAACGCGTCGTAGTACACCCTTGGGTTCAAATGTGGGTCCATTTGTTAACCAGCCATATATTTTGAACTTCGGTCCAAACTCGTAATAATAGGATCCGTTTTTCTTTATTTCATTTGATGCAAATCTTTCGACAGCTTTATCGTCAGGTAAACTTTTCAGTGGTTTTCCGCCGTTCAGGAGAATTTTCTGTAAGTGCTGTTCGAAATCTGATTCAAAATAAGCCCTTCGGTTGCTTGAGATCGAGACCCTGTTTAACATGTCGCTGGTCTCGTCTGTTCCTATAGCCAAAACATTCGAGTTCGTCGACATGTTGGGTTCTGAAAAGTACTATAATTAAACAGTTTACAATAAATCAAAAATAATCTTACCTGGAAGAACGTAACTGAAGAATGTTTTTATTTCTAGCTTATTTCTTTATGTTTAATGGCAACTGTCAGAGTCTATTTTATTTGTTTACCAAAACAATAATTTCAACGGAAAGCTCACCATAAAAGCACAATATTAGTGATGGAAATTTTTTGTTTATATCCAGATGTGAATGGTTAAAAACATATGTTTTTAAAATAGGGTGAACTTAATAACAGTTGTTTTTTTATTAATTAACAAATTACTTATTACTGAAATTACCATTAAGATAGCATAGATATTGATAGATTTCAATTTGTTCCTCGTGTAATGCATTTCCTACTGTTGCTTGTATAAAGTCTCTGGAGTCCTTGGTATACTTAGCAACGTTATCTTTAATCCAATGGTCCTTGCTTATTCGATCCTTAACACGTCGTAGTACACCCTTGGGTTCAAATGTAGGTCCATCTATTATCCAGCTATTTATTTTGAGCTCCGGTCCAAACTCGTAATAATGGGATCCGTTTTTCTTAATTTCATTTGAAGCAAATCTTTCGACAGCTTTATCGTCAGGTAAACTTTTCAGTGGTTTTCCGCCGTTCAGGAGAATTTTCTGTAAGTGCTGTTCGAAATCTGATTCAAAATAAGCCCTTCGGTTGCTTGAGATCGAGACCCTGTTTAACATGTCGCTGGTCTCCTCTGTTCCTATAGCCAAAACATTCGAGTTCGTCGACATGTTGGGTTCTGAAAAGTACTATAATTAAACAGTTTACAATAAATCAAAAATAATCTTACCTGGAAGAACGTAACTGAAGAATGTTTTTATTTCTAGCTTATTTCTTTATGTTTAATGGCAACTGTCAGAGTCTATTTTATTTGTTTACCAAAACAATAATTTCAACTGAAAGCTCACCCTAAAAGCACAATATTAGTGATGGAATTTTTTTTGCTATATCCAGTTGTGAATGGTTAAAAACATATGTTTTTAAAATAGGGTGAACTTTATAACAGTTGTTTTTTTATTAATTTACAAATTACTTATTACTGAAATTGCCATTAAGATGGCACAGATATTGATAGATTTCAATTTGTTCGTCGTGTAAGTCATTTCTTACTGTTGGTTGTATAAAGTCTCTACAGTCATTGATATACTTAACTACGATATCTTTAATCCAATGGTCATAGTACACCCTTGGTTTTAAATGTAGCTCCATCTATTATCCAGCCATTTATTTTGAGCTCCGGTCCAAACTCGTAATAATGGGATCCGTTTTTCTTAATTTCATTTGCTGAACATATTTCGACAGCTTTTTCGTCAAGTAAACTTTTCAATGGTTTACCACCGTTCAGTAGAATTTTCTATAAGTGTTGTTCGAAATCTAATTGAAAATTAGCCTTTCGGTTCCTTGATATCGAGGGTCTGATTAACATGTCGCTGGTCTCCTCTGTTCCTATAGCCAAAACATTCATTATCTAAAAAATAAATTGATTGAAACCGATTACAATTTAAAAAAAATGCATCTTACTTGGCAGAACGTAAATAAAGACTGATTGTATATATTTATCAAAACAATAATTTGAAAGAAAACATCACTCTAAATACAATATTACTGATGGGAGTTTTTTGTTTATATCCAGTTGTGAATGGTTAAAAATTATGTTTTCAAAATGAGGTGGAGTGGAAAACAGTTGTTTTGTATTTTCCAAATCCGTGAACAATAGCAGATTGTTTTTCAAGGTTTTACACTGAACAACAATTATTTTCAAGTTTTATTTTTGTGGAATCCCTACAATCTTTTGACACGTTTCTATCAACCCCAGATATATTTTCTTGTTTGACTTCTAACACGTCCAAGATTTCAAAAATATTTAAATTATTATAACAGTTTTTGAGAATGTAAACAAAACATATTTAATTACTGGTTCATAAGAATCTAAAATTTTATGGTTCAATGTATTTCACCTATGTATCAAGTGTAAACTTTGTAACAGATATTCTTATATCCATATTACTTCAAATTGTCTGAAAACTAGGATTCATTCGCTATACGAATTCATTTATCATCCCTCAAAATTTTCGAAAATCGCCTGTCGGCAGTTTTCCTAGTATTATTTAATTACGACCTCTCCAGCTTTTACGTCTGATCCAAAGATTATTCGGTTCCCCTCAAAATGATAAAATATTTGATTCTGACTATATGTTCTGTTGAACGTTTACTTGTATTGGATTTATTGGTGTGTATGTGGTAAAATGTATTCAAGTACAATAAAAGCTTTTATATTAGACACGGAAAATTAAACACTTACAGGTGGTCGCCATTTAGAAGGGGATTTTCAAATTCATGAAATAAATAAAAATACAAAAATTGATCCCAGTCTATTAGCAAATACCCTAAAAAGGAAACATTTATCGTGGGAAAACAAGTGTTCTCAGAAATAAAATATTTTTATTAATTATCTTATCTTATCTCACTAACTTATAATACTGTTGAATACTTTTCTCGGGGCATAAAAAAATTCAGTTGAACTTCCTTAAATTGAGATTGAATTAGTTTTATTAGCAATAAACAATTGGGATAATGGCAACATTTAAAGAAGTAAAAATGTTACTAAATAAGGCAATATCAGATTTGTATAATATTTATCTAATTTATTATTTTACAACAAAAATATATAATCTAAAAATAAAGTATAAAAAAAAATTTCGACTGACTAAATATTTACTTATATTGTAACAGGTCTGCAACCTCTACTAGGTTCAAAGACTATTTAAGATCTTGCCAGTCCGAAAATATATAAGTTTATCTTTACCATAAGCCCCCTTTAACCGTTCACACCTTATCAAGTGTCTGTCAAAACACGCATTATTTCGTTTCAAAACTGGAAACAAACAAACGCCCCTTTCCCTCTGTGATCTAAATAACAGATAAAACGACTTGGCATCGGTGACTTTTTCATAGTACCGGTATTAGAAGCGTGCTAGATAGTAGCTCGCTACAGGTGCCAACGGTGATGATGATGATGGGTTGAGGGGGTTTTTCTTCACTCGCACAATTTCTCCATTTCGACTACTCGTTATGTGTGCTGTAACTACGCCGAGGTGTATTTGGTACTATACAAGATTTAGCTGATATAACACCAAGCGATTTGTACCTTATAAGGCATATAACTTTGTTTTCATTTCGACTTTGGTAAATGTCAAGTACGATTGAGATAACTGCAGAAAAGTCCCCGTTTACTGCCCTAAAATTGCGATCCAGCAAATAAATCATTTTATTATATTCCGAAAGAGATAATTGATTTGTCAATAAAAATGTACCCTGAAAATAAAACACAAAAATACAGTTTACGCAATTCACCTTAGTGCACCCCTTTCATTTGTTGCTATAGTATATATCAGCGGCTATACATTTATCCCCGGTGCTTTCCCCGCTAGAACAAACATTGACCCAACTGTTTACATTAAAGCGTGTTTATCCAAATGGCGATCTCGATACATATGCTTTGTGTTTCCCGGTTCTGCTCGCCACCGAGCTCACCAACCGACTGAAATCGAAACCCAAGCTGAACTTGAATCGAACGCAGAAAATGCCAAGATCGAGCGAATGACGACTGGAATTCGGAAGCTTTTGAGACGTATGTATGTACATACATACATATGTGTAGTTAATCAATTGCTAATAAAATCTGATGTGAAAAGTACGGGTGTGAGTTTTTGTTTGTAAACAAACAGGCTCCGAACTCGACTAGGAAACGACTAGCTTGCAATATCCCACTTGGCAACCGGGTAAATATTATTTAAATATGTATATGATAGTTTTCTAGAGCGGAAAACTTTATCGTCTTATCTACGGGTGGTGTACAAACGGAGGGTTATTACCCCTTTGTGTTCAGGTGGTTCTAATTATGTGCCGTTTTGGCACCACATTTACGACCCCATACCGAAATCAACAAGTCAATATCAAGGGACTTAACAATGATAAGGGAGTTGGCAAAAATCCCCATCAAAATTTTGCTATACTTCATGAACTGATAACTGTCTACACAAGAAAAAGTTACATTTTCTGGACGATATTATTAGAATAATGAAATATCTGAAAATATAGTATTTTTCAAGTATTTATTGTAATACTTAATTTTTGACTTTAATAAAAGTATTTTTTAACTTTTATTTTTAAATTTTTAAAAGGTTATTCTCTTAACCAATATTTTATTTAACTGTATTTTTAATTTTGTGTGGTTTTTTGCGATAACATTTTGGTAAAAATATACGATCTAAATAAAAATGATTATTACATTTATTTAAAAAAAAAATATTACTAAATATTTAAAACTATTTAAATATATATATTTTAAATCGAATTTGAATTAATTTCACGTTTAATATTTTCCAAAGTATAAATCGGGGCTATTGGAAAAGAAAGAACCACGCACCTTAATCATTTGTATTTCACTGTAGAAAATGGGCGTTCTGTCTGGTAAGCCGTACGTAGTAAAAGGACCCATGAATAAGTCTTTTTAACTGAAAGAGATAGCCGGCCCAAAGCAAGGTTCGTATTAATCATGCCGAATAAATTTTAAGACCTTATCAAAGGTCTTCCCAGCTGGCCGAGTGACGAAAAAATTCGAGTCTCTCATGCCTACGAGGTGATTTTAGTGCCGGCCCTCGGGCGAAATAAAAAAGCCCCGCCGCTAGACTCTCCGGCTGGTATAAAAGCGGCTCCCGAGCGGAATTATCGTTCAATAGCCAAAGTGCCAGCGTTGAGCACACACAGCGAAAGTAAACCCGAAATCGTTTACTCAACACATAACAAAAGAAAAGAGCAATATCAGAGGGAATTCCCCTTACGGAAACAGACGATCCCCCAGCATTAGCAACCACACAATTGGATATTTTTGACCTTAGACCGCAGCTGTGACATCCGAAATATTGCTCATCGTTCGCAGGGTTCCCCCGGAGACAGAGAAAAGAGAGATAGCCACTGATAGACTTGGAGAATGAGCTAACTGACCACTGACCGAACTCGGTGATTTTTGTTAGTGATTAGCATTGGAAAGAAACGAAATCTGAGGTAATTCACACAAAAATGGGCGTTCGTGTGATAGAGACCGATTCGGCGAGCGATTCGTACGACGATGACGAGTGCTCTACATGCCAGAAAGAGCAGGGTAAATCCCCCAATAAGACCAAGAGGAGTACCACGCCGCCGGAAACGACCATTTATGCCAGCAAGGATCTGGTGGGTAACTGCAAGGAATACCGCATCGAGAACAACTCGCGGGATCTGAGGATCATCGGCAATGGCAACCGGATACGGATTGTGAATAACTCCGGCAGCCTGCACATAATTGGCAATGCCACCAGACTGAAGATCCAGAGCAACAGCGGATCACTCAAGTATACGGGCAATGATGGTAGGATCTACTTGGGCAGCAATTCCACACAGCAGGTGGTGGACTACACGGGCTGCAATGGACTGCTCAAGGTGGTCAAGTCCCTGGATCTCAGCGGTGGGGCCAAGAAAAAGCCCAGCACTCGATCCAAAAACCCCAAGCCAACGGATTCCAATCCGGGTGGCGTTGAGATCGACAGCAATTTCACAATCCAACACGGAGCTGGGAATATTGTGATCAAGAATGCCATAAACGTGAGCATTTGAAGGAGGAGGCTCTCTCTAGTCATCTTAGGCCAAAGATTAATGTACTGCAACTCTTGCCGCCGAACTCAACGGTTCCTAATGACTGCTCAAAGTCACTTAGTCATATCTGTGACTTCCGACTGCTACAAATATTTACATCATAACCATTCAGCATTGTAAAGTATTAAACGCCACGTCGTTAGTCTAGAATATCCATTTATAATCACAGAGTCACACACTGATTAGAGACTTTATATGTATGTTTAGCCGTAAAACGACGCACAGTGAACAAAGCTTAATATTCATTCTGAGAATGAATAATCTGATTAAAAGAGGAAACACAAATATATATTTAAAATAATTATGAACTTTACGAACTTGCGGTGTATTTCTTTTTAATTGTTGCTTTTACAAAATCCCCTCCTCTGAGAGTACTTCACATTTTCATTGGAGCTTGGTGAACTACCCAGATAATGAGTGAATTCCGAAAATGTTTTCTTGAGCAAAAGCCGTGCGAGTACTCCACTTTCTGGGGTCGGGTCGTGCCATTCACTACTTCCAAGAATGGGCTCTTAATCATCGCGATGCTGATGCACTGGAAACTTGAGCACTGACCTATTTTAATTCTCACCGGAAAAAACAGACGACACATACATATGGCACTATCGTTGTAGGTACTGATTAATTAAATACATTTCGCTTTTCTATAGGTGCCCTTGGTTACGGACTTTCGAGTGCCGAATATCAATTCTCGGGGATTTTTTTTTCCGAGTTGACAGTGGCATACAAAGCAACAATTCATTGCCGAAATACGTAGGCCACCTTTGCACTCGCACTCACCGGTTATTGGAAAAAAGTTAAGAATGCCGAGAGATGCGAAGTTTGGGTGCAATAAACTTTTTGTTTCTCTGGGTAAGTTAAACTTGTTTTTTAGATATATCTTCTTAATTAAAAACAAAAATACTACATTTTAATCATTTCTATCAACAGAAATTAGGTAAGCATTAATTGATGTACTTCACTTTAAAAATATAAGTAAAATTAAAGAATTTTAAAAAATAAATAAATTAAAAATATTACTTTCCTAAAATTTTGGTATATTTCTTTATTGAAGAGTGAAAGTGGAACCACCTAAGTAGGTATGTAAACACATCAATTGGCTTTATGAACTCTTTTGGAGAAGTTTTGAAATCAAGAATAAAACAAAAAGGAATGCTATTGTCGATTCCCATTACTCAGCTAAACAATTTTAAGATATATATTTCCCCAGCTGATGTTGCATTTCTTTCGGCGAGGCAAGCAATTTGGTCTTAGGTGGCGGCATCTGCTGAACTTGATGCACCAATACAACAAGCTGGGCTTATCCTGCCACAAATATATTATCTATTTTTACATTTTACGTGTTTTTATATATCCGCAATCTATCAGAAGCCAAAATAAACGGTATTAAGTGAAACGAACACATTTCATTGCCGAATATCTTAAATACTTCAGAACGGAACTGTAATATTATAATAGATCAAAGGGGAAATGTCGTTATTGTTGGATCAAAACGGGGTTTGATCAAAACCCGAAACTCGAGTCAATACTTAAAACTTTTGGCAATAAAAATAAAATGTTGAGTTTTTTATTGTAATTTGAGAAAATGAAGAAAGACCTGATTTGTGTAGATGAGAACTATCGTTCCCCGGTAGATTTTTGAAAAATTTATTTTGGCATATTTTCTTATTGTTTTAAGCGGTCAAATCATGGTTTAATAGAGGGTAAATCATGATTTATTATAAAAATTTACAAAACTAAAAATTTTTAGCAAGGGATGCGATCCGATTGCAATGGTATGACACTCCAACTATTGACAATTATTTCCCAGGGTTTAAAAAAGTAGAAACTGGAGTACATTTCTAAGACTTTTGACATTAAAAGCAAGGAGCAACGCTATATTCGAATGCTTCGACTATAAATTTTTATGTAAATTTTGAAAGAAACTGCGGACAGGCGGACAGAAGGACGGAAATGGCTAGATCCATTCGGATATTAATCCTGATAAAGAATATACATATGTTCTTTTAAAAGTCGGAAAAGCTTTCTTCTACTAAAAAACTAGGTAGTCTAACTATCAATTTAGAAAAGCTTTGAATTGTCGATTGAGTAAGCCGATTAGAACACTTTAATTTTTGAATCAATTTTGCTTTCCCGCCAATTGGCCCGAAAATACCACTAACTCGAGGAGTATCGATAGTTCCATTCGATCTATCGGAAGGTGCAACGCGGTTTCTACGCATGGTTTGGTCACACTTTCCTCAGCGCTCTTCTTCGGCGAACTATTATAAACACAAACATTTTGCGACATCTGAAGCAGAAGATAATGTTTGGCGCTACACAATCGACAAACCGGATGAACGACTTTGAGGTGGCCTCCCCGCCGGATGACTCTGTTTCGGCGCTCGAGTTCAGCCCGAGCACGGTGCAGAAGAACTTCCTGGTGGCCGGAAGTTGGGATAGCAGCGTCCGCTGCTGGGAAGTGGAGCAGAATGGGGCTACCGTGCCCAAGTCGATCAAGACCATGGGCGGACCGGTGCTGGACGTTTGTTGGTCGGACGACGGCAGCAAGGTGTTCGTGGCCTCCTGCGACAAGCAGGTGAAGCTCTGGGATCTGGCCTCGGACCAGGTGATGCAGGTTGCGGCCCACGATGGTCCTGTGAAGACGTGCCACATGGTTAAGGGTCCCACATACACCTGCTTGATGACCGGCTCCTGGGACAAGACCCTAAAGGTAAAACAAGTCATATACTTGGGATAAACATATTTATAATAGCCCATTTTCGTTTAGTTTTGGGACACTCGTTCGCCCAATCCCATGATGGCCATCAATTTGCCCGAGCGGTGCTACTGCGCCGATGTGGACTACCCCATGGCCGTGGTGGGCACTGCCAACCGAGGGCTCATCATATACTCGCTGCAGAACAGTCCCACGGAGTACAAGCGTCAGGAGAGCCCCCTGAAATACCAGCACCGTGCCATCTCCATCTTTAAGGACAAAAAGAAGGAACCCACCGGCTACGCCCTGGGCAGCATTGAGGGCCGCGTGGCCATACAGTACGTCAATCCGGCGAACCCCAAAGATAACTTCACCTTCAAGTGCCACCGCTCCACAAGCACCTCGGGCTTCCAGGACATTTATGCCGTGAACGATATTGCATTCCATCCGGTGCACGGCACCCTGGTAACCGTCGGTTCCGATGGCACCTTCAGTTTCTGGGACAAGGACGCCCGAACCAAGCTCAAGTCCAGTGAGGCTATGGATCAGTCCATTACCAAGTGCGGATTCAATGCCAACGGTCAGATATTCGCCTACGCCGTTGGCTACGACTGGTCCAAGGGACACGAGTACTTCAACCCGGCCAAGAAGCCACAGATCTTCCTGCGCTCGTGCTACGACGAGCTAAAGCCGCGCATCAACTGATCGGAGGATTACTTTAGTTTTAGTGAAAACCCTTACACGTATATGTATTGTGAATAAACGGATTCGGAGCGAGAGTACAATGTGTTTATTCAATTTAGCTAATGGTGACCGGCTTTATCGTCGTGTTCCTCGTGGCCGTGACCATGTCCATGGCCACCCTGACCCTTGCCAATGCCCAAAGCGTACTCCACGGCGACGGTGGCCAGGAAGGCGCAGAATCCCACGCCGAATCCGCGGAAGAGGAAGGTGTTCAAGCGGGATCTGTGCGTGCCGAAGCCCTTGGGTTCGTAGCGCCAGGCCTCGTTCCTGGAGAAACCCCATCAACGATATTAGAAGAAGACCAGTTAAATCCACATCTGAAAGCTCACCTCAGCCATGGATCCTTCAATCCCTGCCGGGCCAGCGCCTCCTTCACCTCCAACAGCTGAGGCACATTCTCCACCTTGTAGGTCGATGCGTGGGGCACCGTGTAGGGTTCTCCGTGATGTCCGCCCATTGCTGCACTGGAAATCAAGACAAATTAGTATCCTCCAGGCGCAAGTTTAACCTAGCCCTGAATAATTACATAAGAATGTTTATGTTTGACAAGCAGTAAGGCTTGCTGGATTGAAAAAAACTTATGGGCTGTAGACACAACCAATTTAAATAATGCTACAACACCTTTGTCGCACGTAAATATCCCTATTTAAACCAAAATCACCAGGAAAATAATATTATAAAAATACGCACAGTTGCCTTAGAGATGAACAGTAGACGATAAGCCTAACCAGCTGATTTATCGATAGATCGCAGGAAGGGACTAAAAAATACCAAAACTGCGTGCCACTTTTGGCGCCAATGGGACCTTTTAAAAAATAAACCTTTTTAATAATTTCCATATTTATTTATTCATTAAAGTTATTTTTGCAATTTGTAGAACAGTTGTAATTTTTAAACGTGCTTAAGTGAAAATATACATAAATTTTTTCCATTTAATTCTCTAGTTACACATTAAGTAATAGTAATATTTGTAGGATCTATATATTAATAGCGTTTATCTTTTTAATCGTTAACTTAAAAATGTGTTTTTGCATGTATTTTATATAGTATATATAGTAAACTCTGGCTCTTCGAAACTTTGTCACTACAATTTGAAAAGGAAACGGGCTAAGACTTTAAGCATAGATACATACAACGAAATACTGATCATTACGCTCTGTCGCTTTGTCATTTTGCATTGTATTGTAATGGCTAGGTATAAAAACGCACGATCCGAGTGTCCTCGCATTAACGTACAATACATATATAGGTGTGCTACACGAGAACTCTCACAAAAGGTTAAATTATATGCACTGTTGCCGAACAACTTATTTCTGATCTGGATGTGAAATGCAGATTGCACAATCAATCTAAAACACTATTTACTTTCTTCTACTTTTGGAAGCGACTCTTTTTCACAAATCAATTTCAAATTCACTCCTCATTTTCCACAAATGCTGCAATTAATAGGGGGAACTCGCTCCGCCCTGCACTTAATATTACGTGTCGGTTAAAAGTTAAAAGTTAGGGGCTATATCCGGTTGTTAAATAGGTTTGCTTGAATCACATTTCGAATTTCTAAAGATTAGTTGATTTTGTTTCATAATTTAACGCATGTTGCTACAACAATTTAGGTATTTTGAAATCAAATTGTACTTTTAACGTGTGTTCCCCTCCCAGTTCCCCCATTTTCATTTTTTCCTTCCGTTCTTGCCGTCAGTGACCCCTTACATGCGCTCCTCGGCCAGAATCTCGTTGAGCAGGCGGTTGAGGCTGTCCAGGCCGGTGAGGAATCCCCCATCAGGTCCATGGTGCACCGGAGCAGCCGCCGGAGTGGGCAGCATGCTGCCATTCCGCGGCACAAATGCCGTGTGGGCAAAGTCAATGAGGCGCACGTCCACGAAACACTGGTTGTCATCTGTAGGCGGTGCCGACATGTCCAGCGACTTGGAGCTGTGCTGCAGCAGGGCCGTGTTGCGATGCTGCTCGTTGTTGTTATCCAGTGAGTCCAGGAGCAGGCCCGCCAGCAAGGAGTGCGGGTTGGAGATGCTCTCGCAACCATGCAATTGCGGTGCGGTCTTCGCTGGCGAGGATACGGCCGAAACGGGCGTCGATGTGATCGTCGACTTCTTGGCCTCTCGCGAGTCACATTCACCGAGGGCCGCCGACTGCTGGTCGTCATCGTTGCAGCGCAGCCGCTTCACCGCACCCTTGACCGATTTCAGAGACGATGCGCTGGAAGAGGCGGGCGAAATCAGGGAGCGCACAGTGGTGCCGCTGTTGGAGACGCTCGAGTTGCCGGCAGTAAGGGGCGGGGAGGAAGCGGATTCGGCTGCCGCGGCGGCATCAAAAGATTGCTGTGACTTGTAGCGCTTGAACATGGCCTCTGTGGGTCCAATTATGCTGCTCTCGTAATCGGAACTGGCGTCGTCACTGCTGTTGTTGCCTGAAAGTAATGGAAAAGTTTTATCAATCTGTACATATTAAATAAATATACGGTTTCTTACATGTCTGCCGCCCGCTGGCCACAGCCTTGATCTGCTCCGACAATCCGGAAAAGTCGTCACTGCTGTTGCTGCTATAGTTCATCCACGAGTCACCGGAATGTGGCGATGAGGTCGTCACGCTGGGCAGCGCTGGCTCTGGGTCCAGGAATACTGTCTCTTCCGAGATTGGAATGAATGCGCCCTGGCCCTTTCCGGCCAGTCCGGCTGCAGCGGCAGCCGCTGCCGCCTTGGCGGCCATGACACCACAACTACGGGGCGGTGGCATGGCAGCCGGATGATCTTCCTCCTCCTCCTCGTCGGTGGTGGTGTTGTTGGCCGCCGTCTGCTTGACACCCCGCGCCGCTGCCTCTGCGAATCCACGCTTGTGCAGGTGACGTCTGGTTGCCAGATTGAGCAATGAGCTGGAGTCGTTGGAGGCATCTGCATCGTAGTTGCAGGCATCACCTCCTGTGCTGCTGTTGGTGGCCGAAGCGTTGCCACTGTCGGCTGCCACCAGATGCAGATCCTCGTCGGTGTCGTGCGCCTCCAGCTCATCGCCAGCCTCGTGTCCCGCCTCGTCTTCATCCTCTAGATCGTCTTCATCTATGCTGTTCTCCGGATGATAGTCGAAAACGGTGCCGGGCACGGTGGCCGACCTGGGTGCTTCCGGCCACTCATCCACACCCATCGAGGGGGGATGAGCCATGGGGTTTTCCTCGAAACCCTCATAAACAATAAGCAATGAGCTGTAAATAAGGAATAACTAATTAGAACCGTATCTAAATGGAAGCATTGCCGTAACAAAAGTAATAGCAATTTACATTTGCTTTGCTATTACTTTAGCTGAAGATCAAACGCTGACTCACCAGGAGTAGAACCTATAGCTTGACTGCTTCTCAATCACCCTGCGCAACTGCAGCAGGCGCTGCAGAATCTTGCGGATGACGCGAATGCGCAGGCGGTACCCGTTGTAGAAGAAATCGTGCAACGCCGTCTTGAATCCGCCCTCGTTCAGCTCGCGGCCCCAGTACTTGTCACGCTTGGCATACTGCTCCAGATCGGCCAGATAGGTCTGCATTCCGCATAGCCGAACACCGAGGGATCCCGATGTGCTGGCCGCGCATTTGGCCATCTGCTTGGAGCGCTTCTCCGCCGAGGCGTCATCGCCATGCTGACGAGTACCCATCTTCAGGTCCAGGATGCAGGGATTCCGGAACTGCGAGGTGATGTTCTCGAGCATAAGGAAGTCTGCAAGGAAAACATGCAGGTTAAGTTAACTGCGCTTAAGATTCAAATATCTAATAGAGTTTTAGGGCTGTTAAGATATGCATATTCATAATTTAAAATAAGCAATACGCTTCGAAACTTTAAATAATTTACGAGAATTCATTATATCATCTTATTTTTTTTTTAGAAAATAGTTTTTTTGTGAGCTTGGAGGCGTATTTATTTATTTAATGAAAATAAATTATATTCCTAACAATATTTTCATGAAAAAACAACGTTTAAATGAGGGGAGGAAACCACAGTCAGAGGTTGTTTTCCGGTTCGTTTAAGTGAACGACTATTCTAAATTAACTAATTTTAGCTCTTAAGATTGTGCTTACTTACATTGCTTATTGGTGTTGTCCAGTTGGGAGATGCTCTTAATCACCTCAGCTGCCTGACCATTCTTGTGCACCTTCATTCTGCAACGGAATGGAGAATTAATGACTGTTTTGTGTCTGATTGCCCAAGAAGTACCCACCTCAGCACCTCATCCCGCTTCCTCTTGGAGGCGCTCATCTTCCGGACGGGAACGGCGGCCGCCTCATCCCGAAAACTGGGCGAGTAGCGCTTGTCCAGCTTGGCTCCGCCCATGGTGGTGGCCTGCATGACGCCTGGAATGGACACAGAGACGAGCCGGGGAAAGGGATTACTAAACTGCGGCTAAACAAACTCTTCTCATCTGGTTTTGGTTTTTTGTAGTTTAGCATCGAATCGACACGGGAAATGGGTTAGGAGGATTATTAAGATGTGGCAAATGGAGGCTGAGGCAGCGGTTCCTGAGATTTGGTTAGCAGACACAGTAAATGGCTGACGACAGACAAACACGATTACTTTCATTGATGATGTGGAAATGGAACTCTGCTCAGAGGATCATTCATTTAATGCGGTGTGTTCAAATGAGCAGAGTTTTAAACAATTTCTTTAGTGCAATGAGTTCGACAAGTGCTTCATGCATTTCCAACATCAGACGGATCAGATGGCTTTCAAATGTTTATGCGGTTAAATGGAAATATTAACTAGGCCTAATCCTAAGCTAAGTTGGTGCAGAACAGTTAAAGAGAGACTTAACGAACCGACGCAGTAACAAGTGCAAAAGAAAGTGGAAATATAGGATACAAAAACTGTCAGATTTTCACTGGCTTCGATTTTCCTCAACTTAATACACTAAAGCTTAATTATCATACGTGTATTCGTATCGAATCATATTTGTATGGTATTATATTGGTAATTAACATATGTAAAATAGATAGATAGATGTGTTTTAATCATACAAACCCATTCGATTTGGCTCGCCTGCATTCTAACCGACAGAGCAGGGCGGACCCGATCGCTTAGGATCGCTAGGGATCGAGATGAGACGAGCGGAGCGGAGACGGCGACGACGACTACACAACAACACAACGTTTGAGGGGAGGAGGGCGGCACGATGTGCGTTCTGAACAAACACATAAAATAAAACTCGATTTTCTTTGTTGCATTGCGGAAAAAAAAGATTCTTTACACTTTCGGCATTACGCTTTCCCTTTTCCCGATCCCGATCCCGACAGAAGAGGACTCTTTCCGGACTCCGGACTCCGGTTCGGATCATTTCAGTGAGGTTCGGTGAGGTTTGCTTGGTTCGGCGGCAGATCTCGAGCGGGTCTGTCAGGCAGGCACCTCGAACCTTTGGATAATACGAGCATAGACGTACATGTAGTGGCGGGGACACGCCCCCCGATCCGGGCAATCATAATCTATATATATACATGCGCCGAATCGAGGGAGTGCATGGATATAAACTATTCCATTTCCATTCAAGCGATTGTACAATTTTTGCTGGCAAAAACTGTACAATCCTTATGGAGGGGTTTCATTTACGATAACATAACATTACTTTACTTTTGAGTTTTGGAGTTTGCTTGGTATTTGGTTGGTTTTTTTTTTTGATTGGTGGTTTTGGTTTGCGACTTACCCATTGTTGTCTGTTTTACTAACTAAGGGGGTTTAATCGGAAAAGGTCTCTGGTTCGGGCGGTGGCGACCCGGACTAGTGACTAGTTCCAGGCGTCGTCGATTCAGAGAATGTTCTGTGGCATGTGGCGGCTATAACGTTTTTGGTTCTTTTATTTTCGATCTTCGCTTTTTTATTACAAATCGTTAAAGCTATAGGTTAGCTACATATTATTGTATATGGTTCAGTCTTTTAACGTCAGTTTTATTTTCTTTTCTTATTTTTTCTTTTCTTTTCTTTTTTTTTTTTGCTTTCTTTTTTGTGATCGGTTTTATTTCCATTTTCAATATTCAACTTACAGACTAAGGATATCACATATTTTTAAGATATATAGTTGTAGAGAAAAAAATACTAAAAATATAAATGATATTTCGAATGCGATTTGGTTTTATCTAGGGACGATACAAGAGGAGCAAACGCAAATTGGTTGGTTGTTTGGCTTTATCATTTTTGTTTGTTGCGAGTTAGTACAAAAACAAAAGTTCGATTCAATAAAAATTGGCGATTTCGGAACTCAAGACGCATGACAAATGCTTGGCGCGATTCAGAATGTTTTATATATTTTTTTCTTTGTTCGATTGTATGGATTATAGAACGATTAGTTAATTCGAAACGAAAGAGCAAATGAAGCGCTTCGACAGAATCGATAATTGGTATTCAAACGTGTGATCAGTTTTTGATGCGGTTGGTGAAACAGTCGGTATCTTACCTTTGTACTTGGGCACAAACTTCAGTATGTCCTGCGGAATGTTCTGGTAGAAGTCCAATTCACGCAGGTTCAACGGCTTGATCACCGTCGACTGGTTGAGCAGTAACAGGCGAGTGTGTCCTCCGACCTGGAAAACCAAGGATAAAATACAGTTTAGTGAAGATCGTAGGAAGTTCTATTTAGGTAGGTATTTCTATTTCCAGTATTTCTACATAAGAATGGAGGCTATTGTTATTATTTTTATTGTGCTACTTTTAATCTGACTTCTACAACCTGAAATATATAATTTAGGACCCTATTAAAGCATTATCTTAAGCAAGTGTTTTTCAAATCTATAAAAATAAAAAAATATTTTTGTCTTCAAGTGTATGATAATGTATTTCTACACTTCCCTTTCTTTTATAGTATTTTTTCCTCTGTTTTCGACTTTTATTTTTATGTTCTCTCTTTATCAAAAACATAATCTAACTAGCTGCTGTCTGTGCTTGCTGAATGGCGCGTGGCCATAACCCTGATTGCAATATCTTATCGTACCCTACGTCACTTCATGAATTTAATCAAAAGTGCAAAAATGCCAAGCTTATCGAGCTTTCTTACCCAAAGCCTCCCGACCAAAACTCAGTAGTCAGCCATGAGAAACTGCTCATTCAGTTCCTTTACCTTCTTGACAAATTTTGAGTGTTTCGTTTTTATGGCGTCATTGACAACTTTTAAATTAAAAATGATCACGACTCTTGGGTAGAACATGAAATCGATTGAGACCCGGCTGAAGAATCGATTTGGAAAAATAATGGTGATGGATAACCCACCCAGCCCGAGCAGCAGTATCCATCGGATGGGCCGGAGTACTTCCCGCCGAAACTCAGCCACACACAGAACGCCACAGGGAGGCGACGAGGCCGACAACCAGGGTCGCCTTTTCTGGAACAGCCGGAGAAACTCGACGGTCGGAGGCAAGGATGATCGGCGCTCCAAGGTCGACTTGGGGCAGGGCGGGAAGAAGAAGCCGCCCTCGGCATCACCGAGGCAGTCGGCCTACACCCAGACGGATTTGGGCCGAAAGCGGACGACTCGCAAGTTGAATACGCGGAACACGCGGTGCAATTCGTTGCCAGCCACGGCCCTTACCAGCAGGGATACCATCCGGAATATACCCGGTAAGCGCGGCTATAGGGCCCAGATCGACCCCCGACATTCGAACTTAGCCAAAATTAACTCGGCCCCGTTGATGGTAGGGAACAGGAGGCCGGAGGAGCTGACCGCCCGGTGCAGTGCGTCGCACGAGGGCCGCAAGCTGCTGCAGGAGCGACTGATGGTGCGGGTCGACGCACTGTTCAACTTGCTCTTCTCAGCCTCGCCGTTCCTGCAGGGCTTCCACGATCGGCGCAAATCCACCGATCTGCGCATGGGCGGATGGGTGCGGAACGCCGCCGGCCAGAACGAGCGCAAGGTCTCGCTGACCATGGCCCTTCAGGCGAACGTCGGCCCCAAGTCCGTCAAGGTCACCGAGACTCAAGTCATGCGCGAGTGCAGTGAGCCCGGGCAACTGTACTCCATCGATGTGCAGAGCATCCACGCAGAGATCCCCTACGCGGACGCCTTCGTGGTCCTGATGCACTTCTGCCTCAAGGCCACGGTGGAGGAATACACGGACTTTCTCGTCTTTGGCCAGATCAAGTTCCTCAAGTCTGTGTGGGCGGTGGTCAAGGCTTTCATCGAGAAGAACACGTACGCGGGACTCGAGGAGTTCTGCCAATCCCTGTACAGCGCTCTGCTCATCGAGATTAGAAAAAAGTAGCCCAATGTACTTAAATACACTTCCTCATAACTAATTGTTTTTTATACCCTTGCAGAGGGTATTATAATTTCAGTCAAAAGTTTGCAACGCAGTGAAGGAGACATTTCCGACCCTATAAAGTATATATATTCTTGATCAGCATCACCAGGAGAGTCGATCTAGCCATGTCCGTCTGTCCGTCCGTCTGTCCGTCTGTCCGTCTGTCCGTCCGTTTCTACGCAAACTAGTCCCTCAGTTTTAAAGCTATCTGCTTGAAACTTTCCCAAAAGTTGTCTTTCTATTGCAGGTAGTATATAAGTCGGAACGAGCCGGATCGGGCGACTATATCATATAGCTGCCATATAACTGAACGATCGGAAAAGCCATAACTTTAGTGTTTTTAAAGTTAGGAAGTTGGGATTTGCTATGGGTTTTATTTTTGGCCAATCAATCCGACCTACCAAATTTCAAAAGGATCGGCCGACTATATCTTATAGCTGCTATATAACTGATTGATCGGAAATGCCATAACTCTGCTGTTTGTTAAGTTAGGAAGTTGGGACTTTTTATGAGTATTAAGAATGCATCATATGAATAATTTTGGAGAATATAATTTATAGAATATTCTGCAAGGGTATATCAACTTCGGCTCCGCCCGAAGTTAGCTTTCCTTTCTTGTTTTTTGTTGAAATTGACCAACCAGGCAAAGCTAATCCTTTCGGAGGTATACATAACTAACTGGAAGGGCTATATACCCGAGTCCCCTGCAAGAAGGATAATTGATTACAAGGATACCGATTAGCCAGCACTCAAATTGGGATTGTGGCATACTTGATAGAGGTAATAATATCAATCTTTTAGTTTTACATAATGAATCGCGAATTCCTCAGCACAAGATGATTGAACAAGGACCATTCTACGATTTTTAGTTGTAATAATTAAAAGCCCCAAATAAATTGTTAAACAAAACAAACCCGTAAGAGAGAAACACATGTCTCTTTTAAAGCTATGCTTTAGTTGTTCAATACAAGATTCAAATATGGTATTTTGAAGTGATCTAATCACTGGGTTCCCTACAGATACCGAAACTCAAATCTTATTCTAACATTGACTATAGATCTGTATGACTCACCTGGTTGGAGAGCGGGTGCAATGCCACCTCATCCTCATTGTCCAGGAGATCCTTGCCCAGCTGCGGGTTCTTGGATGACTTGCCGACAGCGGTGGCAGCAGGAGCAGCTGCTTCTGGGAGCAATAGTTGCTGCTGCTGTTGCGGTTTGGTGGGAGTGTTGCAGCCGCTGGTGGTGTTGTTGTTGCTGCTGCTGCTGGAGTTGCTGCTGCTCACCGACAGCTGCTGGAGATTGGCAGTTACGAGGCTGCTGCTGCTGACAGGACCAACATGTTGCTGCTGGGATGGCGTCGGCGAAGTGCCCTGCTGCAGGAAGCTGGAACCGCTGGCAAACTGCAACTGTGGCTGCAGCTGGCTTAGGCTACTGGAGATTTGGGCCACAAGTTGCTGCTGCTGCTGGCGTTGCTGCTGCTGCTGCTGTGGAAGCTGCTGCTGCTGTTGCAAGAGAAGATCATGTCCATGGATGCGTTGCGGCTGCTGTATATTTGGAACATGTTGCTGATATGACGACAAGTCAGAATCTCCCATGCCCCAATCCCCCAAGAAATATACCATTCCCCGCCGCACGAAACAGTGTAACGATTGCTGGCTGCTTTTCTTTTCCCTTGAGCTATTCCCGATGGGCGCGCTGCTTGGGAAATCCGTTTATCCTGCTGCTGCTTTGTTCAGTCTGCAACGAGAGGGATGGAGAGCGGGAAAATGCGTTAAATTGAATTAAAAATTGGGTTAAAATAAGCGATCGCCTTAACCTGCCACACATGATCGCTTAATGGCCTGAATCATCCCCAGATCGTTCAGTCAACCGACATGGAACCGGTTCTCATTCTCGGATTGCATCTGATCATATCGTATCGGAGCAAGTGCATTCGGAACGCAGGCCGGGGGTTCATTGTCATTTCCGCCACGGAACACTCGACACGCGACTACGGAGAATGCAAATCGTGTTCCGCCTGTGACTCTCATGACAAATCACTTTAAGTGGCGGGTGGACAACCAATTTGAATAAGCAATTTCATAATTCGTAGATGCGATCATTTCAATCTGCATATGTACATATCTCATAATAAAATCTGAATAATTAATCCGAAATCCACAGTGCCCTGGATAAAATGCTATATGCCTTTCTTTGTTTTGAATTCCATTTCACCTTTAAGATCATTAACCACTAGACAAAGCTCAGCTGATGTGCAAAGATCAATAACATTTGGTGTCCTATCAAATTTCGAGTGCGCTTTAGAAAATCATTCACCTGGTGGCTGACTGATCCTCTCGATCTGCCCATTACCATTCCCTCTCTATCTACAACCAACAATCAGCAACGCCATACACCATATAGCAATCAAATCAGCCTGTGAACCATGCGCTATATTAGAAAACATTTAATGAAGCGTGCTGTTAATTGAAAACAATTGGAAATCGGGGAGTGGGATGTGAAATTGAGAGTGGGGTGATGATGGGGAGGGGTTTCGACTGAAACTAGTCAAGCGAGTGGCACGTGAACAGAAGCGACGGGGAATCTCCGGAGCTGATAGGGCGGCCGGTATCAAAGGTTCTCAAATTTGACTGCTGGCAAATTATAATCAAAGTTGCGAGAAGTGGCACGATTTGGGAATTGCGTTGTAGACACACCTATTTCAGCCTCCATTTATCATCGACTGCCTACTCTCTAATCGCTAATTCAAACAGGGAACTGCAGACGTCATAAAGATAGCAAAATGCATATTTGCCAGCTGCTGGGTCTGTAATTATTACCTGATCGAGACCAGACGGCGGCGTTTGTTAATCTCTAAGGTAGATACAGATTGTTAGATACACAGCAACTACCAAGATATTTGTTCGGGGAACCACAAATGGCACTTAACCGCTTTGAGAAAATCAAGTGTTTCGATAATGAGGTTCGTTAACTTGGGGTGAATCACTCTGTTGTCTTGTCTACGCCGCAAAAACAATACGGAGAAGTTTATCGCCGCTTCCAAGAGCTAAGGCGGCTATTTCGACAGCGTTATTTATAGCAAAAAGGCTTTAAATAAATTAGTGTTTACCCCGACATCTGTTAATGTCCCGGGAAAATGTCAAGCGAAAGTCGCGAAAATTGATTGGAACACGGAACACAATCTACGGGGGCTCAAAGTATTTAGCTAATCGGGCAATTAATTGAAACTGATTGCTAGGAATTGAAGATCAGGCAAAGATCGCTGGATGAGTTAGCGAAAATCAACGACCTTATCAGCCAGCGGAAAAAACAGAGCAAAATACAGCAAGGAAAACTTTGGGGAAACATAAATAAAAACAAGTACGCCGTAAAACTAACTTCCTCACTCCCCGATTGCTCCACATTTGTGGGGTATATGCTTGCATATATGTACATATATAAGGTGAACTGAAACTGGGTCAACGACAGCGAATAACGCAGACAGCGAACGGAACTGGGAACTGAGAGGAATGGGTTACAGTCCCCTTCAAACAGCTGCAATTGCGCCGGAGGAATTCCGAGCTACTTTGTCCGGGGAAACTTGGTGCGTTGCCCAAAGCAAATTTAATTAGCAGGCAACAGCAAAGTCGAATCAAAATCAAAACAAATGAGGGAATAGCATTCAAATCAGCTGTCAGCTGTTCTCCCAGACAAAGGCAATCAAGCAAAGGCACATCCCCCAGATATCACAACAAAACTTAAACAGTCGTACAATAAGTCGACACAAAAGGAACATCAGTTATTACACATTTGTATGTGTGTACCAAATGCAGCACTTTTAGCTTACGAATGAAACAAAAAAGCGGCTTGCTTCTAGCACCGATCCGTTGAATTTGGCAATTCTTTGACACCAGACAAGCGATCACAACAAAACAAGTGTGAATTGCCAGCTAAACAAATATTGTTAACTCAATCTAATTTACATACTAACAAATGTGTTTTGATGTTTGAGTTCATTGGGCCCTGTTCCCAATTCAAATTTGATGAAAGTTTATTATTTATCTTAAGTAAAACGGATCTTAATATTTACGTTATTTAGCTTCAAGTTTTAAAACTTAAATTAACTGCACTGACAAAATGTTTTCATTGAGATATGTGAAAAAAATATATTTATTTTTGAATACATTTTACAAACTAATTTATTTTGAAAAAGTGTAAGTATTTTTGTATAAAATGTAAGTTTGTTTTAACTTTTTAGCAAGTGAACTTGGGGAAAACTAAAATCTGTCAACTTGGAAAAGGGCGAAAACAGGTTTTTTAAATGGTGTATTAAAGATATGTTTATATATTTTATATTGGGTTTTTATATATTTCTACAAAAAACATGTATTATTCTTTACTTAGCCTAAAAATCTTTTTGAATTGGTATGGAAACTTTTTCTTCGAGTTAAATTTAAGTAGCTCGCTAAGGAAATTTAACCCGGTAGGTAAACACAAATTGTTTGGATGCCTGCCAAGAGAGTTGAATTCACTGAATTCGCAATTTGCAAATGAAGTAGGAAGCAATGCGAAACGAGGCGGAATTGGAGCTGCTTGTTATTTTCCCCTAGCATTTTGCTGGCATTTAAATGGGAGCAGCACCACCAATACTAAACAAAAAGGAGGCCTGCCTTTGTTTGTTTCGACCCCATAGCGCCTTGTTTCCCCCTCTTTCAATCTATAGTGAACTCTGCCCACTGATAAGCATTTCAGTAATCGAGTGAAACTGAATTTGGCGAGTGCCTGGCAACAAAAACAAGGCGAAAACAGCGAAACCCCCAGTAAATAAAATGGCCATATTTGAGTTGCATTTAATTTTGGTCTGGAATCTGAGCACCTTTATATGTAAGACAGAAATCACTTGACTCTGCGCGAAAACAATAAAAGAAATAAACGCAATCTAAATCTTGCGACAAACAAATGCGATAAAAACAAAAGTTGAAGACTTGAAACTGAACAAATGAAATAAGCAACTCGCTGAGCAATTAAAACAGCAATTAGTCATGTTCCCAGGCTGGAACACAAGCGAATTCGAAGGGTAATGGAAAGTTTGCTACTTTTTCAGGCGGGGATTTTACACATTTTACACCCAGATATTCGCATAATTTTAAAGTTATTTGCTCGTCACCAAAACGGGTTTTGTTTTCTTGTTTTTTACCTGCGGTAGCAGGTTGATTATGGATTTCACGTATCAAAACAAAAAGCAGCTGTGACTTCGATATCTACGTGAATTACGTGTACGAGAAAAACAAAAACTAAAGCAAGAACAAAAAGAGAGCTGGGGATAGAAGAGAAGATCATCTCACTCACCAACACAAGCACAAAGCAGAGAACAGACGTAGATAAAGTGTATTCAAAACAAAAGATTAACCACAAAACAGATAGCCAAAAGATGTGAGGAAGAAGAAGCACAGCAGTGGCATAAAAAAGAAAGAAAGAAAAAAACTGACTCTGCGTGAACGGTGACGTCGCCGTTTCCTCTCCTTGCGAGAGAGTGAGAACGAGAGCCAAAGAGTACTTGCTCTCTCTCTTCAGCTATTTTTACAGTGCACATACACGAAAAAAATTAAATTAAATTCACACACAAACGCACAGCCGTACACCAAAATTACACACTCACACAGAGTCGAAAATCGCTAATCGCTTTCTGGCGTCGTTTCTGTGTAACAAATTTACCTTTTCAAGACACCTCTGCGTGTCCCAATGCTAGCTACTCTTTTCCAATTTGCTGGCTGTCTGCGAATCAGTTTTTCATTCAGTTAGCATATTTTCCACGACGAAAACCTCACTAGCACTGGCACACGCACACATACGACGATGTGGGTATGCTTGATATGTATACAATTTGATGCTTCTTCTCAATTAAATTTGATTTCTCACATGCGCGTT